GATGGCCTATGTGGAGCTTTTCTTGAGATTTGTCTGGGACAAAATACGCTGCTTTTCCAGTAGCATCTTCAAATGTTTATGGTGCTCATATGCCAACTCAAATGTTAGTCTAGAATTATTGTCAGGCATGTTAGGGTTAACATTCTTTAAAGAAAAGACTAGAGATTTTTCAGGGAGGAGGGCAGAGGAAAAATGAAATACTATCGTGCTTATAATTTATTTTTTAACCAGTAGGAGTGAACTGTCCTAGGCAAGTGTTTGTAGCTTATTCCTGCAAACTTCTGCCTTCTGTGGCAGCATATTTAGATTTTTGTTCCCGAGTATGTATATTGCATGCAGGCAAGGTTTTACATGATACTAAAAGTGTCAGAAAGAAACCTGGAGAGACACCAAGAGAAGATCAAAGTCTAAAATACAAGTTATTATATGATCTTTTCCACTACCACGTTACCCCTTCCATGAACACTTCTATGTGTGTCATGGACCAATACATATTTTTAGAATACCTATCTTCTTCGAAGGGGTTGGCCATATGCTAAATTCTGAAAACCCAATTAAATACAAGTTTTGATAAAGAACTGAGGTGTTTTTAATAATATTGGGGGTTTTCAGTGTTCCCCTGCTTTTCTCTGGAAATAACAAGCACTGAGGAGAATAAGAAAAATTAGGGAGCATTTGTATATTTGTACCTTTTCCCTTTCAGTGACAATTTGGAATGGAGAGGGTGAAGAAGGTTTTGTTTCTGAGAAAAATAGCTACTGGACCATTATTTAAGGCAAGGGAAGGGTATGAGATGTGAGGTTTCTGCCTAAGGAGATTGAAGCCCTAATGTGCTGCTGTCCCTGTGTCAGAAAACCAATCTCCTATACTTTGTTATAGATTTAATTTTTTTAGTCCATGTTCTTTATTGTCAGTCAACAATTCAAAAGAAAATTGGTCTGCAGCCTCTCTGCAGACCTCCACAACTTGGGCATTATGCATCTATTAATGCTGTACCTACATTCCCAAATTGATGCTCAGTCAGGATTTTTGCCTTGAAACTCCCCCAGTAATGAAAGGTGCCCATGAATGAATACAGGGCGCTCACCAGTCCAGCCCAAGCTCTTTGCCAGCTCTTTCCTTTTGTTGTCATCTTCACACATTGTGCAAAGAACATCCCAAACAAACCTCAGTAACAAAAACTCCCTGGGGGCACAGTGCCACTCCTGCTCACCCACCAGTAAATTTTGTCCCTGTTTTAGCCCCTTCATCATGCTGAAAATGTAATATCCCAAACCAGTGATGTCTTCCTTCCTTTCTGCAGAGTTCAGTATGGTTCTATTTTTCAGTCACTTTGGGGAAGCCAAGAAATGAGACACTACACTCCTTTCATTTTTCTCCTTTTCAAATGAACGAACAAGAAGCTGTTTGGCTTTGCTTGTCAGAGCAGTGGTTCTTATATTTGAGTAGCTGTAGCAATTACTAATCATGAGAGTGATTGTAAACCCTGGCTTAGTGCTGCACAAGAGGTGGTTTCACTATGATGTGAATTAGCACAGGAGGAGATGCTGCAATTAGAGTAATTGGAGCTTACTTATAGCATATAGGAGGGAAAGGAATAAATAAGCTTTTGTTTAAGATACTGCTTCTTATGTAGCACATCTTGGGTCTGAGCTCAGCAGGGTAAAATGTTAATTTTTTTCTCTGATTTGATGCCTTTATCTCCAATTTTATGCAAATTAACTGATTTTAGTGGATATTCAGAATAGTTGAAAACTTCTATTGGGTTGTTGGCTTGGGTTGTGGCTGTCCTGAGGGTTGTTTTGGTTTTGGGCAGCAGTAGGATTAAGGAGTCAGATTGCATCTCAGTACCTCCCATACTTCATTTCCACCACATTTGTTAGTTATAACTGCTGGGGTTTTAATTAATTTCCACATGGAGTTTGTTCAGATTTGATATGTCAGTTTTACTAAACTGGACTTACTGTTGCCTAGATTCTGTGCGTGTTCTCATCCTTCTGCAGAAGATAAACTTGAGGAAAAGACACACTGGAGACTCAACTTTTCCCAAGGACATAGCTCTTAAAAGAAGAAATTAAGATACTGAATTCCCATTAAGTTTCTTGACCCTAAATGTATGTATTTTTGTCTAAAAACAGACCTGCAGTGATAGATGAAGGCAGTGGATTTTCAGGTCATTGGAAACAGGGTTATTCTTCCAGATTTGCTTTGACATAGAAATAAATTTGTAGTTGTAAAATGGGAAGCAGCTGACTAACTAGTTCATTATGTGGGTCACCAGTGTAAAAAAGGTTCCAGTCCTATTCCAGGGACCCTGACAGTATCAGCACCACTGAGACCTTAGTAGAATAATAACAGAACAGCAGAATAGTAGTAAACTGTTCTTGATCAGTAGTGATATCAAAGATTAGAGGAATGCTGGAGATGAGAAACAAACCCACAAGTTTAGGAGAAGTGATGTGCAAGGAAAAGAGGGAGAACTGGAGCTGGCTTGGTCCTTTGGGGTGGCCTCTTGGCACTGCTGCCCTGTCACTCTCTGCCTCCTGTCCTTGGATCTGCTTTGGCCAAATGCCTCTTCCTGTCCCACAGTTCTCAAATGCTGCAGTTGACTCAGAGTTCCTTTAATTATTAATTCACACAAGCTCAAGAGGACTCAAGGGAGGACTGGAAATTAAAGGAAGGAATGTAAAGGTTGTTACTGCAGTGGTGCTGGAATAAGGGAACAGGTGATCAATAGGCAGGTGAGAGAGGTGGTGGCTGCTTCATTTCTTGAAAAGCACTGGAATAGGGGGACAGGAACCAGATTTTCTCCATGGCTTTAACAAGGAAAAGATGAATTGCAAATTTTAAAGATTTCCACTTATTAATGGAGGAAAACCATGTAAGAGACCATCAAGTGAATCTCCAGAATATCCCTCTTTGGGTGCTTTAAAAGCACACTAAGCATTCTTTTGTTAATGAATGAAATCCATACAGGCAGCTCAGCTCAAAGACTTGGCAGCCCCTTCCCTGCCATTGTCCGAGGGACAGTCTGCATAGAATTTTGTAGCACACAATATTGCATTCAGCTCCTGTATGAAAATGAAATGCTCATTGGAGCTGAAGTAATAATTAAAAAGAAACCTAAAAAATCACTGTTTTGAAAGTTCAAGACTACATCTTACTGGAAATTTAAAATGCAATATGTAACATTGATTTATGTGTTAGGTGGATAAAAGTAGCTGTGAAGATGTAATGTTGTTGTAATGTTACTGTCAGCATAATATTGTTAAGTTCCAGTATTGTCCTGCTCTCCACTTAACACATCACAAAATTACTGAAAGAATGGATTTTACCATGTCATTAAAGCACTTGGTAAAAGGTTCTTAATTTGCTGACATCTTGAAAGAATCATCAAATATCTGTTTCTTATGGATTTCTTTGTGGCATTTCAGCAGTCTCTGAGGTTATAAGCATTGATAGCAAATTAATTAAAATTATAACTGAATGGGGTTATGGGTTACATGGAGATTGGAGCCATAGTGAGTGACAGGGAGAGTGAAACAGACAGAGAGGGATGATCTGGATTGCTGAGCATCATTTACTTACATAAATTATCATGCAAAGGTGTATAATGAGATGTATGGGTCATGCTTGAGAATTAAGGACCATTTCAACAAAAGTAATAATTCTGAAAATATATCAGTGTTTATAATGGACAGGTCATATGAACTCACAGCATAAAGCTGTGTGGAAGGGCCAAGAGGTGATGTCTGATAAATCACAGGCTGAGCAGGAGTGGCTTCACCAGTGTGGAACCCCCAGGTGTGTGTGTATTTATGGTGCAGGTGCCCTCAGTACCAGACTGTTACAATTTTACAGCTTTAGAACTCTTCCTGAAATGCTGTTGAAAAAATGTCACAGTGAGTGAGTTCTACAAAGTTACTCCAGCACTTTTTCTTGGATTTTTTAACAGTGTTAAATTGCTTATTTGTATGTGGGGATATATTGCTATCCCTGCACTGCAAGAAACAAGTTTCTCTAAAGGGCTCTTTAATGCAAAAGGGTGACAAAAAGCAGTGGCTGTGCACTGAAATCAGGCATTTCCCTTGGCCCATGTGCTTTAACAGCAGGGATGAGTGGCCCTTGGAGCAAGCTGCCAAAAGAGGTAGTGTGGACACTGTGCTTTCATTTTCTTCAGGCCAATGGTGGATAATATGCTGGCAGATGTATCAAATGAAGGTCACTGGAGTTGATGCAGTTGTACTGGATAGGAGTGAAAGGATCTGTGATTATTGGAAGATTTAATGATTAAATTGCTCTCTTTATTTCTGTGAAAATCTAGGATGAAAACTGTGGTCAATCAGTCAGTCTTAGGGGACTGTTGCACACCAGGGGAAAAATGCTCATCAAACTTACTTTTACACATAAATTCTTGTCTTAAGAAGTAATATGAACATCCACATCTTACCATGCATTGAGAGTATTGTTCATTTTGCAGTCTGGCTAAATGTGCTGGTTTTATTCATCAAAGGGCTGCTTAATTTGATGGGTAAGAGTTATATCAATTGAATCTTAATGTATTTGAATTAGTGTCTTGCTTCTAGAAATGCTCTATGTTGAAGGAGATTGCTTAATTGGTATTCTTGTAACTTTTAGTGTTGAGTGGATTTTAATGAACTCAGATTTACCAAAGGCAGTGTACCCCTCAGTAAGTTTGTCTTAGCCTTTGCCTGGAGGAGTTGTAATGTGTACAGGTTCTGTGCTTCTTATGTTCACATTATTTTAATGTTATTGCATCATGAATATGCATCAACACAATGTTTTCACATGCAGACTACTTACTATTAGAAATCTGTGCTATTCCATGTAATTTTGTATAGACCAGTGAATACTGTTTTATAGACTTTGAAATTATAGCAACCACTGCATCTTTTTTTAATGAAACCCAAATCTATCTGTATTTTGCTGTTGAAGTATATACAGGAAAAGCTGATTGCATTTTTACTATTGTTTTACAGTGAGAGGTTCATGGTGAGGTTAAACAAGAACGGAGGCCCCAGGAATCCGGAGAAGATCGATCGAATGTGTGCGCTTTTCACAGTACGTGTCTGTTCCCTTTCTTCTCCCCTCACAGGAGTGGGGTTGGAGGTTTCCTGGGGGGGAGGACACCCAGTCCTTTCTCTCCAATATAATCAGTAGAAGAGAAATAATTTCTAAGTTTTGTTATGATTTTGACTAAACATTAACATAGAAAGGGAAGGTACTGCTAAATTATTTTTATGGCTAAGTGAATATTTTGAAGTACTTGAATTTGTTCCTGCAGATAGTGTGAAATTTTGAATATTTCCATTGGATATGCTGTGCTCTTTGATAACAGAGCATAGGAATAGGCTGTGATGGCCTGAACATGGAACAAAGCACTTTTTTCTGAATGAAAATCAGACTAGTGTTTTCCCATGTCCTGTCCCTACGTGCCCTTGTCAGAAGTCACTTCTGCGCTGGTCTTCAGTTGTGTTTAAAATTCCCTCAGAATCAGGTGTCAGACCATCATTTTATCTGCTACTAATTCTCAGAAAGAATATGAAAATCTAGAGACACTGAAACTTAACAGCTCCTCACAGAATAACTGTAAGGAATCTCAGATCCCAAGTGTGATAAACACCTTCCATCATGACTCACCTTTAGTTAGTCCACATGCTGGAAGCTCTGTAGCAGAAGTATTTTTACCTTCAGTGAAGAAGAAAAATGGCAGAGCTTTGGTTCTGGCAGTGACATTCTCTGAGGTCAGGCAAGGCTGGACACTGAACCAGGCATGGTCCCCAGCACCACTCCCTTCTCTCCATTAAGAAGGCAGCAGAATTCCTCCTCTTAGGGAACAGAACAGATCTAGGTGTAAGGATGCTCTGTTCTGTCTCCATCAGGATCTGAGAGATGCAGTCCAAAAGTAGCACTGACCTGGGTGTTGACATCAGTAGCAATTCTGGTTTTGGTACCATCAATGAGGTGCTGCCAGCTGAATAACCATCAGTAAGGTGTCAGTGTAGTCCAAGAGCAGGCAGCCCTGGGATTGCAGGCATTTGCCAGTGCAGCTCAAATCCTGACCAGAGATACCTCCCGAGCCCCCTTTCTTATTACTATGCAAAAATACCAAAGCTGTTGCAGTCTCAGCTCTCCAGGGTGCTCAGACTCTGTCACTGGCTGGTGGAGGTGCTTAGACTCTTGCTCATCTGCTATAGAATGTGTATTCTACATAACAAGAATTATAATGAATGCATACTCTATGTAACAGGAATTCTAATTGGAAAAATTATCTGTGCAAAAGATCTTACACTTCTAAAACAGTATTTTTTATCAATGTGTTCAAAGCACTTTCTAAAGTGTGTAGTAAAAGAGCAATAAATATTTGCTTTTTTGAATAACCATTTTATCTGATAATGGTTCTATCTTATAATAATTTCTTAATTATGAAATGCTTCTAAGATGAGATAGTTCTGTGATTTTCAGGTCTTCTTCCAAGATCGTGTTCATCTTGACTTTAAATCTATTTATTCATTTCCTTGCCCTCCCTCACCACACCATAGTATCTTTGTAAAACTCTCATCTTTCCCCAAGGCAAGCAGCCCAAATCTTAGATAAGTCAAGGGATCCCTGTCTTTTCCTGCTATCTGTTACTTCTAAGGGTTCAGCTGTCTCCTTGTGTAAGATATCAAAACTACCCAGGCTTGGGTTTTACATCTGCTGTCATATCATAGCAAAGGTGAGAAACTGCTTGCTCTGGAGATCAAAGCTCACTGAAGAAAACCTCAGCCTGTGCACGTGTTAGAAGAATTCCTGGGTCTGAATTAAAACGTAACTACACTGTATAAGGTTGTTATTTTTGTTAAATACCTTATTCTCTGTGGCCTATGAGGTTGGCAGCTGAATTAAAGAGCTTATTACTGGCAGACAGGTATCTTTGATTCCAGTGGTTTGGGGGTTGTTGTGATGGTGTTTGGATTTTCTAACACACAAGCAGACCTTTCTAAAAACCAGCATTATAAAGAACTAACCATTGTTGTGGAGTAACTCTCTTCCATACCCAATATAGGTGGGAAGACTTAGGAGTGATTTTCTAAAAAGCCATTCAGTTAGAATTATAATAAAATTATGTTGTGTATTAGTCAGTATCATTTAGGAAGCTCAGAAGGATGTGGGAGATACCCACCCTGTGGATGCAGCCCTAAGAATAACCAGTAAATGTGTTTTATCCTTTCCTGGTCCTAGGAGATGTACATGGATTCTCTGCAGACGAATTATCTGAAAACTTCCTCACAGGGGTTGGGGCTTTTGATTGTTTGGTCCATGTCATAGTAAAAATTTCTTGCCTTGTAAAAAGGCTGTGCTGTACAAACTGAAATGCAAGGCCATCTGGGCCCACATTTTTTGTCTTTTGCCTGTGACACTATATTTGTGAAATTGGAAAAGCAACTAAAGTGTGAACCCATCAATATGTTCATGCCCTGCCAGTTTCTGGTGTTCTGACAGCTGCCCTTTGAAAAAATAGTTCTTTAAATTGCTGTTAATTAGAACTGGTAATCTGATGGTATAATAAAATTCCCCCTGTCAAAGCACAGATATTTCCAGGAATCTATTGCTCTCTAGAGCATTAATTATTACCTCCAAGTTTTTTTTGGTTTTTGAAAAGTCTTATCAGGCATTTCTGAGATTAAAACTATGTCAAATCCCTTTAAATGTGGAACTTATGTCTCCAAGACATGCAAGATAAAGACTACCATATGTTACCCTGGTGTGTTGGTGATGGAGAAAGCCTAGAAAGTGTGTTCCCTTCTTGGTGCAGCAGTGCATGTTGCTCAAAATCGAGCCTGAGGAGGAAATGCTAAGGATGGTTTATGTAGCTTCATTTTCTGGCTCTGGAGAGACAGATCTGCTGGTTAGCAGCATCCCAAACAGTGGTTCTGCAGCTCCCTGCATATTCTGCTCTGGGAAATACAGGGCTGCTTTTAGAGAGCAAGGAGGTACAGCCATGAATTTATTACTTGCCTGCTGTAATGTAGCAATGTAACACAATTGGGAAGGGATTGAAACTTCTTAGGATTAATTCCCTTTATGCCTAGTTCTGAGTCACTGTGCCAGCTTTTATTGTGCTGTGTGGCACCGTAGTCTGCAGTTGCATTGCCATCAAAATCTCACTGGTTAAGGTTTGGGTTGTCAAGTCACATGAGAGAGTTTTGTGTGATTTAAGGTTCATGTTTTAGCTTTCAGCAAAATGCAGGTTTTAATTCTAAATTGGTTCAGATTAGGGCTGACAGATCTTAGATGTTCACAGTTTAAATTTCTTCCTCTCTTTATATAAAAATATAATTATTTCCTTTTACAGTGGTTATAATACCATGTAGTTGAGGAGCTTTTTAAAGAAAACCAAGAGATTTTATCTGAATCAGAGACAGCTCCAGTTAATTTTTGTGTAAGTAGTACCTGACAGTGAGATGACAGCCCTCAGTAGAGAGAGGCAGCAGCTGTTGCTGGTAGAGCTCAAGGGGCCTTTTTGCATCCATCTAAAACAGGGATGAATATTCTCTCGGTACACAATATCTGTTTAAAGACTTGTCTGGGAGGTGAGTGGCATAGGGAAAACTGGTTTTTAGGAAGAAATGTTTCTTAGACCTTTCCTATAACTAAAAAAAAAAAAAAAAAAAAAAAGGCAGGAGGAATGTCTCAGATGTTGCTGTTTGTTTATGAAGTTATCAGTGAAAAGTACAACATACCAAAGAAATTGCAATTAGGGTGGCTTCTGACATGTGAATGCAAAATGCTGCAGAAATGAGTTATTGGAAAGTATCCTATGTGTATTTTGTTCATTTATTTCTTTATTTTTAAATCATTTTCAGAGTCAATAACACTTATATGTCTTCATTAACTTCAGCTTTCCTTTTGCTCTTCTGTAGGTTCTCCTTTTCCTGTTGTTTGGCTGTTCATGAAGCTTATTTTGAAAAGTCTTGGCCTGCTTTTCTGTAACATGGGATTTCAGAGGTTTCATCCACATTTATAGTTGCAGGCACTTACATTGGAATGTCTCTGTTTTTTCTAATCTTTCAGGATCTCAGCAGCAAGGACATGAAGAGGGATTTGTACATAGTTGCCCACGTAATCCGAATAGGTACAGTATGATTTAGTACTTGAAATATATGTAACAAACACGGGTCTTAGAGCATTTTTAAATGTATGCTTTAATTAGCTGACTTTATAATGATTTATGCATTTAGAAAACTCAGTCACAGACTGATTGACATTCAGACCATATGGAGCTAAGTGTTAGAAAGTTACTGATGACTGTTTAACAGAGATTTTGTTTTTCTGAGTCTGAAACAGAATTTTTGATTAAACACCAAATCTACAGGAGAGGGACAAAGTAAAAAGGCTTTTTGTTTAATGCTTAAAAATTTAAAATGAGATCTTTATACTGTTGGTATAGCTGGGTTACAGGGCAGGACATCAGCATGTCTGACCATCCACATTGAATAAATCAGAGACTGTTAGACAAATATATGTCAAAATTTGTTTGCTGCTGTAGGAGTCTGTGGTGCAAGTACATATTTTACCTGTGTTAAGTATAATTTATTTTAAATATTAGGCCTAAAATGTTAACAGTGTAGGAGCAGCGGAGACAGTTTCCTCAGCTGTGTTATTGTAAAGTCAGAAATGCAGTGTCATTTGTGTGTTTCAGGTGACTGAACAATGGCCAGGCAGTGTTTGCAAGGAAAGGGTTTTTAAGCCTCTTGCCAACTCAGTCACTGCTCACACCCATTACCAGCCACAGGCACCTTTTCCTAAGTACAGCAGCTCTAAACAGAGCTTTGTGTGTTGTGCTGGGAATGGCAGTGTGCCTTCAGAGCCATGAATGTGTCAGAGAGGTCGGGGTTTCATTATCTGACTTCCCGTGTCATAAGAGGCTGCACGTCAGAATTGCTCTGTTACCACTTGAGGTGATAAATGAAGCCTGTAGAAAGATGCTGTATTAACCTTGATGCTAGGGCTGGACAAATTATTATGTGTAATGTTACAAGTTCACTTTGATTATCACAGTGATTTTTCTGGCCTTGGCATCTTTTGCTCTATTTAAAACTGCCTCAGTAATAGGACGTTAATCACCGAGCAGCTTTGTACCTCAGAATTTTCCTTCCTGTGCTCCAAGAAAGAACCATCCAAACACGATAAACAACCAATATATAATGTTACATGTACTATATACTATATATAATACATTCCCTTAAAGCAGTTGAATAAAATGAGAATTTGTGCAAACAGTGCACTCCAAGGAAGGAGCTCAGTGAATCTCTGGGTGGGTCAGACTGATGAGTACAGCCATATTCTTGGCTCATCCACAGAGGATTTGTAGTCAGCCCAGCTGGATGCAAATATGTGTCATGGAGCTGCAAATCAAAGCTGGCCAGACATGATGCTTTTCACTTTGCCCTTGGCTGTTTTTGGCTGAGTGAGGTGTAGGTTCAAATGGACCTCTGGGTTTGAAAAGTTTGAGTGAAAAGCTGTGGTGGGTCGACACTAGGTGCCTTCCAAGCCTCTCTGTCACTCCCCTCATCAACAGATTGGGGCTGGGGAGTAAATAAGATGGAAGAGAATTCATGGGTGATGATAAAGGCAGTCTGATAAAGCAAAGGCCATGAGCAGAAGCAAAGGAAAGCAAAAGATTTGTTCCCTACTTTCCATCAGCCATCAATGTCCAGTCACTTCCCAGGAAGCCAGGCTTCCATCTGTATAAAGCCAAACCTTGCAGTGACCAGTGTCCCCACTCCTCCTTTCCCTTGTGTTGCTGAGCAAATGTCACATGGTTTGGGACATCCCTTGGCCAGTGTGGGTCAGCTCTCCTGGCTGTGTCTCCTCCCAGACCTGTCCCCTAGGCTCCTGGAGAGGAGGATGCTGCAGGGGCAGCCCTGGTACTGTGCCAGTCCTGCCCAGCATCCCTGGGCTGGCACCAGCACCCCCCTGGGCACCAGCAGAGCCCAGCATGTGGGACTGGGACAAAACCAACTCCAGCTCCTCCAAAGCCAGGCAGGAGTGTCACCTGCAGCCTGCAGCTGAAAGTCCTGGGTGTGATGAGCACAGCAGGACGGATGTGGGTGTCTGTCCATCCCTGATGTGTGAGTTTCCCTCCTTGCAGGCCGCATGTTGCTCAATGACTCCAAGAAAGGGCCCCCCCATCTGCACTACCGGCGCCCCTACGGCTGCGCCGTGCTCAGCATCATGGATGTGCTCCAGTCCATCTCGGAAATCAAGGAGGAGAAGGACTTTGTGCTCAAAGTTTACACGTGAGTAACTCCTAGAAGGAAGTTTTTTGCTTCTTTAATATTCCAGCAGCTCATAGAAACTAATTAATATTACCACAGATGTTTCAGGTGTGTGAAATGCTTCAAAAGTTATTGAATACTGCTCAAATGTATGTGACTTGCAAAACTGCTCTTTTATTAATGTGAATTATTTAAAATCTGCTGAGCTCAAACCCAAAGAAGTGTGCTGCATTTCATCTGATGAAGGGAATAATAACTCATGCCTCATCTGCTATTCCTCACCACTCATGGTAACCAACAAAAGAAGTAGAAAACAACCAAAGCCAACAGTGTGTGACCGAAATTCTCAAAACAATTCAACATTTTTTGAGCAGGAATCCATCTTCAGTTATTTGTGGTTTTGAACTTCAAACTAACATTCTTACTATGAAATGTGCTCTCACAGTTGTAATAAAGAGGCCACAGACAAACTGTCTGGAGACTGCAGGGAATATTTAAATCCCTTGTCAATGAGGATAAATACTGGCAAAATCTGCTTTGCAGATGGGCTGAGGCACAGCTGACACTGCTTTGTGGTCTGTGGCCACTATTGAGAGTAATAAAATAATTTGGTGGGTTATGGAACTTCTTCATTCTTTGAGAAGTGCATTCAGCAGCAGAAAATGTGACCTTCAAGTGAAACTAAATGAAAAAATGTCTTTTACTGTTCTCTGAAGATTCCTGAATGTCTCTTCATGCATTAGAAATCTCTTAAGTCCAAACAAAAGTCTCTCAGAGTCAGCTCTTTCATTCTTCTTTTGCCAAAAGTTATGAAAACTGTAGCAAAAATGTCAAATTATAGGGGAGAAAATGGTCATCTTTCTTCTCTCTGTCAGTAGAATCTGGCCAGTCTTGGCCTTTTGTCACATTCAGTTTCAGCTTATCTCAGAGCAGTTCTATTGGCTTTGTAGATATGGTGTTAATGTATTGCAACTGCAACATTTTGAATGTTTACAGAAACGGAACATTCTGATTATTACATTTCTGTTTTGTTGCCCATTTAATGTTTCTTTAACTTCTGAAAAATATAACAGAAAAAAACTTGTTGAAACATTGGACTTTGTCAGTGGAGTCACAGCCCTTTAGAGCAACCCAAAGTCTTGGTACAGTGATGGAATAAAAATCACAGGATACAGAGCTTGCCTTTTCGTCCTGCTACTCTGCAGTGTTCTGGTAACGTGGATTCCCTTCACAGCCCCCAGAGCACCAACATTCTCTGCCCAAATTCCTCAGCAGATTTGCACCAGTTGTTCCTCATGTGGGGAGGGACAGCCCCTGGCTGAATTCAGCTCTGTAATCAGATGTTTGTAATTCTTTATCACTATTATCACTCTCCTGGGCTGCTGTAAGGCTTGTACATCATTTTTTTATGTTGCTGCTGTTTGCAGTGTTCTCTGTAAACCTCCAGCAGAAATATTCAGGGGGGAACATGGATATATCTGAGGGGCACCAGCTCATTCCCTTTGCAGCTTTGATAGCTGTTGGTCTTTCATGACAGAGTTGTCACAGGTGCATCTTCTCCTTTATCTAACTTGCCTTTTCCTGTTTGTTGGCTACAATTGAAATGACAGGGTTTTGTCCTTTGGAAGTTTAAAGTTGAATATGAGTGCTTTAACAGCCCTGAACTGATTTTCTTACCTGCTGCTCTCATTTTGATTACTGTTAAAATGCCTCAGGCCAGCTCCAAACATCATAAAGATGAAGTAAGGAGAGAGGTGTATTTGTATTTTTCAAGAAGCAGTAAAAAGCATTCCTTCTATACACTATGTGGCTAAAGCTTACAGCCGCAACAAATGAGGCAGCTAGAAAAGCCTTTTCACAGGGAGAAGCTGGAAAAAAATTGAAAATTGAAAACCTAACAAAGGCTGAAACAAATACATGGTCTGTAAATGGAGACTTCTGAAATCCACAAGGGAATGGTTATGGGAGGGGAAAAAAAAATCAATTTACTTGGCAGTCTTTCTCAGCTTGCCTTATGATTGTTAAAGATTTATGTCTGAAAAATATTTTTTCTCACAATTGAGATTTTTCTCTTTGTTAATCCCAGTCATGTTAAAATCTCCCTAAGAGGATAGAGTACCACAGCTGTAGTTATAAGCTCATTATGCAAAAGCATAAAGGTTTACTTTTATTATTCTTTTTAATATATATGTAAAATAATTTAAAAGTGAGATGGAAGTTAAATTCAGTCCCTTTTTTCTGAAATGACTTAATATTTTATATTAATCTTTATCTTTAATGAAATTTTTTGCTCATTGAACATTACTCTTTGTATTAATTTTACAATTCCCCTGAAAACTTCATGCATTTCTCTTTCATACTCACTTTTTTTTCTGGGCTTTTTTTTTCTGTCCTGTTTTCTTTCAATTTTTTTTCCTTTTTCTCCAGCCCTAGATCTTGAAATTCTTACCCATCAATGCCTGAATGCCTTTCCCTTTTGCTGTTCCATTGTTACTGTTTGCCCAGCTGGACAAGAGCTCACATCCCACTGCTGTCCCCAGCTGCTGACACCGGGGGCTGCTGTGGGATGGAAAACATTCCAAATGTGCATTTGCTGCTCAACCAGCCAGCCTCAAAGGTGAAGGATGGCTCAGGAGAGAGTTCTTATTTAAAGGAGAAATAGATTCTTTTATATACTTGGTATTTGGACAAGTAAAATGTGAGCACAGTAAGACACATTCCAAGTGTTTCCAGGCCAGCCTGTAAAGCTGGGAGATCTTCCTTCCTGGCACCCAGGAAACGCAAAGTGCAGCTTCCACTGGCACTTGGTACAAACTGGATTTAAGCTGCCTTTATGTTGATTTTGGGGTAACTTAATTGCAGGTTAATTTGGAGGCTAAAACCTATTTTAACTTGAACTCCATAGGCTGGTGCAGCAACTAAAAAATCACCACGGGTTAGATATTTGTTTGTAACTGAGGAGGGAGGATGGTATAGAGTTTGTGCTACAGGTTCTCTCTCTACTTTTAGGAGAGTATTATTTGGAGTAGGATAAATGACTCCTAATGTGTCGACAATGTGAAGATAATTTTTCTATTTCTTGATGAGTGAGCTGAAATAGCACACAACACCACAATTATTGGCAGGGTGTTTGTACTGTACATTAATGCCTTAGCTCTGTTGCGTTTTGGTTTTGAGGAATTGTTTTGGGGAGTTCAATTTATAATCCTGTGAAGTTCTGCTAGGTCACTTCTGGCTATCTGCCTTGTGTGACTGTGTGGGAACTGGTGTCTCCTCCCAGAAGGGACATAGTACTTACAGGAGGTGGGCAGTAGAGCAAGTGAAATGTTCTGTGTATTTCATTTGCTCCAAGTTGTCTCTGTTCCTTTTGCTGTTCTAAGAACATTTGGGGGTGTCAGTAATTGTGCCATCACAGGCTTTAGGGGTTACCTAATTATTCTTGACAGCACATGGTTTTGCAAGATTGAAGCTGTAGGAAATTACCAGTTCCTACTTGTAGATAGCCTGAATTCCTTCTGCCATGCTGTTCTTCAGTTATATAATGCAGCAAACAAAAACATCCCCACTGTCTTCACAGGCGCTGCTGTGTGTCTTACCCTGGCTGTGCTGACATGTTGTACTCTTGGGGAGGAAACAAAAAAGAAAAAAAATTGAAATATCCTTGGAGAAGTTGTACAAAGTGGTTTATTTCTCAAAACTCCTAGGAGCTGAAAGCTTGGAGTATTAGCTTTTCCCTTTTTTTTAACCTTTAAGAGTCAATAGGACGGAAGTTTAATTAAATTGTTTAATCCAATTGCTTTTGAGGAGAAATGAGATTCACTATTGCTGCTGAGTTATAAATTGCTGACTTCATGGGGAATCATTGAATCTTGCCGTTGTGATTTGAGTAAAGCAAAGCACAGATGTATTTAAAATGCAGTTAGACTTGAGCAACATACTGCTTTTCCTTTATTTTTAACCAATAGCACTGTTTGTGGTAGAGGTGCCATTTTTTTTCACATGGGAAAGATTATATGGCTCATTGTTCATGTAAAAGCTTGACAAAGAAAATCACTTCAGTTCTCTGCCTTTCTCTCCCCAGTCTGAGGTCTCTCCCATCCTGTAGGACAGTAGCCTGTGGCCTCAGAATGTGGGGATGGTTTCCTTGGTTCCTGTCTCAGTGGCACTTCAATTTCTGCATGTTGTGCTTTGGATCCTGAACAGAAGTGTAGCACTCATTTTCTACAGGACAATTCAGATAGAATGAGCAGAGATTTCTTCATTCTGTCATAATCTGAAGAGTGGAACAATGGCTTTTATGACAGAAGAGTCACCACCACCTCCGAAGTGTCCATTGAAAGGACATAACTATTAGGGACTATTTTGTTTCCTTCCACTTTTAAAAATAAGAGTTATGTGGGATTTCTCTCATTTATCCAAACCCTATAAGCTTTCATATTATCTCTACAGCAAAGTTGACTATTATGTTCTAAGATGGTTCAGTGAAAACATTAAACTTGAATTAGTGTTCTTTTATTTTAGGTGTAACAATGAAAACGAATGGTGCCAGATCCATGAAAACATCATCCGCAAGTCCAGCACCAAATACACAGCCCCAAGCTCCAACTATGGTAAATATCTCCTTGGGCTTGTTTGTCAGAGCAACAGCTGAACATCTGTAGGAAACAGCTGATTATTTGTAGCAGAGAAATTCACTGAGATGCAAGGTTTTCCTTTCGTAGCTAATGACAGATAAATGGGGAAAGTTAAACCTGTCTTATCTGTTTACCTCATGTAATGAAGTATTTAGTTTCTAATTCAGAGATATCACTGCTCTCCCATTCCCAATGAAGCAGCTGATAGAGTACAGTTCAGCTTCATTACAGCCAGTTCTGCATTCATTACCAAGTGCCTGAATCATGCTGATGTCCAAGAACTGAATTTGTCTTAATTTTGCTTGTTTGCATATTGAGACACTGTAGTGGAGTATGCAGTGCACACTCCCATAGAAGAGATTAAGCACAACATTAAGCAAACAAAACATTCTGCAGGAATGGAATTTTACTGTGTGTAAAGCTGGTTTCATTCCCTGCTCCTCCTGTTACAATTAAAGTTATCCACTAGTCATCATTAAAAGATCTTCCTAAATTCTTTATAACTTTGAAAACTTGAGCAACATGTCTGAACTTCCAAATTTGATCCACTCCTTTTACACTGGAATTTTTAAAATTTATTTTCATTGGTTTACTTTTTTAATAGCAAACAAGGATATAAAATGAACACATTTTCCTGTAAGTGGCAAAAATAGTCAAGGCTCATTTCTAATGAACATGTCTCTTGTGTGCTGTGAAACCTTCTGCACACACAGACACCCTCATACATGGTATTCAAAGGGTTTGGATTTTTTCCATGCTTTCAGAGCCTGTGTTTTCCCTGCAGTGCTCTCCTGCCTACCCAGCTGGGCAGTTGCAAGTCCATGTTTTGGCAGCTTTTGAGTACATACATGCTGACTGTCCAGCTGGCTGGTTGGCCTCCCTTTTCCTTTATTTTAAGGCTTTATGCTCATTTTTTTTCATCCCAACTCCTACTATTCATTAAATGTATACAGTCTTTATGTAATCTGGGTATCTACTTATTTGCCAAATATGACTGAAGCCAAACAACAGGCTTGAAAATTATTTCAAATGGAGAAGGCAGGAAGTGGGTGGGTGGTACATGATACTCCTGGTTTTGTTTCCCTGGTAACTTGTCTGAGAAAATGGTGACTAAATATTGGTCACAAAGCACAGATATTGAGCTTAACAAAGAGCAGGACTTTGGCTTGTGCAAAAATGTGCATCCAAGGCAGGGTTTGGTGTGTGTTGTTTTGGGCAGTGAACATAGAGGACAGAAAGAACTCTTGACCAAGACACTGAAGGAGGTAAAGAATGTGGAAAATTGCTCTGTGCAGGTAATTCTCATGGATGTGTGGAGCTGGTAGTGTGTGCTCAGCAGGTGAGACTGGGCTTGAATGGCTGAGCTCAATCCTGGCATTTTTTCATATGGTAATGCTGGACTTAATAATTTTACCAGTACACTCTCCTGTGTTGTAAATTAAAAGCAAGTAGAGTAAACAGCTGGACTGAGATTAAGTGTGTAATTATTCCTAGTCCAGATGCTCAGGTTATCCACTGAACAACAGAACTGGTTGCTGAAGTCAGTTTGGCCAGTTGGCACCTCTGAAACATGTTGAGGAACTACTGGGAATTTCATTAAAATCATCAGCCCTCTATGAAGCAGTTAAAGAAATTAGTGGAACAGTTACACTTGGAGATTTAAGTTTTTTTCATGGTATAAAGCAGAATTAAAGGTACTTTAGAGAGGTTCCAGAGCTTTGTGTGGTTGGTGGTCCCTCAGACAGAAGTGGCATTGCTCGTACATGTGTCGTAACCTGCTGCATGTGAGGAAAAGAAATAATGGAAGTACCTTCTGTACCTGGGACATGTCTGCAAAATTAAGTATTCTGATTGTTAGGAGTTGTATTTTAATATAATTCTGTGTTCTTCACTGATCCCTTCTGAGAGTTTTGTTTCCTCCATTTCAATTTTCAGTTACTCCAAGGGAGAAAAGAACTCTGTGTTTATATATTGTATTAAATTAACTGTGGAGCAAAACATTATTTTACCTGCATGCTTTTTACATGCAGAATCTAATTCTTAGGTCAGAAACAATGAACCTCTTTGGTTTTTTTTCCCAGGACTTATAATATCTCTTCAGCTCCTTCGTGGTGACATGGAGCAGATCCGAAGGGAGAACCCCATGATCTTTAACAGAGGCGTTTCTGTCACCAGGAAGCTGGGATTTCCTGATGTTATAATGCCAGGTAAACAGAGCAGCTCCAGGCTAAAATATTGGTCATTCTTTTCTCATACTCTCCCAATCAAGTGCAACCGAATGGGCACTTTGAGTGGAATTTGTAACAGAGTTGTCTTATTTATCAATAAATGCCAGATTTGGGGAGGCAAATGCTAAAACATTGTCAGGAGCAGAATTACAGTGATAGAAGGTATTAAAATCATGTGGCTAGAAGGGGATCTGGAAAGATTGCTCTGATACTCCCCACAACCCCTGCCAATTAATATCCCTCTTGTACACTCAGCATAGAGATGTTTCTTTTTAAATGCATGAAATTTCTTCTTCCTAACAAGCCAAATCCTGGAAAAAATGAGTTTCCACTTTGCTACCTTGATGTTTTTGAAATTGGGTGATCCTTTTGTAATGAGAAGCAGAGAAGGTGCAGACCTGATCAGATTTTCCCTCTGGCCTCACAGAGCAGCTGGTCCAGGCACTGGCTTGGCTGCAGCCCTGCTGTGCTTCCTCTGCTCCTCACCTCTGCAGCAGCAGCTGGAGATGCTTCTTGGCTTGGCAGCCCCAGCACAGCCAAGAGTTCATTTAGAGAAGAACCCAGAATGTGGGCAGTCATGCAACCACATAAAACATGGTGTTACAGTGGCTTGACTTTTGCAGTGTGGTAAGAAATGGGTTTGCTAATTAGTAGCATTTGAACTATTACTTCATTGCTGTGATGAGCAAGGCCAAGGATGACTTGACAGACATGGGAGATTTGGTGAAAGCATAATGGGAAAAGCATTAGATTTTATTACTCAGAAGGCTACGGTGAGACATCAGTACCAGAAGTAGTTGTAGCCTTGTTATGGAAGCTCTTCAGAAACCACAATAAAATAGGGAGTAGGTGGGAAGCATTTCTAGAAAACTAAAGAGTCAAAGGATTTAGAACAACGTGTGTATATTTATTAATGAACTTGAAAATGGTGGTAACAGAGCAGCAGATGATGTGGGCTATAAAACCAATTAGAAGTTTTGGTTCTTAATGACCTTATATAGCAGTTCCAGGCATAACCCAAAGCAATCAAATAGGGAAAAGATGAATTATTGCAGGCTGATGTACAGACACAGCAGCTGCAAGGTGATCTGCTGTAACTGAGATCACAGCTGGATGTGCCACACTTACACACCTGTGCAAGGGAATTGATTGTCCTGCAAGAACTGCTTGATCCTCCGTTTCTGTGGATAAAGCTGTACCTCAGGTGCTTCAGGCCAATGAAGCTGAAGGAACAGCTTCATGTCCTCAGTGTTCCCAAGTGGTTTTTTTGTTTTCTGGGCCCTGGCCCCTCTGCAAAGTGCACAATGTGTTCCCTGTATCTGCTGCTTTGGGAAAGGCTTTGGGCCAGGGCTAGAGCAAACAGGTCAGCAGAACTCATACAAAAAGGACTCCTGCCCTAAGCTTTTAAAATTCTTTGTTCACAGCAGCTAATCCAAATTTCCAAATTCTCTTTGTGAGATGCACAGTTCTTTTTGGAAAAGACACTGGGGTTTTAAAATGATAACCTGATTGGAATTGGACTCATATACATTTATATACTCTCTGTCTCACACACACACACACACACACACACATATATATATATATATGCTCAAAATGTTGATTGATAGAAACAAATGTGTGAAAGGATCACCATTCTGCTATTAAATGCTTCCTGCCTCTCCAGAGTATCTGGGCACAGAACTTCTTGTTTCCAGGTATGCTACAAGAGGTTTTCATATATTGAGTTTAGATGCAAAGCTTTAGGCATTGCAAAAATAATGCTTCTATTTGTGAGAAAAGGCACTTTGTACATGTCTGTAAACACCAGGTAAGAAAAGCAAAGCAGTTGAGGAAGTGTTTTAACTGTAGTTATAACTGAGGACATTGCTAGAGTAGAGAGGGAGCTGTGAAGAGAGGGATAGTCATGAATGGGGCTCCAAACAAAGGCTTTCACTATCTTGGGTATTCCCCAGAATAATGAAATCTCTGGAAAATGAGGAGATTGAAATGTAATAGAACTCCACTGATGCAGGAAACAGTGTTCAGTCTAATTACTAATCAGGGCTTTTTTGAAATCAAACTATGTTTGATGCACTCAAGTGACAGGATATATTTGCCTGTTGTTTGCTTTTAACACAGATCAGCTTTTTAGCAGATTGTTTGCTTTTTCTTTGCTTTTTAGCAAGACAGTTGGGGTTGGAGATTGCCTGATATCAGGATAGAACATTTGGGTTGTGTTACCTTTCAGGTGGATTAACCCAGCTGCATGAACAAGGAATGTCTCTCAATAGACTTTGTGCTTCTGTTTCTACAGCCAGGTTCAAATATTCTTCCTTAGCTTTATGAGAATTGTCTGAAGTTGAAAAATAATTCACTGGGGACAGACATGACCAAAAAAAAAGGAACTAAAAGCCCTAACCAAAGACTGAAGCCTGTCATGCACATTAGCAGTTCTCAGCCATGTCTGCTGCTTTAATGGTATTTGTCAAACTACCTCTTCCTTGCTTTGCTTCAGAGCTGTTTATCATTAAACACAGGGTTTCCTCTTCCAAAAAACAGCACAGAAAGTTCATGACTTGTATTTTGCAAGTGGATACAGATTTTTCAGGACAGTGTGGTTTAAAAATGTTTTTTATGAATAAATAAAGACTATGTCACCTAGTACTTGTAAAAAAAGCAGTGATCATTTTGATGAACCAAGAAATCTGTTTTTAAAAAAGTAAACAGCTCTAGCATTTCAATTTAATTTTTTTTGGTTTTGTTTTTGGTCATAGGTTTGAAGGTTTTAATTTTATTTTTTAACAGGAAATCCTCTCACATGTGCACATCTTAACTATTGAAATTTTGGAGCTGTATTTCATTACTGTTTTCCAATCCCTTTTTTTTTCTAAGCTGTAGCATTAGCTCCCTGTGTCAAGTCCTCTTTTTCTGTCCCTCAGATAGGAGCAACATCAGTGGTAGCTGATCATCATTAAGAAACAAAGTGAAACTGGTCTTTATGGGTTTGTATCTTGCATGGTTATGCAGAACAAGCTTAATATTGTACAAAACAACCTTTCCTGCCCACTTTTGTAAAGATAAAGTGTTCTTTGTTTCCTACTGTGTTGTGATCTGACAAGAGCATCATAAAGACTTCAGTTATCTTTTTTGGCAAATTCAGAGGGGACTCGGTCAAACCAGCCTCCTGAAGAAGTTATGGTGGGGTTTTGTTCATTTGTAGTTTGATGATTTTTATTCCTTTTCTAAATTGTTCCTGGGTTTAAGGCCATGCATCTGATGGTGCCAATGTTACCTTCCCAGAGCTGAGAGCAGTGAGGCCTGTGCTGCTCCTTGGGGATTGCAGCTGGGCTTTGTGCAGGACTTGCTGAGCAGAAATCTGTTGCACAGGCTTGGTGTTTGTCAGTCCCCCAAGGACAACCTTCCCCTTGCCCATGTGCTGATAAGTATTCTGTCTTTTCCTTTGATCCTCTGATGAAAAGTGCATGCTTCATCTCCGACTTGTGAGTGATGTTTCTTTCTCTTTTTTCTCTCTCCTTGTCTTAATTTCCTGGCTTCTCTCCTGTTCCTTTCCCTTTATTCTCTCCCCTTTGTTTCTGGTGCAGAGATGAAGATTGTTGGGTGTAAGTTTCTGCCTTTCTGTGTAATGTCTGCTTTTTGCTTGCTTTTTTTCCATTTTCATATCTTCCATGGAATGTTGAGATTGATAAAGACAGTAAATCATAACATCACATAGAAACTTTGGTTACAGGGAGGTGAAAATTTTGTCTCTCTTCGTACCACAGGGTTTCAGACAAATTTAGTCACTGTGACAGGTGAATCAGTAAGAAACAGGTGAGAAACATCTCAGCATCTGTTCAGTCAGTGAGCACAAAGTCATAGCAAAAATGCATTTAGGAAAGGATGTGGTAAAATCCATCAGCCATTCTCAGAGTGTTCATGGCAAGAGTGTTAACGAGACCAAAAGCCATAATTATGTAATAATTATCACCAAAAAGTGTCTACTTCTTGAGAGAATAAAAAGTATTATTGTCATAAATAAACTTGTAGAAATTGAAAGTTGGCAGGGACAAAAAACATTAAAGAACAACTTCCTACTACTGAAAGGCAACTATTCCAGGGAAATCACTGCATTTAAAAAGGGCATTGTATAAATTCTTTTCTATATATAGAAGTCAAACAATGGGTAGCAAATAACCTAATAAGTATTGCTTGTCCCTTTTTCTTTGAAACAATTGTGTTGCTCAGTGAAAGCTGGAGAAGCACACAGAGTTAAACTTGCATAATGTTCTCTTTAGAGGAAAAAAAAGCTAATTTAATTTGCCATAGAGGCAGCAGATAAAAGCTTTGTTTCCCCTTGTTGCTGTAATATTGCTCACAATTATGTTAATAGTTGCTCACTGTAACTATTTCAAGAATATAGGCCTTAAAAAAACCTGCCTGTTTGGTGAAGGGCCAGAGAAATGAGCTGCTGCAGTGGATGGGATGTGATCCCCAGAGTGGGACTGTGCCAGGAAGGCAGTGGGAATATGGGGAACATGGAGGGGCTGCAGAGGGCTGTCACAGGGGGTGGCACTGCTAAAGCCAGGCACAGTCACACAGTGGGAGGAACAAGTCCTGTGGGGCAGCCAGAAAGCTGCACAGGGCTGCTTCCCACTGACCCCTGGCCAATTTGTCCTTGTCCCTTTGGTTTGGAGGAGTGAAGTGATGAGCACAAAGCTGCTCCTGTCAGCCTCAGCTGTGCTGGTGCCCCTGCCCTTCACAGGTCGCTGTGTGTGTGCACTGGAGGCAGCTGCTCCTCCAGGGGAGGGTGGAGTTTGGCTGTTTGAGGTCAGGGACCCATCACTGGCCCCTCCAAAGCAGCAGCTTCCTGGGAAGAGCCATGCAGACAGGAAGGCCAGGAAAATGTGAGAGTCTCAGCCAGGAAGCAGAGCAGTTCCCTTCAGGGAGCTCAAACAAATAGCCAGAACATGTGATAGATAACACTGCACATGAACACAAATCCTCTACACTTTATGCTTTGCTTCAAAGCTTTCCTTGCTGGCCAAGTCCTCAGTTTGAGCTGCTGTAACTTGGCTCAGGTCACTGGGGTGATGCTGGCTGGCTCTGGTTGTTCATTTATGGACAGGACATAAATGCACAGGGTTGGGTTTTCTTCAGAAGCCATTGTGGAAGATACTCTGAATAACTTTCTTGCCCATTCACTCTTCTGTGAAGTGACACTTTTTTGAAGAGATGCCAAACCCAGGGGTGTTAGAGAGTCCAGCAGACAGTGTAGGACAGTGTGGGGCCCTAAGTGAATAGGACCAGCACAGCAATTTCATAAAAATAGACCTAAACATTAATATGCTGATTTTTTTTCTGCCTTGGCTGCCTAAATTGTAAAAGACTAAACTTTCACCTTAAGAAATCCAATATTCTCTGAATAAATAGCTATTTTACTTAGTTGAAACAAGGCCTACACACGCTGACTTCTGGGAGCTGTCACTTTTCCCCCTCTTGCAAGGGATATATATACAAGCTCAGAAAAAGAAGTTGTTAGAATTGAGTGACCAGAAATTTGTGTCTCTTTCTCCTGCAGAAACTTCTGTGAATTATGTACCCTTTTTTGATGTAGTATTATTCTGCACAAAACAGGGACCATTCCTGTCCTTAGTGTCCAAAATCTTTAGGATCCCTGAATAAAAAGTGTTTGATTGAATACAGACAGTTCCTGTAAATTGTTACTGTTTTGCAGTATAAGTACCTGGTCAGTCTTACAGTGGAAAACCTACACACCCTGTCAGGATAAACTCCCATTTCTTCTGCTGGAGACTGCACAAAGAGTGACTGTTGGGTTGCTCCAGGTTATTAAGTCTTGAAAATGATAAATAACTATTTGGAAGTCTTCCAGTACATTCCTTTATACTGCAAATGCAAAATCAATATTTGGCTCATATAGCCTTTTCCACCACTCCTTTTTGCCCCCATTACCATTAAAATAGTTTGAGGTCAATACAAGTGAGCTGTGAGCTCCCCCAAACTATAATTTATGTTTTATAATTTAAACAACTGTATGGTGGACATTGGGCCTCGTAAATAGGTTAAAACAGACAAACAAAACAAAACTCCAATAAAGGTGAAGGGAATTGATAAAGAAAGAGCCCCAAAAAATATCAGAATTTTTTTTTATATTATAATGGCAAATACTGTCTTTCAAGGCATTTGATATAGGATTAATGTCAGTAACCATGTGTATAAAAAGCACATGGATTATGCTAAGAAGTAGTTTACTATTGTTTTTAACTGGAAAACAATTGTAGAGAGGTGGGCTTTGAAACAAATCCCGTTCTGGAAACTCTCTAAGGTTTTCAGTTCATCCTTGACAGCCATCCAGCACAGGGACCTCAGCTTAAAATGACATCAGCAGGCTTTGCTCTATAAATACCCGTGGCCCACTGGCCTTGTAGTACTTTTTATTCCTGTTCTGATGGTGGGAGGCCACAGCTCACCCAGTTTTTTGCTCTGTGCTGCTGTTTGGGAAGGTCTGAGGCCTCTGTGGTCCAAGCTGAGCTACTCAGCCTGGTTTCCCCCAAAATGCAAGATTTGCTGTCACAAGCACAAGGCTGTTTGTGCAGTAATTTGCATGAATGGTCTGACATCTTAAGTTCATTACTGATCTCCTTGTCTCTTTCCAATGGAATTAATCTGGCCAAGCCCCGTGTGCCCAGGGGGCACTCCTGGTCCTGCTGATGGCACCGTGGTGCAGTCCCGTGCCAGGTGTCCCTGCGTGCCCAGCCCCACATGTGGCTCAGCTTTCTCTCTGAGCACACTCAGAGCAGAGATTGCAATAAACTGCTCTGTGCTCAAGCATTTCTTCTGGGTTCTGTGCCACCCACTGGGGTATCAGAGCTCAAATCCCTCGAAACCACAGGCAAATGGAAAAAGACAAAATGCTTGTGAGGCCTTGGGTCACCTGATATGTTGAGATTGTTCCTTGTAGGAAGGTGATTTCCAACAAAATAATCACCCTACCTGATGGTTAAATGCTTTTTGTCTTTGTTAGATACATTTGCTTCCTATTTTTACTGTATGTAGTGATCTTTTTTATTTTTTGAAGATCCAATAGACTGTTTTTATAATAGAAGATACACTGTCATATTTCACTATAATACCTTTTCCCATCTTTCCCCTTAACTTTTATGCAAATCGACTGGTTTTAAGATCCCTCTACACCCCACCCCAAAGGCATTTTTTTTTAATTAGTGGAGTAATATCCCTCCTGTTAAGCTTAATAGAAGATAAGATTCTATATATAACCAAATGCTGCCTTTAATTTAGGCTGGAAAATGATTTGCTATCTGACATTGGACTTTGTGTAGCCAGACTGCCTTCCAGAAAAGAGGTCATAAGTAGGGAGCTCCGAAATGATAATTATAGTGAGTACAATTAATTTCTATTAAGATTTACAGCATACAAATTGAAACCCTTTTTCCTAATTGAGCAAACTGCTGAGAGAAAGGAATGGAGTCTTTTAAGCAGGAGGATTTTCCAAACAAAAGGCCCAACTTAAACCATACTTTGTGATGAATTTTGTATTTCCTTGCTATCCCTATAATCAGGATAGAGGTATATCAGCTTGATTTTGATCCCCAAGACAATTTACTCTATTGTAGAGTGTTGTATTTGATGCTGTGCTTTAATAAGCCAAACCAGATCCAATACCTGAGGTCTTTCACCAAGCTCTTGCTGTCATCTTTTCCCTGTTGATGCCCCCTGGCAGCTCAGCCTCTGGCTGGGGGGTGTGTTCCAACACAGGGGGAAGCTCCTGGAAAAAGGAGCACGTTCTGCACAGATTGCCATTCACAGAGAGTTCCCAGCAGGAAGCACTGACTGCAGCCACAGAGCTGGATTTTCCATGCTGAAAGAGTTGTACTTATCTCCAGAAATAAAACTGAAAGCAAAGGCAGGACTTAGAGCTTCTATTGTTTATCCCTACAGTAAATTAAGGAACAAGTTCTGTGGGGTTTTAGACTTCAGGAAGAATTTGAAGCGCTGCTTTGAGGGGCACAAAAGGATGTCCCTCAGTGCCTGAGAGCAAATTCTGCCTTTTTTCATTGTGCTTCTGATTAATACAGAGATTTAACTGCATCAGTTTCTCCAAGTGGAAGAAGTCAGACATTGAAGTAATCTCTGCTTTGTTGCATTACTTTGTTATTTAGTGTCTTGGGGCTGATTAACAAAATACTTCCCTTGAAAGGGTTTAATTTTTTTTGTTTGGTTTTTTGTTTGTTTGTTTTTGTTATTTTTGTTTATTGCCCTTTAGTATGTTTGCCGTTCTGGCAAGTAGATAAAAATAATGTTATGTATGAACCATCATAAGATGGTGACAGTAACTAAATCTTCCAGAAAAATAGGTGGTACCTGCTGTCCTTTTGGTGTAGGCCTTAGAACTGAGCACATTAGTTTTGAAAGCAGCTCCCCAAATCAGATTCTAAAATAAAACCAAACCAAGTGAGATAGAGTCTGTGAAATTCAGAATAACAAGATGCTGAGGCACAAGCATTTCTATTTCTGAATATAGTAATTTGGTCTGAAAGCTCCTGAAAATGACGTAGTGAGAAGCTGGCAAGTGTCCATACTGCCTGCTTTCATACAGCCATGCATATGGATGCCAAAGGCCAGCCAGAAATCTAGCAAAAATTACATTCAGAATTCCTTTCTAATCCATCAGAACTCAATTGTGATCAGGTTCTCAAACAGGCTGCTTTTATTTTGTTGTTATGATAAAAAGAAATTATGAAAATATAGAAAATGCTTGAAGGGCTAACTGAATATAATGTTATTGTGATCGTCACAAAAATACTTATTTTTTTGTTAAATATATTGTAAATGGGGAGCATGAAGCTAAGGATGTTTTGTCAGGCTCAGCCTGACACTTCCAGCTCAGCTAACAAGGCACAGTATAGCAGTAAGAGGTTTTTCCCTTCCCCACTTACATAATTAAAACCAGTACTGATCCTGAGCTCACATTATTAAAGGCATTACTAACAATGGTCTGATTTTATGCACTGATATTAAACTGTTCATCCTTATTAACAATTAACTTGCTGCTTGGAATGGTTTGGGCATCAGCCATCGTCTTGCAGAACACAGAGAACGGTTTGAGAATGGAGCTGGGATGGCCCCACTGTCCCCTGTGGAGTTTAAGGCTGTGGCTCTGCTCTGTCCCTGCAGGTGACATCAGGAATGACCTGTACCTGACCCTGGAGAAGGGGGACTTCGAAAGGGGTGGCAAAAGTGTGCAGAAGAACATCGAGGTGACCATGTACGTGCTCTATGCTGATGGAGAAATCCTGAAGGTAAGTGCTCCTTTCCCTGAGAGCCTCAGCTGCTCCCTGCAGGGAAACTACCTCTTGTTCCAGAGTCTCTGATGCAAGGGAAGAGTTAAAATAAAGCTATCTCTCTCTTTTTTTTTTTTTTTTTTGTGATTTTTTTTTTTTTTTTTTTTTTTTTTTTTTTTTTTTTTTATTGTGATGTTTGTAAGCTGTGTGTTATGGTCAGTTATAAATCTGTAAGGATTTGGAGCACTTCCCTTATATGGGGATAGAAGACTTGGAGAAAATACTCATAAACTGAAAAGCCTGTGTGATTTCCAAAGGTGATGTCAGTGGCTAAAGTAAAAAAAAAATAGAGTAACTGTAATCAGAACTAAGAAGTATAGGCATATCTAAAATTAAATAATATGTGCCATACAACATGATGAAATGTGATTCCAAGGGAGACTTAAATCTGAGTTGTTGGGTTACAGAACTGAATGCAGTTCTGGAAAATAACTTGGAATAAAATTTCGCCCTGGGTTGGCTCCATTGCAGCTGGGAATGGGGATTGTTTATGTTTCCTGTTTTACCTCCTCTGTTTTAGTTTTATTGAAGAGAAGGAGGTGGGTGGGAGGCTGTGAATATAGAGAAGTAAACAGGAAGTATTTCAGTGTGAGCAGCTATCAGAACTAACTTCCCCCTGAAATTTCTTTTACCTCCACTGCAATAAAATGGGCTTTGTAGCCATTACTGTGGAGAATCTATACACCTAGAAGTGTGTACCAAATACACTGCCACTATCTTCTGGTTTTAATTGAAAGGAGAACTTTCATTACTACAACTGCTTGTGGTTTCATTAAATAGAAAGTGTATTTCTTGTAAGGAACTCATTTGTGCCCAGAGCTGCTGCAGGAAGATCAGATTCCTTTTCTGCTAAAGCTTTTCAAACTGAGTGGCAAAGTTACAATCATCAGTTGATTTCAGTCTGCCAAGGACAAAGAGAAGTGCCTCAAACTGCAGTATCAGCATCTTCAAATGCTGACACATAATGGTGTCTAACGATTATATACAAAAGCCAGATAATTTCTAGACATTATCAGTCTTAACTTGGGTGATTTTGGTTGCAATGGTCATTCACAGAGATGAAGCTGGTTTTGCCTTGTCTTTGCCTGTTATTTCTATTGGAAAGTACATTGGGGCTTTACATGGGAGACTGGGACAGGCATGGCACAAACACTGGAAAGGATGGTCAGTCCAATTAGGAAAAAAATCAGGTGAACAGATTGTCCTGAGAAACTGTGGCTGTCACATGCCTGGAAGTGCTCAAGGCCAGGTTGGATGGAACTCTGAGCAGCCTGGTCTGGTGGAAGGTGTCCCTGCCAATGGGGCTTGGAGCAAGATGAGCTTTAAAGTCCTTTCCAACCCAAACCATTCTAGGATTTGCCATAAAGGACCTTTGTGGGGTTTTAAAAGTTAGGCCACATATTTAAAAGAAACTCTGTCCCAGTTTTTATGGCATTGCTCCTCTGTGTGGATGCAGTCAAAGCAGCAGTAAAGACACTTGGTTTGTGTCTGGGTGATCTTTGGTTCCTGGTGTTTCATGGTGCCTGTGAATGTGGGCAGAACACTGAGAGCTCATTGACCCTGGAGCACTGCTGCTCCTGGCTGGAATCCTGGTTGCTGCTCCTGGCTGGAATACCTCCACCATGCCTGCCCCATGGCCTTTCTGGAGCAGAGCTGCCAACTGAGACACTGTGTGCAGTTACACAGAATGGGGGAAGTGGCCAGAGTTTTCATCTTGTATTACAGTAAAATACTTAAACTTGTCCCAACCAGCAGCACAACCCAAATCTGAATTGTGCCTTTGTGAAACCTTTAGCAGAACCATGCACAGCATTAATGAGAGTTTTCTCAGGTCCTCATTGCTGCCGAGTGTATTTTGATCCAAAAATGGTCCTATTGAAAGGAGTAAAATTACCTCTAGAATGTAGTGCTGTTCAAAATGAAAATGAGTATTTCCTTCTCAAAATGATATTACTCAATTGTTATTATCTTTCAATATAGTCTGAAAAATTAAAAAAAAAATCCTTTGACACATTTCTCACTTTTTTCTTCTTTCTATTCCAGTAGCAGGAATAGCCTATGAATTGCAAGGCACACCTTCAACAATAGAAATTTCCTGATAATTTTTCTAGTTTAGTTTCCCATCCCTGCCTCTGCCCTCTAATTCCCCTGTATATTTGGGTCTCAGGGTCACCAGGTATCTGGAGATTAGTCTGATGTTTGTATTTTGCAGATCGCAATTTAGAATTAAAGATTTACCAGTCTGCCCCCCTCAGAAATAGATTGTAGTATAACTGCATGGGAACAAAGTTAACAACCAGAAGAAGAGACTATTGATTTATTTGAAGTTCATAGCATGCAACTGCATTCAAAGACTGGCAGCTTGTCAGCTAGAGCAGGTGGCTTCTTGATGGGACAAAAAAAGCTCACATTAAAATTTGAATTTTTACTGTACATTGTAGAGAAAATAGAAATACTGTTTTGTTTGCATCCTAATGCAGAATGAGGTTTTGGAATTGCGTTGTTGAAGTCCAACCATTTATTCTTGCTATAGAATAGAACTGGGATCTTACAGGTGTTCTGGGTTGCAGTACTGGCACTGCTCTCTACTAACCTGTTGTTATCTACAACACTTAATTCTTGCTGCTGTATTAAAAAAAATGTGGGGTTATGTGGTTGCTGAGGATTATTTGAGAGGACTGAAGTTGTGTGAGTTCAGCCTTCAGTCACTCAGTTTGGATCAGAAGCTTTGCAGTGAGTCCCTGTCAACAGTCTGTCCTTGCATTGAATCCCTGAATTCCAGAGAACATTTCTTCCCTTTTGGGCTCCTTCATAGATTCTTAACTTTCTGTAAGACAGCAGATTACTGCCAGATGTTGAACTACCTGGGTTTGGTTAATGGGATATTCTTGATTGGGCAGTGAGATGGTTACAGAAAAAAAATCAACATTTCTGGTATTTTCTTGGGTTAGAATTTATAGATGCCTAGGAGAAATGACCAGTAGCAGTTCTTGTCATCACATTGTTCCATGGGGGAGTTTTCCATCAGATTTTCCATCAGAATTTATATTACACGTCTTATTCTTAGTCTACTTAGCTTGTTTCTTTCTGGATTCATTATCCTTGGTCATGCTAAAAGTAAAGAATCTCCAAACAGTCTTTATTCTGCTTGGTTTTGTGAGATATTGTGTCTCCTGCATCTCTTTGCAAGTGCTGGGTCTAGAGCATGGGAACCTTTTACTGTGCTTATTTCAGGACTTCAATATTTATCTTATTTTCCTTCACTTGTATTCTAAGAATTTTTTTATTTTCTGAACAATATAAGTTCATGTTTTTCTTCATCTGTATATTTTTTTTGAAGGCGTAGATTGGGCAAGATCTCCGAGTTTGTCAGATCTGAAGGCAGAAATTTAGATCCAGTTATGTTTTTAGGTGATGAGTATTACACAGAAATTCTTTGCTTACCACTGAGGAAGTAACTTGATTAGAAGTTTCTGGTACACTTGGTGAGGCTGGATAGTTGTAGTTTTGAAAGATGAACATTTTTAAAGAGCTTGGAAAGGTGACTTATCACTTCTGAACTGAGATACTGAAGCAGAAATCTGGTTAAAGGATCTTTTCACAGAAGGCTGATATTATAAGTGATGGTCCTACTATGTCTTATTTCTTGGACTTGGTTTTATATATTTGGACTTAGGTGTTTATTGTATCTACTCAGTACTTGATGGAACACTTAGCTTAAATAAAAACCTAAGATACTGGGATTCATCCAGTAGTACAGGTCTCTTAGTTGACCCTTTGACCCAAACCAAAGTTTCGAGATCTCCTAAAAAATTTCACATTTCTTTTTGTGTCTGAATTTCTGCTTCTGACTCTACAGAAAGCCATGAATCATATAAAGGTTATCACTGGCTGATAAAATGACTCCCAGGTGGTGGGTGACGTGGTGTTTAATGCTGGTCCTTTCCTTCGGTGGCAGGACTGCATCAGCCTGGGCTCGGGCGAGCCGAGCCGGAGCGCGTACCACTCCTTCGTGCTGTACCACAACAACAGCCCGCGCTGGGGCGAGATCATCAAACTGCCCATCCCCATCGACCGCTTCCGCGGCTCCCACCTGCGCTTCGAGTTCCGCCACTGCTCCAGTGAGTGCCCCTGGCCACTGCCAGCTCCATCTGCATGAGGCCGTCGCTGGCTGGAAGGCAGGAAGGGGAGGCCAGCCTGAAATACAGTGAAGGGGCTCTGCTAAGCAACCTTTTACTGAATTTATCAAACAGCGCACTAAAAACATGGTGAACGATCAGTGCAGGGCAAAGCACTTTGTAGATGTTTGTCCCTGCTGTTCTTTTGTTCTGTTTTTCTGTAGAATGTTTTCTTTGCAGGATAAGCAGTTTAGATTTTGCTATGTTTGGCATGTCTGTGTTTGATTTGAAGCTTGTCAGTCCTTTACATAGAATTAGAAAAAAGAAATTAGAATTAGAATGAGAAAAGTTGTTTGTTATGTAGCTGTTTGTTTTCTTTCAGGCATGTGGAGAAGCTGGTGAGTAATCTTATATATATTGACAGGGTATGCACAAATACAATTCCTTCTTTCTGTCTCTTGCTACAGCAAAAGACAAGGGAGAAAAGAAGCTTTTTGGTTTTGCATTCACCCCATTGATGAGAGATGATGGCACGACCTTGTCAGATGATATCCATGAGCTTTATGTTTATAAGGTACCGGTTCTCTGCAGACTTTTCATTGCTCATCTCTACTGCATTACTTAAATGAGTAATGTTCATTGCATTATCCATCTCCCCCTTATTAGAAGTTTGTGAGGAACAGATTAATAGCAGTTTCAAAATTTTATACATTCAAAATCACATGGTTTGGCTAGAGCCTCCTATTCTAGGTGCAGCTTACCTTTTCCATCCTGATGATAATGATTTATCTGCTATTAATCCCATCCATTTGGGCTTCAAACACGCTGGTGTTCATGAGCATTCAGCATATCTACCAGCCTAAGGCATTGCTCTGTGCCTTTGTAAAATGACATTGTGTTGGATTGAAATGCCTTGTGCTGCAGTCCCACAGCTTGGCTGCCCTGCAGCAAGAGATTTGGGATTTGGGCTTTGGGGTTTTTCTTTCCTGCTGATTCATCTGGGTTTATTTGTTAGTACAATTTTCAGGCAGCAGCACTAAGTTTACCTCTGGAAGATCTGGTGAGTTCTAATGAGGCAGTGGTTGGAGATCACTGTAGAGCTGATCTCTTCTGGGCATGTCCAGGCCCCCAAGCACAGCTTTTCCTTAGAAGTGTTTGTGTACACCCACAACAATCCCAGCACAGGCACTGTTGGGGAGCTGCTGGCAGGCTCTGGGTGTGTGGGATGGGATGGACAAGGTGCAACTCCATCTCTTGTGCTGTCCCCGCAGTGCGATGAGAACAGCACGTTCAACAACCACGCGCTCTACCTGGGGCTGCCCTGCTGCAAGGAGGATTACAACGGCTGCCCCAACATCCCCTCCAGCCTCATCTTCCAGCGCAGCACCAAAGAGACCTTCTCAGTCTCCACACAGCTCTCTTCTACCAAACTGACCCAGAATGGTGAGTTGCTGATCCCTCAGAACTGCCCAAGGCAGCAGGAATTAGGAAAGAGAGAAAAAAAATTAATTGTTAGCTCTTCTACACAATACAGAGTTTGTTTTGCTTGGCTTTTAAAGAATGGCTGAGTAAATAAGATTTTTTTACAGCAACATCCCTAAAGCACAAGCAGACAGAAGTGGATTTTCCACAGTGTGGTGTCAAGTCACATAGGGGAAAATGCAGCCTTTACTCTTTTCAAAGCCCTTTACCATTCCTCCATTCCTTTCTCCATTAGCAGCATTGACTCATTCCATATTGTACTTCTTGTTTTCCATTATATGTATATATATGTCATCTCCCAAGAAGCGTGGACTGCATCAAGAGGTGAAGTGCAAGGTGATCAGTCTCTGATGGGTCTGGGGTTGCCATTCTTTCCTCTATGTGTGGTTCTAGCTCTTCCTCCCTCTCTCTGCAGTGGATCTGCTTGCCCTGCTCAAATGGAAAGCTTACCCAGATCGAGTGATGGATATTCTGGGAAGACTGAGACATGTCAGTGGCGAGGAGATTGTTAAGGTACTACATGAAATAACAGTCTTTGGATGTGTCTGTGATAGGCAGTGAGTTCAGACCTGCAAGCCACTTCTGAAAGCTGCCTCTTAATGTGATTTTTGATTCACATTGTGAATTTCCACCCTGTATGAATTGGGATTTTATGATGTGAAACTGGACAGGAAGATACGCTTGAGAATTAGTGCACAGTCAGTCTGTGGGATCAAACCAGAGCTAATCCTTAAATTCTCTCAGCCACATGTGCTGGGTCCTCAGCACCGGTGGTTCCAGTCTGCAGTCCCACACAGCTGCTGGTGCAGACACAGACCCTGGCAAGGGCTCTCTGGTGCATCCAGCCAGCAGTGCACCAGTCTTCTGTCTGCCAGCTCATCATTTCACCAGGCTTTGTAGCTACTCTTGCTCTACATGATAATCTTGTGTGGCCTTGGCTTCCTTAGGGCCCAGGAACTTCCAACTGCGTTTGAATACTTGTGGTCACAGCAAAACAAAGTTCATTCCAGATATGCCTCTGATAATCTTAGGTGTGCTGAGAACTTTCTCTAGAATTTATTTCTATAAATCTGGAAGTAAAAGCTGTTTTCTAACACAAATAATCAAGGAACAGAAACTGAAGACAAATCCTATCGCATAATAAGTAGTTTATCATTAAAGCCACTTCACTGTAACTCATTTGAGTGCTGCCATATCTGGAATGTTACTTTTTGTGCTAATTTGGTAACAGTAACAGGGGAGCACAAATCCCATTTATACTGGAATTCTTCAAGAATGTCATGTTTTGTACACTTCATTTGTAGGGCAGTACAAGTATCTGGTTTTTATAGAGAAAGAAAAGGAAAGATATGGATTGAATTATTGCATGGGGAGAAGTAATTGATTCTCCCCATAAATCAGCTGTCATTTGGCACTGGGATATGAAGAACAGAATGTAATAATTCAGAAAAAAAGACATTTTATCATTTCAGAGACTTCATAAATTGTTATAATTTATTTCTTGTTGTCCATATCAGAAATTTAAGTAGAATAGATTAAAAAATCATGAGAGAATGTGCAGTTAATGATCTCCAGGACTCTCCTTCACACTCATCGTTTTGGAGACTGGCTTTCAGAAGGAAAATCACTGAACTGTCAGTGCTCAACAAGCTGTGGAGTTAAGGGTGAAAGAAGCAATTGGCAACATGTAACTTGCCCCAATTAATGCTTGTTAGAAAAGCTTTACTTTCTGTCATTTAACAAAAATTTCAGTATTAAACATAATTTAATATACTGCCCAGCTTCAGATTTGATGCTGAACAGTACCTGAAACTCCACTGATTTGAGAATGAGAGCAAGTTCCTTTGCCACTGGTGTCAGGCAGCACTTCCAGTCAGCTAAAAGTGAGAGGAACACTCAGTCATAATTTAATATCAGGTATATAGTACATATTTCTTATTTTTTGATTTTCTGTCACTTTTGCTTGAAAATATTCCTCGCAGAATAAAGAGAAAAATTTTTCTTTGTAAAATCAAATTAAAATATATCACATCATATGGGTGAACCTGAAGTGATTTATCCCTGGCAGGTGTTTCACAATGATATTAACATGTATGAACTAATTAAAGCAGGGGAGAAATAACCTTTTGAATACAGTTTAAGTTGAAATTCTTTGTTCATGTCATTTTAGTTCCTACAAGATATTCTGGACACGTTGTTTGTAGTTTTGGATGACAACACAGAGAAATATGGTCTGCTGGTCTTTCAGTCTCTGGTAAGCTGCTGGATTGTTATTTATCTCATGCTCAGTGAGTTTTAAGTTTCTTATGATCATGTTACTAGTACTGTACTCCTGTCAAATATGAAATGCTCAGCTGGATCCAGCCATGCTTTCTGTAATGGTCTTGGGTGAGCAGGGCAGGCTGAGTTCAGCACATGCAGGGGCCAGCAGTATTTACTGTCATGTGGGAGAAGCAACCAACAATACTTGATAACACAGCAGCAACTGTTTAAAGCAGCTCATGTATTTGAATGCTCCTTACCTTGGGTCACTTGTTTGTAGACACTTGGCAGCAATGTGCAATTCCTTGAGTTGGGTTCCTGTCTCTGTGTCCCCAGGTGTTCATCATCAACCTGCTCCGTGACAGCAAGTACTTCCACTTCCGCCCCGTGATGGACACCTACATCCAGAAGCACTTTGCAGGAGCTCTGGCTTACAAGTAGGTCTTGTGTTCCCCCCTTTGAGAGGTGGCATCACCAAGCTTGGGAATGGTGGCACCACCAGGATCACAACCTTTCTGGCAGCAGTGTCCCCAGAAGCAGAGCTACTCAACCTGGAAGCACAGCCGTAGGGAAAAGCTGCCAAATGTCACCAGTGGCTGAGCATGGTTGGGCATTTCTCTTTCCCTTCTGGACTGGCAAATCTGGCAAATCTTTCTTTTTTTTTTTTTTTTTTATCATCAGTCTGTAGTCTATACAAATGAGCTCCCAAGAGCAAATGCATTACTCGTCTTAAGGATGGTGGGATACATGACTTGTGTGAAAGCTTAGAGAACTAATTGTAACTTCTAAAGTAAACAGATATTCACATAAGTTGTTCTATTTGGTTACAATTTAATTTCAGTAGACCAGAAATTTAAATTTCACTATTACTTTGATTCTGCCTTATATTCTGGTATTCAAAAAAGTTTTGCATAAGAGAATGAGACAGACTTATTGAAAGCAGTTACCCTTCAGGTTTTGGGTTTTTCTTTTAGACCATTGCTTCTGTATATCTGAGTATATTCTGTCTTTGGCCACAGTAAACTATAAAAAACAGCTAATAATTTCCTTTGATTATTTTAAGCAATTCACATTTTTGTGTAATTAAAATAAGTTTAAAAAATACTCTATCAATGGCAGGTAAAACTCCATAGATAGCATACAACACTGGAAGGCATAGTCATGTTCAGAGGGTAAAAAGGTGTTCTGCTTTGTGTTAATTAGGACCTCTTTCAGACAAAACAAATATTTTTTGGTAATCTGATGTCTGAAATAAAACATGGGTTTAATAAAGCTTTGTAGGTTAGTCCAGATGGTCTCGTGTACTTAGCAAAATAGATGCAGGTATTTTCTTTGTGATTTCAGTTTCTAAAAGCTTCTTACTAAGTTGAGAGCTGGGATTTCTTGTTAAAACAAATGTATATTTTGTTCTTAGAACCATAGCTTATCAAAGCTATCTTTCTAATAACATCTTATTTATGTGCTCTTAGTGTTCCTCATGTTCCTCCAAGTCAATTACAGAGAAGAAATAATTTTCTGGTTTTAAAACTTAAATAAATGTGAATACTATGTAAATTCAGTATCAAGGACAGCAGTAACTGACCACTGAAGTAAAGAGAAATGAGACTGGTTTAGAGATCTCTCCCTAGAATGGAAATGTTTGCCTGTGAGAGCTGGTGCTGAAGGTTGCTCTTCGCTGTCCCCGCAGGGAGCTGATCCGCTGTCTGAAGTGGTACATGGACCGCTCGGCCGAGCTGGTGCGCCAGGACCACATCCAGGAGGCAATGAGAGTAGGTATAAGGGAGCACTGCTTCCTCTGGGGCCACAGAGGGGCTGGGAGAGCTGTACATGGAATCAAGGGTAGTGTGACACTGCTTTCCTATAATTGTTTAACCAGATTTTTTAATATATAGCCACAGTTTTAGTTTTAGGAGGAGATTGTGCTGAAAAAAATTGAAAGAATTAAGTCCCTTTAAGCCCTTTTGCAACAGTGTGAAGAATTTAAGTGGGACTTACATCCATGGCCAGTGCATAAATACTCCATTGATGTGGGCTACACCTTGCCCTCCAAGCAGCAGTAGTTTTGAGTGTATCAGGCATGGGTGCTATGGATCAAACTTTCACTCTTCATTTCTGGCTGTGACACAGCTCCATTGTACCACAGGTTGAAGTCCTGGAGTATTTTAAGCAGCAGATAAATGAGTTTTTAACTGGATGAAAATCCTCAGAAGTAGCACAGGACCTGACCTATGGTTCTGTGATGGAAGCATGACGTCCCAGGGAGGCACAGCTGTGAGAAACATCAGGAATGTTTTGGTGCTATTGCAGAGAAATCAGAGAATAAATAGTCATTTTACCATGTGTATTAGTAAGCGTGGAAGTCAGTGTGTCAAGTGCATAAATACAAGATGCCAACATTTGCAGGAAAATGTTTTTTCTTTGAGTGAATGCCCACCTGCACCTTCTGCCTCCAAGGGGACTGGTGTCCTAACACCTGAGCCCGGGCACTTGGAGAACTGGAAGCAGTGGCAGTGATCAGCACTTGGATTTTGTCACTTGTCAGTTCAAATAGGTGTAACCTCTTCCAGGTGAAAGACACTGCCAGTGTCATCCTCTCACTTTCCACATCCCCTGCTAAAATCCTATTCAGGTAATACAAGGGCATTACACCAGTACTTGTTTTGGCTTTGTAGATATTGACATTCTTAAGAACATCTTCTTTGGAATTTTCAACCACAGATTCATATGGAATGGTAAAAATAGGTAAAAGATGCCTTTTCAAGGAATTAGGAACTTTCTCAATCCTTTTTTTTTATCATTATCTTTCCTTTTTTTTTTTAATTGAGAAAAAAGCTATTAAAGCTATGAGATGAGATGAAGATCTCCAGCTGAAATGACTTCGAGGAGGTTTTCTTCTCTCTCAGACCACTCATTAGTGCTTTATGCAGGGCAACAGAGATGTAGGATATTGTCCCTATGTGATTCTTTTTTGAACCTCATAGCAGTCCTGTTTGGAAATAGTAATGACGGGAATGCTGGAATGTCTTTCAGCAGCTGGGGTTAGGGAAGTCAGTTTGTGAATATGGTACCTTGTGTCTCAGCCTCCAGTGTAGCTCTTTGCTTACCCAGGCTCTCAAGTGCTGGCCTGGAATGTGGCTGTTCCCTCTGTGAGGGAGGTCAGTTTGCAGACCTGACAGCCCAAGCCTTTCCAAGCACAGGAATTAAAATTACAAGCAGAGTTTGTGCAGACCTGACAGCACATCCTCTGCCACCCACACTGCTGTCACATCTTATTCAGACAGTTGCCTTTGCAGGTATCTTTTGCAGGCCCAAATTCAGGTCTTTATCTTCTCCCATTACAGTGAAGTGATTGATTTCCTTCTTTGTTTCCAGAATTTTAATTCAGGCATTTGGAGCAAGTTTGTACCAAAGACATTCTCATTGCTAATGTGTCGTTACTAGTACCAGATTCTACTGTTAGGGATTTCTGTAGTTTTGATGTGTTCACCACACTCCTTGCATTAGAAGTTCTTTGACTGAGGAAACAGGATAGCTCTATATCCCTTTTCCCCTGAATTATCTGTTCAGTGTAGTGCCCTAAAGCTGGTGCTGAAATACTCTGCACTCTTACAACTCCTGACTGCTTATGTACATTCGTGATGGACACGCAGATGTCTCATAGGATTCTGATTTCCAACCCTGGCATTAGCAAAGAGAGTTCTAGAGGACTTCAAAAATTTTTTACCTCCCTCCAGACTGCTCTTAATTTTCAAAACCTTCTGTGCAACTTGGAGAAGCTGTAACTGAAAGGACATTTCTACCTAGAACACAGCATCACGCTCCTTTATTGTGCCCTATACAAAGCTCCATCCAGGAACAGCTGCCTGTGCCTCCCAGGGGATTTGTGTAACCAAGTGTCCATGAATGGCTCCACAGCCAGTTTTGCTGTCCCTGAGGAAATTAAGAACTAAGGAACTGTGTCAAGGAAATGCCCTTCCAGCTTCAGTTATCTTCCAGCAGAACTGTATGTGGGTTTTGCCTAGATTAAGGAACCAACAGCAAGGGATTTTCTCCCTCAGGAGGTTTTCCCTGAGTCTTCCCTGCTGGTCACAGGGCAGAGGTGCTCATGTGTTACATGAACCTGCACACAGACTGTGTTGGTAAGGGACCTTCTTCAATTTGACACTGAGCCTTTATATGATGCAAACATCACTGAAGGCTGGGGTTTTATCTCAGTACATTTGTATGTCTTTAGGCACAAATACACATCATATTTGTGATGCTGTAGGTAGCAAGAACCAAAGTTAGTCCTGGTGCTGACTTGTGCTACCAAGACTTGGTTTGTGTTTTTAGCATCCGAGCCACGTGTGCAAATACTGGGAAACCTTTGGTTCACTGCCTGTGTGGGCTCATTGTCTGTGCTAAAGAAGTACAGTGTTCTGAGCCCTGCTATCTCACCTTCCACAGGGAATTGTGGAGATCCACACACAAATGCTCTGATTCACTGCAAAACGTAATCCTCACATTGAAGTTACGAGCCTTCAGATGAGAACCATGGTTGTGTGTACTGAAGGCCTAAAGCAGCTCCTACGAGCACTGCATGTGCTGGGTTTGGTGTTGGCACAGAGCTGTCAGCCTTGGAGAGCTGACTGGGAACCAAGTGGCCTTTGTCTGGAAAGGAGTTGGGAACACAGCTGATACTTCCTGAAGAAGTTCTCTGGTGTAGGGAAGCTTCACTGGGAGATGGTTTAGTACAGAAGTATAAATAATAACTGCTAATTACCAAAGTTGCCATCATTTCTAGTGGGGGGGAAAGGCTGTAAGAGTCAATGGCATTTTGAAATCCATGATAGCTTTATGAGGAATTTCACATTCCCATTCTATATCCTTAAAGCTGTGGCATTCTAAAGCTTACAACATAACATTGCATACTTGTGCATGTTGTGTGATGGTTCAGTGAGGGACTCTTATGGGTGCAAAAATATCTCTTGGGAGCAAAACTTGTATTTGAATTAACTTCCAGTTTCCCAACATTGAAGTGAGACAAGAATATTTTCCATGGAATACAGTGAAATATTACTAAGATTTCTATACAGCCTGTGATTGCTGAATCTCCAGCCTGTTGTTTTCCTGTGCTGGGTTTTGAGGATATCAAAACATGAATTATGTCTTCCCTCAATCCTGCTTTGCTGGTGAATCCTGTTAAGTACTCACAGGAGTGATGTCCCTGATATTTGGTACACTCTGGCATTGCCAGTTGTGCACAGTCACTATCAAGGAAGTGTGTGAAGTGTCACCTTGCTGGGCTGGTGTTTCAGAACTGATGATAGGGCAGTGACTTGTTACAGCTGCTCAGAACAATGTGTCTTCTTCATGGGCACTGCTGCCAAATCAGTGCAGTTCTAAATAATGCCACTTAAAAAATTTTGAAAGAAAACAGAATAGCTTCTTCAGACACTTCATTGTGCCAAGTCATGAGAAAACCAGAACTTTTTTACCTTGACCAAAATTTTCCTCAAATTATGTAACTCCGATTTGTCTCCTTGATGTAAATGCATAATTTTTCTGTTAGTGGGACATGCAAGTAACAAAGATTATTGGTTGAGAATGGGTACTTGCCTAAGAGAAGCTCTTTCTTAGCTGAATTATGTAACTTATAAAGCCTGTTTTTCATTCTCCTTTCTAAAGCTCAAGAATTTAGTTATTATGCATGTAGAGTCTTTCCTGGTTCTCTTTAAAGCTCCTTTATTTTTCTTTCTCTCTTTTTCTCTGTCTTGCTCTCCTTCCTCTCCTGCTCCTTAAGGCCTTGGAATATCTTTTCAAGTTCATTGTCCAATCTCGGATCCTTTACTCCAGAGCTACTTGTGGAATGGAGGAGGAGCAGTTCCGCTCCAGCATCCAGGAGCTTTTCCAGTCCATCAGATTTGTGCTCAGCTTGGACAGCAGGAGCTCTGAGACTCTCATCTTCACACAGGTTTGCTATTTCCTCCACTCCCACTGGCAAACCACAAGGCAGCTGTTCCTGCGCGGGTAGGAGGTGTGGGCACATGGGGTGAAATGCAGGTCAGGGGAGTTTGCCCCCACAACAAGCTGCTGATGCTGGAAAACAAGACACCCATTAATGGCATTAGACAGGAGTTTTGCACAGGTGAGCTGGACTGGGGGCACTCCAGGAGGAAGTGATTTCTCACATGAGAATGCAATTTTTGCTGTTCAGAAAAGTAAACTGTGTTTTCAAGTCTTCCTCATTCCTGTGTCTTATAATTGGGTGTTGCAACAAAGCACATGGGACTCAGTTTCTTCATGCAGGAAAAGCCCATCCTTTATTTACATAGTTCATTTTTGTAGGAAATATCAGAAGGCATTGTGTTAAACCTAATTGGTCAGCAATATACTGACACTCAGTTTATTCGTGGGTAAATGGCTAGGGTGTACATCTATCAAATCTCTCTATATGTGGCTAGTTTACATATTTTCTTCAGTGATTCTTATGGGACAGGTTTCTTGTTTGGAACAGGTGCAAATGGTTTTCTTACCAGAATAGCTTGTTGTGTTAACTGCTTTCACTCTTATGATTTTTCACATGGGAAGTTAGCTAGCTGCACTTAGAAGAAATAACAGGCCAGCTGGTAATTTAGCAGAGCAAGGCCTGATTTTATAACGCCTTTCTTTTACAATATACAACTTGTATGCAACAGTTGGCCTCAAGAATTTCTAAATCCTTCATTATAGTACTTCAGATCAATACTTACAGTCACAGCAGCATTACAGTGGGAAGTTCAACTGATGTATTTGCACTCATGTGAACAATTCCAACTAAAATTACAGTCAGAAACATGTGCAGTCTGACCACAAACATGTTGTGATGTCCATACTCATATTTAATGCATCATTAAATATGGCCCAGGGGACTTCATGAAGATTCCATGTGGGCTGAAGACAATACTTGAAGTAAGTAAGGATGCTGCTGAGTTTTGGGTTCAGTTTTAAAGGCCACTATACTGCATTACATACTGCTGCATTTAAATTTTAAATATCAAACATGCTGTTTGATGCCTCTGCTCAGAGAATGTCAGAATGGAGTACACAGATCTTCCTGGTTAAATGGGAAGGTTGTTTGTAATCACTAAGGCAGAATTACAGATGTTTGGAACACCTGCTGTATTTTGCAAAAGAAGCAGCTGCTGTGAACATTGCAGCCAAGTAGTGACTCTGCTGGTTCAGGAAGCTGCCAATGGAGTGATCCCTTTCTTAAGGAGCTGCTCTGAAAGATTTGAGAACAGCTGCTCTAATGTTTTATTTAATCACCCATTAGTGGGTATAATAAGATGAGCCAGGAACAAGAGAAATCAGTGCACAGAATTTTGCAGACAAAGTGATGGTGAATAGAAGCAGTATCTGCTGAATATTTTCTAGTTGTGTTGGTTGCAAATAGAGAAGGAGAGACACTTTGAGGTTGGGGGATTTTCCTTTTTTTCGTTTTTTTCTCAGTTTTTTTCTTCCTTTCTCTCACTATGGTATTTCTTACTTTGGACTTTTGTAATTTGTAAAGCCTGTCCTTGTTGAATCTTTGAAAAGTTTACTTTTTGTTTCCCCCTTGCCACTGTGTTGCCCCCTGATCCCATTGCCCCGTAGGCCCCCCAGCCTGGAGGGCAGGCGAGCGGAGCCGGGACAGGTGCCCCACAAAAATGTGGGGGCACAACAAGGCCGACATTTAATTCTGTAAGTAATGATCCCCAGGACTGCTCCAGTGTTTCATTGTGGATGTTCCCAGTTACTCTCCTTTCCCTACCCCAAACACTCTTCCTGCATATAAACTAGAGTTTGATGTTTAAGTGGCCGGTACTTTAAATCTTGGAGATGTGGAATATTTCAGTTACTCACGGACCAGTTTATAGCCTCCACACTCCAGAAAGACAGTACGGAGGGTGTACTCAGGATTATATAAGTCAAATTGTTCAGGGGAGCCAAGCATTTGTTTCTTATTTGATTATTAGTTCTGGAAATCTGGACAATAGTTATATTGTATATATATATACCCACAGAAATGCTCAAGGCCCTGGCAAACATAATTTCCCTCACACTTGTCCTCTTCTCGAGGATACGTGACAGATCTCAGTATCTCCGTTTTTTCCAGCAATGAGAGTAAAACTGATTTCCTTCCTCCCAGGCAATTAGTTTGACATGAGTAATGTTCCAGCATATTTTAGGGTGTTGAGCAATAATGGGACCCTTCAAGGAACTGTTGAAATTATGTTGCCTCAGGACAGCTCCAAATCTTCCTGCAGAGATCCCATTCCTAACCTTGGATTGCTAAGGGTTATACAGAAATCCTTCTGCTTTAAAAGTAACAGAAAGTTTAGGAAAACTCCTGTAAGGATTTGTTAGGCCAATATTGTAATTTCACTTGTATTACCCCAAAGATAAAGACAGTGACTGGATTTGTGGCTGGATTTGTTACTGGATTTGTTACTGCCTTCCAAGAGTACCAGGAGCTAGTAAAACAATTTATACTTATTTATTCTGTTAGTACACTGTAGGTATGCAGGAGCAAATAGGTGACAACACCTAAGGAGGCCTTATGGGGGTTGTGGAATCTGAGTTGATTGTAAGAAATAAGATTTTGAGAGAGAACGAGTGGAAGGAGGAGGTAGATTTATATTCAGAATAATTTAATGAGCTCTACCATGTTAGTTGTACAAATAACTTGATTTTGCTCAAATACTATTAAATAGATTTCACTGTTGAAGGAAAAAAGACTTGGCAAAGAAGGAGGCTGGGATTATATGGATTAGGAGAGTCATGTCAGTATGGAAGAGATAAAGAAATGTTTATGCAATGAGAAAACAAAATATCTCTGAGGAAAAGGAAATACTGGCAGTGGTGAGACTCTGGAAGGGCAAAGCTGAACAGAGATCTGCAGTGAAGTCTGGTAAATCTGAACTTGTGCAGGAAATCACTGAGGGGTTTGTGTGGAGAGCTTCAGGGAAGAGAGGTGGGAATGGCAGGAAGGGAAGACTGGAGGTGAGGCTGACTCAAGAAAGCAACCATCTGGGAATTAAAATAGTTACAATGAGGAAGCAGGTGTGAAGCTTGGGTAGGATGTAGAGGAAGGGAAGAATTTTAAAACATTAGAAGTGGTGGCAGTTGTTTGATAGGACACCAGTGTGTAGAACTTGAGCATGGGGTGGTGCATGGAATTTTCTACTCTTGCAAAAAACTTAATTGAAGAATAGGAAATGAGACATGAAGAGGTTTTTGTTGGTGTTGTGCTGACACCATTTCTGCATTCAAGAAGCACTTTCAAGGATAGTTCCAGCTTACTGCAAATACCTGTTACTGCAAGAATCACATGCACACTCGCATGATGTGATGCCTCTTTCACGTGGACTCACACCCCACCCCTGCTGCAGAAATCCTGGAATGTCACATGGCAGAGCTGGTTAAGGGTCTGTCAGCAGGTTCTTCACTTCAGAATATTTTCTGAAGAGTTCTAACTGTCTTAGGGTAGTTGCTTAGTACAAACAATTGGTATAGAACTCTAATCAGAAGCAAGTGTTGTATTACTTGAGAAAAGTAAATCAACAAAAATGAACTATATAGTCTATCTCAATTTTTCTTCTGTTTTATAAGCTGTCTTCTAAAATACAGCTTTTTGAAGCTAGATCTATGTGCTCTACTCATCCTAAGATTCACTATTGCAGCAGTACTTGATTTTTCTATGCTCCATGTGACTTGTTCACTCTGAGCTCCAGGTACCACAAACCATGAGCACCAGCCATAGCACAGTCTGTGGTAGCCTCGTGCAGCCCCTTCATTCAGTGTTCCTGTTGTTCCCACCTCACTGCACTGAGCTGCAGGTGGGGAACCGCAGGAGCTGAGCTCCCTCCTGTACCCGCAGGCTGCCCTGCTGAACTCGTTCCCCGCCATCTTCGACGAGCTGCTGCAGATGTTCACGGTGCAGGAGGTGGCGGAGTTCGTGCGGGGCACGCTGGGCAGCATGCCCAGCACGGTGCACATCGGCCAGTCCATGGACGTGGTGAAGCTCCAGTCCATCGCCCGCACGGTGGACAGCCGCCTCTTCTCCTTCTCAGGTGAGCCGGGCTCACTGGGGGCAGCAGCACCCTGGGTGCTTTTGCAGTGGCTTTGTTGCAAATAATTCCCTGCTGAACGCCAGTAATGTTGGTGGCTCTTTCTCTTGGCAGCGTCATTGATAAATGTATTCATTCGCTCAGCTGGTTGGAGCAGGGTGCTAATAAAGCCAACATTGTGGGTTCGATCCCTCTTTTCCCAAGGGCTTTCACTTCAGCGCTGGATTCCATGATCCTTGTTTGTCCCGACTCGGAATATTCAGTAATTCCGTTAATTCTGTTCAATACAAATACTTTACAAGTTTCACTGTGGTAGGAAATGTTTATAAATCCATCATAGTTACTAAAGGTTGATTAATATACATTACATTAAAAAATTATTTAATTATTAAAACTGCCAAATCTCACTTTACATTTTATATTGGTCTTACCATGGACAGGAAAAAAACCTCCTTTCCAGCCAGCTTATGCCTGAGAAGCAGGGGGGATAGTTGTGTGAGAAACCCACCACATTGCATTAAAGTATCTTTATTCTTTCTGCTGTAACTTTGATATTTCTTTAGCTCAACACATTAGTAACTCTTTAATTCTTAAAAGTCTACTTAAATATATTATTGCTTACATATACTTTAAAAAGAATTTTTAAAAATCTTTAAGAACTCAGTGGAAAATGGCTGAAGATTGTGAGTGTATTTCATACATAAAGGTCTGAATGAAAGAAATTACAAAGGTAAAGTGGAAGATAGAAAGCTCCACTGGGTTTCTCTTTCCTGTAGTGAGAACCTCAAATTAGTGCATTTAAATCATTGCACTCAGTACAAGGTGAGAATAATAACACCACAGAATTTTGTTGAAACCATCCACTGTAATTGTTTGTAAATATTTTCTTTCCTTACATTTGTAATGATTTTCCTTCGTTCAGAGTCCCGGCGCATCCTGCTGCCTGTAGTCCTTCACCACATTCACCTTCACCTACGACAGCAGAAGGAGCTGCTTATCTGCTCTGGGATCCTCAGTAGTATCTTCTCCATAATCAAGACCAGTTCTTTGGTAAATCTGCTACATTATTTAAATTTTTTATTTGCACCACTGATTTAGTAAAATGAAGAGTGAGAAATTTTTATAGGTTAATACAGGTTTTTCAAAGAACCTTTTAAAAACAAGATTGTGCTGTAACAGGAGAACATGTGAAATGAGAGTCTGGCTCTGTGTGTGACTCAGAGCATCCCGATTACACAGTGTGCTTGCTGTTAGGAGGGGGGATCACATACACCCTCACCAGCTTTGACACTGTTTAATTTTCTTCATGGAAGCCCAGAACTTAGATGTCAGTAGAGTTTAAAAGTTCTACATAGCTCAAATACTTACAGTTCTGCCAGAGACAGTAACTAGCACTTTGTGGTTCACATTAAAAGAATACTCTAAAATTATCCAATCAATGAATTCCCACTTAGTTCTGGAAACTGCTGCTGAGTTTCAACACCCAGCTTTGATGGTCATAATACTCTCATATCAAATGGTAACTAGATCATGTAAAGCAATGCTCACAAAGAGGGGGTGGTGAAGTTTCCCCACCTGACTAAAGTAGGAAGCTCATGGTGCTAAATATAATTCATACCAATGTGTATTTCCAATTACAAGTCATGGTTCTGTGTGGAAGGAATGAGATGAAAGGCATCATGGAAATAAGCTAAAATAATACTGCCATGGAGTAAAGGTTCCTGAACATAATCTGCTCCTGTTGTGTTCTAGACCTTTGATTATAGACTAACCTTTATGGCTGTGACGCTGAATGTTTCCGTCAGAGACTGTCAAGGTAACACACACACTGACAGAACAACAGGATGTGGTACAATGAGGACTTTGATTGTACTTCTGTGAGCCTGTTACAGAGCTCTCTGTGCCAGGGAGCCTGTGCTATGGCTGACTCAGCAGAACTGTCTTTACCAGTTCCATCTCTCCAGTTCCTAACTGTGTTTGCTCACCACTTGCTGTAGGAGGGAGATGTCGTGGAGGAGGTTGAGATGATGGTGGAGAGCCTCCTGGACGTGCTGTTACAAACTCTGCTCACAATCATGAGTAAATCGCAGTCTCAGGAGGCGGTAAGAGGGCAGCGCTGCCCGCAGTGCACAGCAGAAATCACTGTTAGTAACTAACAATCAGTTTCTATTTCCTGCTTCTCTAACCTCTGGTTCAGTCCCTCACCACCACTGGCACCTCATCATCATCTCTGCTGCATGAATGCCCAGGGCTTTGTCTCTTTCCCTTAATAAGCCACAAACCCATTTATTCCTCCTTGCACTAGGGCTGCAGGAAGCAGTGGAGCTCAGGAAGCTTTAGTGGATTTCCAGGTTATTTTCTTGTTTGTCTTTACAGCTGTGATTGAGAGTTATTGCTTAAGACTTGAGGTACTAGGGAATTGCCTGGGGCTTCATCCCTAAGGTGATATCACCAAGGGCTGTAATGAATATCAGGCTGTGATCCCCAAAGCTGAGACTATGACAGTGCTCTGTGGTTAAATCCCTTTATTCAACACCCTGGAGAGCTTCTGCCCAGGGTCACTGATTATTTCATGTAAATGAAACACAACATACTTCTTAAAAAAAAATTAAGAGACACTGAGTCAAATGAGCTGTTGAGCTTGGTGGGGGAAGCCACCACTTTACCCAGGCTGCCAACCTTAGCCACAGGGAAAAAAAAATAATTTGCAGTGGAAGAGAAGAAAAAGAATATAATTTTGCTGTTCAGCCTTCTTCTTTCCTGGATTTCTGCCCTTTTCTATTCTAGCCTATTTTGGCCTATTTTTGTTTGTCAGAGTCTCTAATGCAGCTTTTGCACAATGGAGGATGTTAAGTTGCTGTTCAGAACATCCTTTTTTTAGACTTGTTTTTCTAGCAAATGGCTGAAACCTCAGCAGTGCTGTGGGGGGCAGATGTGCACTAAGGTGCACTTCTCACACAAGAGAGAAGGTTGGATCTTTCCTTGTTAGCTCAGTTAATGAGATGTGCTTTGATACAGAAGAAAGGCACTGGCTTGCAAATGTCCAGTAATAGCTGAGTTTCCTTTTACTGCTGCCATTTGACTTACTGCTGTTTCCCTCATGCCAGCTCACACAGAAGAGCACATCTTTCTTCCTAGTGAAGTACAGCCCTGGAAAGTTTCTTGCAACAACCCATGTCAAAGCTTCTGGGTATATGCTTGAGCCATTTAGAGCAACAATAAAATGGAAGGCACAGTCCCTTGTATTTGCTCCTCAATTTACATTTCACAGCACAGTGATATATGGATTCTTATTAGATATGGCTTAGATTTGTGCATTTTCCAAATTAGTTTCTCCGTTGAAAAAAAAAAAATAGTGTTATGCACGGGACTGGCAGTCAACAGACCCAGTCCTGATGTTTTTGGCACAACTTTGCTTGTTCTCTTGAACAGATTGGTTAACTTCTCTGTGCTTTGCTTTCAGATTTGTAAAATGGGGGAGCTCCTCTTTGGAAAACACTTTGGGATGCTGTGGTAACTAGTTAGGGTGCATCTGCTTTGCAGAATTACAGAAATGTAATTGTTGCTCATGTAGGCTTACCCAGACTGTGCTCAGGAAATCTGACTTCAGATCTGTCAGTACTGGAGCTTTGACAGCACAGAACTTGGTGAACACTAATAAGCTATATATTTACAAGCTTCCAGTCTCCTTCTGTAGCCCAGCCTGATCCCAAGCTGTCACTGCTTTACAGGTCAGAGTCACTTAGTTCAAATAACTGCTGGTTTATTGGCATGAGCTGCAGTCACGCCTCTGACAGACACTGTATATTAAGTACCTGAAAAAGGTATTGTCAAAACCTGCATGCTTGGAGGGTGCTTTTTAATGTCTGTATTAATAATTTTAAATTATTTTTGTTTAGACTACAACTTTGATTAAAATATCTTTAAAACTGGCATCTGTGGAGGAGCCTCCTGGAGGTGTATCCCTGTATTAACAGTAACTCAGGGACTGTTAACCTGCAGTAATTTCAATCTCTGTGCATGTCAGCTGTCCCCTCATAGGCATCGGGGCCATTTCAGACCCCTCCCTTTATACCTTCCCCCAGATTAAGCTTTGTACCTGTGAAATTTCAGATTGTCTGAATGAAAGAGTTTCTCCTTTGGTCAACAGGGAGAATATGTCTCCTGCCTTTTATCTTTGCTTCGTCAGATGTCAGACACTCACTTCCAGCACTTACTGGACAACTTCCAAAGCAAGGATGAACTGAAGGTACAGAAGGATGTGATGTTTGTAGGGTGATTCCCTCAGAATGGGACAGCAGAGGGGAATCCCTCCAGCATCACTTGCCCTGTTAATCATTCCTATCCACTGGCATTCTGATCAGGGACCTTCCTTTCACTTTTACAATCATTGGTGTAGTGTTGCAAAAACACATTTAAGACCGCAAGGCACTGAATTATCTTTTTAACAGCAAATAAAGTCCCAGGATAGATGTTATCGGACATAAAAGATATTGTAATTGTTACATATAAAACACAGGCAGAGGAACAGGACTTTTCAATCCTGTGAATGTGAAATCACTTGTTGTATAGCATTTTGCTACACGATCAGTATGCACTGGAGCTTTCTTACAAAGGACATTGATTTTATGCCAGAAGAGAATTTCAAGACTTTTGGGGGTTACAAATGTCTCTAGCAGATGAAATCTTTTTTGGGAAAGCTGTAACCTTACCACTCCACTTCCTGCATGCTTCTTTGTGAACATCAGCTTAAATTATGGCTCTCCATGAACAGCAAGGGTTGGTGAGGGGCACAGACCTCTGACATTTTGAAATGGCACATTTCATACCAGCAGAACTTCTTAACTTCAATGGGGAAGAGGAGTATCTCCAGCAACTTCTGTTTAAAAGGCAGACTAATCCTATCAATAAAGACAAGCTTTTATCTAAAACAATTTTTTTAGCATGGCACTCAAATATGCACAATAAGAACAATGTAATATGATAGGAACTTCTGTTACCTTAACATATGGAATGGAGAAACAGTGAGAATCCTTTCTGGATAGACTTTCAGCTTTGAAATATTTTGTGTGCATATAGAGAAGCTGAATAAATCAGGGAGATGAATTTGAGATGATAAAATTCTTATCTTTAGGTTGCAGGGTTTGGTGTATCTCAGGTTGATAGTTATCTGAGATTGCTGCCTTTCTGATAACTTTCAAATGGCTCACAGGAAAATGATTTGGTAAATTAATTCATAATAAATTTTAATAGCTATTTTAAAAGCCATCTAAACTATAGTTCTTATGTCAGACTTGTGGAAAGGTCATTGAACTAAAATTTATCTTTATGCCCAAAAGAACTGTTGTATCTCTGATAATCTGAGTATGTTCCAAGAGTACCAGAGAGGCTGAAGATTTTATGTATTACTCTATTCTCCCATAGAATGTGGCTGTTATAATATTTTCAATACTATTTCTGGCATGGAAAGGCATTTTATTCACCACTGTTACACTTTGGGCAAAATGAGGCCAAAAGTCAAAGAGCTTCTAATGTTTTACTCTGAGCTCAGTTGCACCAAGATATTAATCACCCACCCTCCTTTAAGGCAAAATGCTGGTATGGTTTTGAAGCATCCATGGTCTACCAATTTCTCTGCTATTTTGATTTTTTTCTGGAAGGAAAACAAAACAACAAAATCATAGTTTGCGAGGCCAAAAATTTGTCATGTTTGATCTTTGCTCTTGCTCTGTATAGGCATGGAGATGCAGGTAGTCAAAAACCAGAAATGTCTTCAGGTTTGGGGATTTTTTTTTTTTTTTTGGAAAGCAAACAGCCAGCTGAATGTGTCTAAGAAGAGCTCTTTGCTGCTGTGCATTGCCAGAAATGGGATTTTCTAGTACTATTTTAGAAAGCTTGTGTGGGAGTTTTATTGGGCTGGGGTTGTGGTTAGTTCTTAAATTGTGACGTAAGTCCAAAGAAATTTGGACAGATAAATTAATAAAATGAATGCATTAAGAAGTGATTATGAGTCCAGTATATTTGAAAATAGCTGCAAATTGACACTGGAACTCTGGGTGATAAAATGAGAAGTCAGATACAATTATGCACATAGGGAAGATTTTCATCTACCTGTAGAAGTGAAGATTTTAAAGAAGCTGGAACTTGTATATTAGACTCAAACAAAGGAATGGAGCCATATTCCAGTGTGTGTTGCTTTTCATGTTTCCAGGTGAATGGCCTTGCAACAGAAAGTTCAAGTAGAGCACACTTAGCTTAATTGTCCTTCTTACAATCAAGAAAATAGATTCACTTGCAACTGCTGCTGACTTTTACATATTTTTCCCTGTGTGACAGGAGTTCCTCCTGAAGATTTTCTGTGTGTTTCGGAACCTGATGAAGATGAGTGTCTTTCCTCGAGACTGGATGGTGATGAGGTTGCTCACCAGCAAGTAAGTAGAGGAGCAGGTATAAAATGTTGCCATCCTGTGGCTGTTATAGCCTGGGGGCAGTGATTTTACTCAGACTGAGATGTGAGGATCAAGCCAGGAATTCTGGAGCACTCATCCTCATTCTGCTGTTGTTTTAACACTCCAGACCAAACCTGAGTGTTCATGGGTTTGTTAAACTCCAGCAGCATTCTCAGAGGCAGGAGTTAAAAGCAGAGCTGAAGGAGCTGCCCTGAGGGTGAGGGGCTGAGTGACCCAGCAGCTCCAGCACACAGGGTGAGCCCAGCTCCCCACACCAAGGGCTGTTCATGAGCCTCTCCCTCCCTTGTCAGGGACTCCCTGCCTTGAACATCTTTTTCTTCCCATGAACATCCCTCTGTAGCCGAGCAAGGAGAGGCTCTCGGGTATTTTGGAAAAGGGGGAGCAAACCCCAGCCATGACACCAAAGCATTACACAGAGTTCCTTCTCAATTCAGTTCTCATCTGCCATTTTAATGCTCCTTTTTATCTCAGTTTCTTGCTTCTGCTGGGTTAAGTACTGTGCCCTTTAGATCAGCAGCAGTGTTGAACACAGGGTGGCTGGGATTATCCACTAGTTCCCTTAGCTGAACTAGCTGTGGAATTCCCACTGGCTGAAGGACAGCTGGAGTGTTCCCACTCTGAGGAAGCAGCATGGAAATGCTCCTCAAGGCTGCCTGCTCAGCTGAGCTGAATGCTCTGCGAGTCCACCCTGCTAATGAGAAGTGAAAGAAGTGGATTTCAGTAATTCAAGCGTAAAGATTCTATGAAGTTCTGTAAGAAAAAAGAAATTCACCTGAAACAGTAGCTCCCTCAGATGCTGCAGGTTACCTGTTCCCTTGGGCATCTTTTTGCCACAAAGCTTTACACTGACACATTTAGCAGTGCTGCTGAAGGATTGCTTGCATGTGAATCAGAGATGTGCTTCTTTTGATACTATGGTTGCCTTATCTACATGCCATTTATCAATTCCTGAATCTCTCATGTGCCTTCATTGCCTTTCAATAAGGTGTATGTAAGTCACCAAGAAAAAATAACACAAAATCAGATATTAGCAAAATACAAATATGTTGAGCTGAATGAGATTGAGATAAAGGACCATTGTATAGACAAGAACAAGGACAGCTCAAACTTTTTGAGTTATTCTCTCTGGGGAAAAAAACATTCTGCTTAGAACAGGAGGAAAAGGAGTGTATTATTCCATTTCCCTGGTGGTCATATGGCCCAGCCATGCAAAATAGACAGGATTTTAAATGCTCATGTGTAAATTCTAGAAGGTACAGTATTAGTGAAAGTTCATAATCTTGTATTAATTAGTACAAATTGTTCATTAAAAAAAGAACAGTGACTTGTGTAAATACCACAGAGATTACACAAAGAATGTACTTCTCTGTACCTGTAGTAAAACTAGCACCACCAACCACTGTAATATGCTGTATCCAGATTCAAATGTTCTCTTTTGTTTTCTTTTCTTTGTTTTTGGCTGCAGTATCATAGTTACAACAGTTCAGTACTTGTCTTCTGCCCTGCATAAGAATTTCACAGAAACGGACTTCGATTTTAAAGTAAGAATTGATTCAGAAAATGTTCTGACATCTTTTCAAACCAGCAGTAACGAAGGAACAGGAGCTTCCCTCTCCATTAGCTGATGATATTTGCAGCATTTATTAGAGTGTCTGTCAGGAAGATGACCTAATGGATAAAGGACAGGAATGGAATCTGCTCTGGAATTGATGGGAGGTAGAACAGATACAGTGTAAGATCAAATCAGGAAAATTAATTCCCTCATAAAGGAAACTAGTAATTCCATAAGCATGGGGCTAATGGAGCATGCTGTCTGGTGGATAATGCAGTGTAAACTCAGGCAATGCTTTTCCTGAAGCTGGGGCATTCATGAACTTCCTCTCCCAGAGGTCTCTCTGGCTGAAGACACAAAACCTGGAGGAACACAATCCTAGGGACTGTGTCTGATGTAGTTGGAGATGGGCAGCAAGTTCAGTGTTGGGAAGAGCTGCCAGACATGAACGTAGGGACAAGTGCACAAACCAAGCTGGCAAAAACTTCATCTCTTTGGGAAAACAGACCAAATTACAGAGGTCCTATTCATGATATAATTTGATCTCTGGGGATTCTTGACAGATAAAATCTGTTCAACCTACAGAAAAACAATTTTAAAGGTTGCTAATATCACCAAGTTTATTAATTCTTCAGCTCTGGTGCAAAGAGGAAAAACCAGTGGCATTGCTTTTGTGGGGGCTTTAATTTCACTTCCTACAAGGGTTTAAATAATCTATTTGTGCCTTTAAGAGTTAATTTGTATCTCCAGAGTAAGAGACATGTTGCTGAAGTTACCCATTGATTACAGAAAGGAGTCTATGTCTTTCTCCACTTATTTAAAACTTCCTCTTGGAGTGTAATGTTACAAAATTCCTTTGCTTGTCACAGGTGTGGAACTCTTACTTCAGCCTGGCAGTTTTGTTTATAAATCAGCCAAGTCTCCAACTAGAAAATGCCACACCACCTAAGAGGAAGAAGATTCTGGATAAGTAAGGATATGTTTTGTTTGGTTCCCACCTCAAAAAAGAGCCTTCTTTTCCCACCAGAAGTCTCTGTGATTTATTATGAAAGCTGGGATGTGGAAATGCCTGGGAAATGAATAACTAGATCTCCCAATATAGCAATCAGTGATTAGTCAAGTTTTTTGATATTCTTACATTGACATAAATGTGAATTGAATTTTTTTAACCATTTGATTATTTTTTCACATCATGGCCTTGCAAGTTTTGTTCCCTGGGCAGCTGTGTCTCTGTTCTCTCTCAGGTATGGTGATATGAGAGTGATGATGGCCTATGAGCTCTTCAGCATGTGGCAGAACCTGGGTAAGCCTCTCCCTCTCTCACTTGATGACCAAAGCCAAAGGAAATCCCTGTTTCTGTCAGATTTTAAAATAATTTTTAGTTGTTTGTGGCATCACAGAATCCTTTGTTTCTCTGGAGAGAAGCACTTCTCGCACCAAAACTCTCTTCTGCACTGTATTCTAGAGGAGAATAACAAAATGTTTGCCAATAGAGATCACAAATACAAGGACATGAGAAGGGGTGAATCACTAAAAGAACAGACAAAGGTCAGATTGGATAACTTAATAATGTGGCCACAAAATATTCACCAAGGCAAATGCAAACATTTTATGTGTAGGAATATAGGTAGGAGCTGCTATTCAAAAAACAAAGATGACAAGTGTTGTCTGATATTCGACTGAAGGGGAGCTCCCTGTAAAATGCTATGAGTAAAGGAGATTTTGTAATCTCTGAGAAAATACGTAAGAATCTGGAGTAAGAGAAGAGGGACCATATTACTGTCACAGTGTTTTCCCTAAGTGCACTTGATTCTAGATTAGTTTGCCTAGTCCTGCTTTTTACAGCTAAAAGAAACAACAAAGCACAAAAGAATATAAATGCAAGACAAGCTGGACCAAGTTCAGACAACAGTCAGAAAGACTACAGAAGCAAGAAAACTGAATAAGCCTGATTTGTCTTGTACAACTGAAATGATACAGCCAGAACTGGTCACAGTTCAAAGGATCTTTGTGGAAAATAGAAGGCCCTCCAAGGTAACAGAGATCCAATACCCAGAAAAAGAAACTGGACAAACTCAGCTGAGAAGCAAGAAGCCAGTTTTGGATGTGTAGATGCAGACATTTCTCACTGGATGCTGTTTCAGATCAGGCTTTGTTGAGTTCTCTCTGCAACAGTGCAGTAGTGTGGCTCAGAAGAGGTTGTCAGCAAAGTGCCTCAGGTCCCTCCTGCAGAAGATCCACTTGGTCCCAGCCAAGGGCAGTTAGGACATCAAGACAGCAGTGGGGACCAAGAGCTCTGTAGCTCCTTGAAATCTAGAAGTGCTCTATTAAGTACCATTGTTCTCACCAGCCCTTTCGAAATCTTCATGAGTTGGAAGTACCCTGGCCTCTTTTCCCCCAGTTAGTATGTTTCAGTTGGGTTACTTTTGACAGTTTGAATTCCTTTGCAAAGTAAAAAGCACTGACATCTTTTGCTGAAGGCTTTAACAGTGAAATTAAAAATGCTCTTAGAGACTTTGCAAGAAATGGTGTAAAGCAAATACTGATATTCCTTTTCAGGAAAATAATGTTTGCTTTTGTAACTCTCATGCTTACTACTATGTAAATATCATTATTGCAAGGGTTCCCTATTTTCTCAGTGACAGATATCAAAGGCTTTTATTTAATTACAATTCTTTTGTGTTGTTACAGGTGAGCACAAAATTCACTTTATTCCGGGAATGATTGGCCCCTTTTTGGGTGTTACACTTGTTCCACAACCAGAAGTCCGGAATATCATGATCCCAATCTTCCATGACATGATGGACTGGGAGCAGAGAAAGAATGGCAACTTCAAACAGGTCAGGGCACTTCCCAAGCTCTCCTTTCCTTGCTCTCTCTGTCTGCAGTGTCCAGCTGGAAGCAAGGAGTTTCTATTTTTTGTTTTGTTTCTGACTGTGAATATGTCATGTAAAGATATATATATAAAATAGAAAATTCAAGACCTGATTCACAAAACTATCACAAAACCTCCAAGATTGTTTAGTGCAAACTGCATTCCCCATGAACATGGGGAAGAGGAGGGATGTGTTCAGCACATCACAGATGGGGAAAAGAATTTTGCAAGTGCTGGGCTATCATTGCTCCCAGTGGTTTCACTTAGATTATTAGTCAGCCATTAAATGGGTCAGACTGAGAACCAAAAATGGAGATGTAAAGATTTAGCCAGTCTTTGTGAAAACAATGCTCTCTGCTTCTCTGTCTTCAATTTGCAGCTAGGAAGTGGTATTGTATAATTAAATCATTATACCATGCCTTGAAACAGACTTTGTAGCTGTTTTCATTTGCAGAAATTGCAGCAGCTCTCTGGGAAGGGTTAAGTCCAACAAGAGCTCTGCAGTTTCTACCTGCTGTGAGCTCTGATTGCAAATCAGGGAGAGAAATCTTCATCATTGTTTCCCAGTCATGGTCAGAGAATTGCTTAGGTTCTTCACTGCAGACCAGATCCCTGAAGTGCAGAGCATTGCTAATGAAGGATGGGTTTGGTCTGGATCCTGGGATGACAGTGTTTCATTGTCATTGTGCTGGGGCAATACTGGGGACCAGTGTCTGCAGAGAAGTGCTCTGAAGGAGTAAATCACCATTAAATTATCATAATTCATGTGATTAGTTATTTGCACAGTCATTAAAATGCCAGATCTAATCTATCATTCCAAGAGAATAGCAGACCTTTCCCATAACCTGATCTATTATAGGCTGTGTGGAAAAGTATTACCAGGAGCTTGTTTTTCTTCCTCTTCACCTCCCATGATTGCTACAATTGTTATTATTTACTATTATTATTATTGCAATAGCATTTTGATCGTAGTGCTCTTTTTACTGGTTTTAGCATAACAATAGAACAGTCTTTCACTGGAATTTACAGTAATAAGCATCTACAGTCACCTTCGAGTTCCTGGGTCTATTTATATTTTCTTTATCAAGATGAACTCTTTGTAATGTTCATTTAATTTTTATACTCATTAATGCATTTTAAACTACAGCTCCAAGAATATTTCTTAAATTACCTGTGGAGCAAATTTCCACACTGTTTTATGAAGCAGATATTGTAACCTTCTAAGGTTAAGGATGAAATAATCATCTGTATTAGTGATTAAATAAATAGTTAAATACTCCAGGAGGTAATAGACCTCATTAACATTATCTGCTGGAACCAGGCAGTTATTTGCTTTCCAGTATAATGCTGGACAGCTGGACAAAGACATTACTGATTTCTGTTGTCACTGTAGATCACAAACACAGGGAGTTTTGTTGTTTTTTTTAATTCTGAGCTCCTCTTCACTATTTAAATACTCAGGTGTTTGCCAGAAAATATAAGAACCCTGAAAATTAATTTTCAAGCCCTTTTATAATTTTCTTCAGTAGTTCATGTTTTTACAAGGTTATTTTTTCAGCAAGGCTGGATAACAATACAGTCTGATTCAGGGATGAAATCAGGTCTCAATTTAATGATTTCAGCAGCAAGAGCACCAAGTCCATTTGTGTGCCACTGGCTGATTTGTTTTTCCTTCCCATCTTTACTTCCTTTGCAATTTGGCAGCTGAAAAATGTTGAGATGTTCAAACTATGCTTGTCTTTAAATAAAAGTAAGCCATATTTCTGCAAATAGTTTCAGCCTTTAGGAACCTCTGTCTTCACTAGTAGTGAAACTGTCTTCTGCAAAATTTCTAACTTCATGAAATTGTTTTTGTTCAATGTTACATACATCAATTTCTGCACTTGAATCAATTTTATCAGAATATCTGATATCACACTTGATACTGAGGGTGGGAATTAATATGTATTCAAAATTTTTCTAAGAGAAACATAATGATGTTGGTGTGGCCCTTTATACAAGTGAAAGAAAAAGCAAAAATTTTATATAATCATAGAGAGGCTTAAAAAGTGGGGTTTAATGAACAAATAATCTTCTAATATACTGATGCCTGGGTATTTGCAAATCGATTCCACCAGCAGAAGCAGCACAGCAGAGCAGTGGTGCTGGGTATTCTGTTGTAGTTCAGGATCCAGTTTACCTGATGTGCTGGTTCACTGGAGGAGTCTCTGAGTGATGGATTTGGTCTCCTTCCTGCAGGTGGAGGCCGAGCTGATTGATAAGCTGGACAGCCTGGTGTCCGAAGGAAAAGGTGATGAGAACTACAGGGAACTCTTCAGCCTGCTGTAAGCTTTGCCAGTTCATGCTCCTTGTGTTGTGCAGAGCCATTGGAAGAGTCAGGCACTGATCTGTGCAGCCCCAGATCTTTGGGAGGGCAGGAAAGGGCTTGCTGGCAGGCTTCCATGGAATGGCTCAGTGAAGTAGTGCTGGAAGTAATAGAGACCTAAATTCTTCTCTGTCTTCACTCTGTGACATCTAATAAAAGGTTATCATCCTCCTATCAAAAATTCATTTGCTGGAGGAGCTAGGACCCTTCTCTTTCCATAGCAGGGAGTGAGATCCTGGTCTGAGGACTGTTTAAAGAGACACTATCTACAGAGCAAAGGAGATTTTCCTCAGCATTTTCCTTTCTTTCCTCCTATTTTTGAAGGCCATGTTTTGGTTGGTTCAACAGTTGCCAGTTGCTTCCTCCATTGTGACACTTCCTTTCACACCAACAGTTCATACTCAGAAGGATAAACATGAAGATTTTATGTCTGACTTTACACTTCACTACTTTTGATTACTGATTTCTCTCCAAATTTCATTTTGAGTGTTACTTGTTTATTTCAGAAGGAATTATTTCAAACTCTTGAGAGTCCAGAGCAGTTAACCCACGTTTTTTAATACTCTAGTGAGCCACAGAGATCATTAGCAGAATTTTAGCCATACTCCAATTTTACGTGGCCCCCAGTAGCACACTGGCTGTTTGAGGCATAAACCTTTGTTTTGCTGGAATCAATAATTCTGTTTCTGAATTTGCAATTGCACATTCATTCATTTCAAGCTAGATAAGCCTGCCCATCCCTCAGGAAGTATGGAAATGTATTCAGTTTGGATTTGTGTATATACAGCCTTGGGAAGTCTTGGATCTTATGTGTACAGACAAAGTAAGTCTATTTCAGGGATAAAGGAAATACCTATTCTTATTCACGTGGCAAGAGGAATAGTGTGCCTTTGCTATACTTGAAGACATTCATTACCTGAAATGTTAAGAATTCAAGGGCTGTAGCTGTTTACTCATGTTTAGGTAATAGTGATTGGATGCATTACCAAGAAACATAGCCTGGAATTCCAGCAACCAGTTAGTTTATATTTCCCACCAAGTTGTCTTAAAAACAATATGAGGAGACAATTTGAGGAAAAAATTCCACAAATTGGTAAATGCTGTGTGAAAAAAACAGTTGACCCTGAATTCTACTGTCTCAACTATACTGCTGAAAAGGGAATTGGATCCCTCAGCTGTAAATCATCACACTACTGAAGTTTGCCTCTTTGGAGGATGCGACACCCAATAGAATTTCTTTCCTAGAAGTGACAAATTCTTTGACTGGAAATCCAGTTTCAGGGAAACTGGCATGTAAATTTGCTTTCTTTCTTCACTTTTGAAACACAATGTTCCTTGTTCTTGTTCCAGCCTTCTCTCTTCCTTCACAACTCTGTGACATGGGTGCTCACTGTACTGCCAGTGCTAGGCAGGAGCAGATTGCTTTTATTTCCAGTTTAAATACAATGTGATTCAGGGTTGGTTGGTTGCAGATTAGAGATGAAAACTTATGGAGGGATGAGCAAAGAAGAAATATTTGCAGTAGGTTTGGACTCCTTTTCAGTTTCTGACTGCTGCTAGTGGTATTTAAGCTACAGGTAATAATGTGGAAATCAAGTGTTGCCATGAGTGTTGCTCTTCTTCATATATGTCAAATGGCAGTATGGGGATATTTTCCCTTTTCCTGTCAATTCTGTAATTTCCTTGTCTTTACTTCATGCTGCCTGGAGTAGAACCCAACTCTTTGGGCCTTATCCCAGGTAAGATACTAATTCTTCTGGAATTTATTGGATGAGGGCAAAACCAAGTTGTCTGTATCAGTCTGCATGCCCTGTACCATTTCCCTGGAAGCCTCACCTGCTGTCTTCCCATCTCCAAACAGTTTGCTGGAGAAGATTGAGCAGGAAACTTGGCGGGAGACTGGAATCTCTTTTGTCACGTCTGTCACTCGGCTCATGGAGCGTCTGCTCGACTACAGGTATCTGGCAGCAGCAAGAACATGTTCTAAGCATAAGAAGTTTGTCATAAGACATGGCACCAAATTCCTACAGGGAATATTTTTATTGACTATCAAACTGCATACATGCAAACCAATGCATCACTGCTGGGTTCTGAGCAAACATCCCAAATACTCATTTCATTCTTGTGTGCTCGTTCCTGATAGTTTTGTACTGAGGTTTATTCAGGTTGCTAAAACATTAATTCCTTCTATCACTGAAATGATCTCACCTAATTCAACGAAATAGATGTTAAATGCAAGAGTGATCTCCAAAGCCTCATTGAACCATGGTGTGCTGAATGCCTCATCCAGGCCTGCAGAGCTGGAAAACTTCCATCTGGGAACTCTGACACATCAGTTGGTGGCTCATGAGCAAGATTTCACTATAAATTAGGCAGCCTTCATTTAGTTTCAAACTGAAGTTTGCAGGACTGTTGTGTCAATGCAGCTGAGCTTTGACTTAGTTAGAAGGAAATATTTTAACTTTAGATTTATATATACACACACAGAGGGTTTTATTTTAATAATAGGCAGTTTGAACCTATATAGAACTGCCCCAGATATTTCTATCTTTAGCCTACTGACAAGAGTTCAAATAGCTTTTCCTTCTGCTGCTGCTCATTAGAGGTGAAACCCTCTGACTAGGCTGGGTGTTCTGCAGTCCCAAATCCTTTGCTGTGCTTTTTGGTTTGCTCTTTTTGTTATCCCTACCTCCTTGATCCAATCTCCTGTTTTTTTCCTGGCAACAACTGCTCTACTACTACTGTGCACAACCAGGTACTGGAGACACATTTAAAGGGAATGCAGGGGAGCTGCTTGGGGGTTTTTTGGGGGGCAGGGTGGGGGGGTAAATGTGATTTTGATTTCTGTTATTTTGGTTTTTAATGATAAACAGCTGCCAGCAAGGCAGCTTTGACACACAGATTTCCATGCTTAATTGAGAAACACATACTAGTTTTTAATTGATTTTCAATCTGCAGCTGATTTGTCATTCCCTGAACAGGGAACTGGAATGTGGCATTGAAATTTGGAAATACACAGGCATTTCTTAGAGTACAGCTGCCAGTCAGTAGCTGTAGTAGTTCTCAAAATGCTTTGCTGTGTCATTGCTTTAAAAATGTAGTCTCTTGTACCATTTGAATAGAAATAATTTCTAAAATATTCCAGAAACCAAAGATAACTTTTGTGATTTAACTTACCTATGCAAAAGTTAGAAATCTAATCTAAATCCCTCAGGTTGTATCCTTGTGTGCCACACCATGCTGCAGAGCTGCATTTATGGAAGCCAACCCTTTGACTAGGACTAAATGTTTACATCTGGATAAATAAGAGTTTTTTACTTTTATAGTAGACCTTGTATTTGGATTATTTTTGACCACTGTTATCTGATTTTTTATCAGATTCTTATAAGAAATGAAGGAACAGTCATTTCAGGTGCTTGTTCGCAGACACAAACTTGTAAGGGGACACTCAGATCTCACATCATCTAAGCCCTAATATGGAAATTTTTCTTAGAGGAATTTTATATAATTAAGTATATGATTATCTGTTGTTTGTCATCCAGGGAAAGTCTGGAAGATAAGATAGCTTCAAGTTTATTTTAAAAGGAATGTTTTTGCAGATGTTTGTTTCAACATTGCTCTGCTTTCTTAGGGACTGTATGAAAGGAGATGAAACAGAAAACAAGAAGATTGGCTGCACTGTTAACCTAATGGTAAAGATGTTTCCTTCATCTCTTTGTGATACTGTGCAATCTCATTGAAACTGGGATGGGAAAGGCTGGGATAGGAATCTGTGTCAGGCAAGTGTGGCTTCAGAATCCAAGCACTGGGATGACAGAAGAAAATGATGAGGATTGTGAGGATCCTCTGGAGGCCTCTGATCTGACTCACTGCTTTAAGCAGGGCCAGATGGGTCAGGCTCCTCAGGGCTGTGTCCAGCTGAGTTCTTTGTATCCCTGTGACACAGGTTCTACAACTCCTCTCACCTCTTCTTTCAGCTTTTGACTACCCTCATTTTGAAAAAAATATCATGCCACAGTAAAATTAGTGGGTTAGATCAGTGTGAGTGTGAAAAGAATTATTACTCTTTCTTTTCCACTAAGAATGTGTTCTCTTTCAATAACTTTTCACATCCACAGATGCTGCTGAGTGCTTGAATGGAGAGTTGCTGGAGTTACGGCTCTGTTTTTTCTTTCACAGAATTTCTACAAATCTGAAATTAACAAGGAGGAGATGTACATCCGCTATATCCACAAACTTTGTGACATGCACCTGCAGGCTGAGAACTACACAGGTGAGAGAGACATTATACAGTCTGCTTGAACTTCTCATTACATTTTTAACTCTCGTGATGTTATATAATATCTGGCTCAATCTTTTGGTAATAATTTGCATGAATCAGTTATGGCAGGTGGGAAGGCAAGAAGCTGAGGCCCAGCTCCTTTCTTCAAGTTAAATAATGTCTGTTTATGCCTGCACAACCACACAAATATTGCATTACACTTCAGATTTTACATTAAAGTGTTCTTTGAAGAAGATGGATTAAAAAAAAATCACAACAGTGGAATGAAATTTAAAGGAAGATTAGCAAAACCACCATTATATTATCACTTGTCATATTTCCTCACCTTGCAGTGCTGAGGGAGCACTTGGAACGTGTATGAACTCTAATGCTGTGCTGGCCAAGCTCTGTTTGCAGCTGCAGGCCCCAAATCTAGCTACAGATCTGAACATCTGACTGTGCATTTAAATCAAGAAGCTGGTAAAAAGAAACTTGATAGATTTGTACCTAAAAATCATGTGCTGCTATTTTAAGTAATTGAATAATTGAATGGTCCTGTAAGAGCTGAGATTTTTTTTCCAAACAATAGATCAGAAATCACAGACTGTGTCAGAAGCAGGTCTGTGACCTTTCAGTATTGGCTGTGTTTATTTGCTGTCATTGATTCAGTGTTCCATAATTGCCTTTCCTACAGAGGCTGCATTCACACTGCTTTTGTACTGTGAGTTGCTTCAGTGGGAGGACAGACCTCTGAGAGAGTTCCTGCATTACCCATCTCAGTCAGAGTGGCAACGTAAGGAAGGTCTGTGCCGTAAGATTATCCATTACTTCAACAAAGGGAAGGTATGCCAACTTCTTCTCTCTTCCAGCAGCTTCCTTCCCTTTTCCTCACTGACTTAGGGCTTGCAAGCCATCATCTCAGTTCAGTAGTCTGGAAGTAAATTTGAATCAAAAGGGTTTATAGCATGACAAATTGGCTCTCTGGAAAAAAAAAAAAAAAAACAGATGAGAAAAGGTATTTCATTTTGTATGGCATTTGGAATGGATTAGGGAGGCCAACAGGACAAACACCAGAACATTTTTAAACCTTTAAACCAAGCCTTGGATCAGCTGATGTGGCAGAGTGCTGTTCCTCAGCTTTTGGGGACCGGGATTGCATTTTGTAGCTGTCTGTGCAAACTGCTGTGCTATGACTCAATTGAGAACTTGTTTTGTGCTTAACCTACAGACAGAAATGGCAGGCAAATGCTATAGGGGTCTCTTTATTGAAAAATACTTAAGTCCTTTCAGTGTCACTTATTTTAAAGTGATTTTCAATTAAAGTGCAATTCCATCCACTGCACGAGAAGAAAATCAATCCATTTCAATTTCATATATTGAGTATGGGTTTTCTACAGTTAATTTTTTTTTTCAATTACTGCAGAAGTAGATGTTTTAGTCCTTTGTGTCATGGGGTTTAGCAACATTTCAGAGGTGAACTTTAAAAGTGACATCATCTGTTGGAGTATTTTCAATTTTTTCCCTTCTCTAGGAAAATTCCTACAGCTTATGTTCTTGGGAGATAATATCTGTATGTGTGCCTTGATTTTGCCAATGACCATGGCATTAAATACAAATGTGAGTTGGTTCTTATGGGACTGCCATTCAGACAATTCATTCCTAGTCCTGAAAATAGGAGTTGCATATGGCAGGAACATTTTTAAAGAACCTGCAAAAGGAAGTCAGATTCCTGTGTGACGGAAGAAATGGCCCATTTATGAGGAAGTGATTTAGATTTTTTTTGCTGTGTGTCTGCCAGAGTTGCTCTTTTGTGATAACACTGCATATGGTTTTCTCATTTCAGAAATTTTCAGGGATTTTCAGACTGCAAACAAATAACTGGTTTGTGCAAATATTGCAGTACTGTACTGTCTGACTAGACAAAGATGATAGAAGGCACTATGGAAAGCCAGTGAGCCTGTATTTTTGACAACAACAGGGAATCCATATACACAGTGAAGTAGAGTAAAAATTGACTGATGTCATTAGGCTATAAAACTCCTAACAGATTATAGAGTGTTAACCTCTTGAGTTTTCTCCCCACTGGATGTTTTTGGAGTTAACTGATTTGTGTTTTAATCCTCCTTTATTACAAATGGTAGCTGAATGATTAACTAATCCACTTAAGCAGTATGTATGTCACTCAGACTATGGAAGTGAAAGATGCTGAGAAGCCAAATCCTCCTTTTCAGCACTCTTGTTCTGTGACAGGGAGCAGCTCAGGGACTGGAAGAAACCTGCTTCCCTCTACTTGTGTCTGTCAGCTTCTTTCTGCACTATCCTGAGATGGTTCCTCCTCAGGTTCTGCAGAGCAGGATTTGTTGTTGTCCTTCAGTTGCATTTCCAGAGTTCCATTTCTCATGCTGCTCCTGGCGTCTCCCACCAAGTGAGGTTGTCAAGGCAGACTGTAAAAAATCTGCATTTGTTTATAGGAGAGTTTTCTCAGGACAGGAATGGGAGGAAAACTGCCCACAAGGATGTCTTGTGACATGCCAGTGGCACAGCCTGTGGCAGGCCTGGGATGCTGCAGTGGGGGCAGAACTGACTCCCACCCTCAGCAGCATCAGCAGCAGCCCTGTGCTGGGAAGGAACACGGTGTTCCAAAGCCCTTTTAGCCTTCACTGGTCATGTGCCCCTTTCTGCTGATTTCTGCTATGCTGTGAATTGGTTTGTGGCTCAGCTGACAGTGTGTGCAAGTACATAATTTAAACTGAAGATATTTTTAACCCTCAGTTAAAACTGACCGTTAAAACTCAAAAGTTCTCTGGTTGAAGATATCCGTGAATGGAACAGTTTGAACTCGACTGATCATGTTTCTGCACAGCAATAGCCTGGATCTACACAGCCCTTTTCTGTCCAGTTCACTGCTGGATTGAATAATTGGTGATTCTGAGCAGCTCCCAGCATGGCAGTGCTGGGTCTGTTCTCCCTAGTGCAGCCAAGTGCACACAGAGACCCAAAGCAGCACTCCCAAAGCACTTAGTTTTGATCATGTGCTCCCATACCCAACACTTGAAATAATTTCTCTTGTGTACCCTCATGGGAATCATTTCCAGAAGAAGTCTGCACACTGGGATGTGAGTAAATGCAGGCTGGCATTCAGAGGGGTTGATTGTCTCTACCTGTGCCCCCTTGTATGCAGTCAGCTGAGAGTTGCTGATGCCATAGGAGAAAGCTACAATAAATGACCTATGAATGTGGCTTTCAAGTAATACACAACATGCAAACACATCACAGGTCAGCAAAACAGAAAGCACTAATGAGGAAAATTATCAGTGGAGATATCAGGAAGTTATTTGAAGAGGGAAGTGGCACTTGCATGTCACTTGGAATTACACATTAATTATCTGTACTGTGAAGATGCTACTCGTTAGCATCACAGATTTTAAAACTGAAGCTCCAGTGACTTGGATATCCATTCATTCCTTTTTCTTTTGAATATCTACAAATTATTTTCTCTTTAGGAAGTTACCTGTACGTTGTTTTTCTTCACTTCTCTATCTCATCTTGTATCTGCAGAATGCTTAGGTAGCACAGTGGAATTTCTTGGTGTGGAAACTGAAAGAAGGAGAGAGCCTGAGTTAGGATGACAGGAATGGTATCAAGGTTCGTGTAGAAGAGGTAGTATATAGCAAAATCAGATGTGGTTATATGTTGTTAATTTAATTGACATCAGAAAAAGAGCATGAAAAGGTTATATCCCTCAGATCACCTGGAGGGAAAACAGCTGGTGAGATTTCTGCTTCTGTCCAGAAGACTGATCAGAGAGTTAGGGAGGCTTTAGTCACAGCATCCCATTTGGAAGTAAAACTGCTCACACTCTCTGTGGGAAAAAAAGCCATTTATTCCTGGCTAGATGTTTTAGAAGTGAACATAGTTCAGCTGAGGACTGAAAATCTATGTATAAGAATGTGCTGTAAATCTCTATAAAGAATTTGCTGCAACCATAAAAAATGCAGTGGTGTTTGAGTTTGCAAATACAAACAACTTAACTGACTATGGTTGATCTCAGTTCAGTGGATCAGTTTGTGTGTCATGGATTTTGACAATCCACAGCAAAAATCCTGTTAATCTGAGATCACAAATACCTCACTAATATTCAGAATAGTCAAGAAACTGGTCTTTCAGTTCCTTTCCTATTGTGTCTATTGCATTGATCGAAATAAATCTCAGGCCTCCCATTCTCCCAAACTACAAATACAATCAGAATATCCAAAATTATTCTGGTAAAATACTTTATTTAGAAAGTTTTTATTGAAACTTTTGTAATTAAATTAAGCTAAAGAGCTGCAGTAAGGAAGTGGTAGTAAGGAGAGAGCAGACACTACAAATGTGAGCTTAAAGGGAAATACTGTAAACTGCCTCATAAATTAAATCAAACAGTAGAGATTCACGTTTTTATGTGAAGGTACATGTAACCAGAAAAACTGTTTCCATATTAAGTGCTGATATTTTACATAATTGCTCTTAATGACTGTTTCCAAGAATTTACAATATTGCTATTAATATTCTTAAAACTAAAGGGGTAGTCTAACTCACACATCAATTTTGTTTTCACTACAGCAGGGTCCCATGTAAAACGACTGGCAAATTAGCCCAGTAATGCATAATAAAACTTAATCCAGTAAAGGTTCAACTGGTGTTCTAAATCCTTTACCATAAGCATGGTAAGAAACAGCCACTCCCCCAAAAGGTTTCCAGTGTGTGCAGGTAATGGAAGAGGAGATGTTAGTGTAAAATGAGCTCTCCAAAAAGCCACTTGAGGTAACAGAAGAGCCTTTCTCTCAGTGTGGGTGTGCCTAAAATGGGTCTCTTCCCTCCTCACCTCTGGGATGATGAGTATGGTGTGTTAGGACAGATCCATTGTGTGGGACTGGGAGCTGAAGAAAAGAATGTGGCTTTCTGAATATGGATATTGATTCACTGCAGTAATGCAGGTCAGTTCTGAAGATGTTATTTGTATTGGAGTGTTCCCACTGCCTAACAGTTTGTGCTTTCAGTGGGAAGGAGCAGTCTGGGAAGGGGAGCACTTTGCTGGGGAGCCAACTCCTAACTCTGTACTCCAGGAAGTTCTAGTGCAGGAAGCAAAGGAGCTGTTGGGGGTGGGTTGAAGGGGTGTCTAGCATGAAGAAAAATTGTTAGTTTTATTCTCTTTCTCCAGATAAGTTCCCAGTCTCATAAATGAACTGTCAGAACAAGCAGTATATGTTTGTAATTTCCACAGAACATATGCCTCTGTTCTCATCTTTTAGAAGGAACTGATCTGCTATTTAATGGAAATGGTTTCACCACATTGCATTTTCACATCTAATCTCTGCTATTTCATACCAAATGAATTCCCAGAGCTGAGTTTCCATATTGCTCTCAGCTGAGCTGGCAGTAGCATTGTGTTTGCTGTGAGTGTGATTTGCTTTGGCCCCGCAGAGCTGGGAGTTCGGCATCCCGCTGTGCCGGGAACTGGCCATCCAGTACGAGAGCCTCTATGATTACCAGAGCCTCAGCTGGATCCGGGTGAGTGGCAGCAATTTCTCTCCTTGCAGACTCTTACCTCACTCCCCAGAGCATTTTGCTCTCCTGTCAGAGCATTCTGAGTTTAAAAAATAATCACATTCCTTATAGAGCTCCATGCATTCACTGAGACTCCTTGCCATTGATTCATATTAATGACTTTGTAGGTCCATTGAAATAATTCCAAAATCTGGTAGCAGTAAAATCATGTGAGTATATGAAGACAGCACACACACACACAGGAGCTGTACTTCCCATTGCAACGGCATATTTACATATATTTTTGCATAAAATATCCTAATTTTAATACATATTTCATTTTAATTCCAAAAAAATCAAGGACAACTTGTGTCTCAGTGAGATAAGATAAACGAGAGAGAGAATGAAGAAGACAAGTGTTTATGGCATTCTTACCAGTTTACAGGGATCTGCTCCTCTGGTACAACCAAACAACATGATGAAATCAGGGCACATTTGCACCATTGTACTTTAATCAGAAAAAGCTGAAGCTCCTATTATTATTTAAAAACTTTCTGTATATGAAAATAGTTAATCTCCTCCTGTCCCCTGGGGTAGCATACATGTATCCAAATTTGAGATTTATGCTGCATGGATATATACAGTCGTTTAAATTCTCTTTCTAAAAAATCCAGTTTATTTTTATCTGAAGACACCTGTCTAGCAAGGTCTGATGCTGCAGACAGCAGCTGCACTTCTGAAGAACCTGTTTTCTCCAAAGCAGCCCCAAAGAGAGCAAATGACCAGCTTGGCTGTGCACTCTGTGCCATTCACATCACCACCACATTCCTTGATGCTTCCTGCAATGACTTTGGGACCTTCTCCTTCCTGGAAAGGGAGCTAATGTTTGTGATAACTGACCACAAACCAGGATGCAAGTTAGGGTTCCTTGCAGTGGAAGTAATGGTGTCAAACTGGTTCTTCTTGAAGAGCCACCTTTTGCTACAGTGAAATTCCTGTGAGCCTTTCAATGGAGGTTCAGTTTGCCAGAGGGCCTGGAAATCCCACTCTTCATCTTTATTGGCACAATTCCACAAAACTACTTATTGGAACTAAAAAAAAAGTACTTTTCCTCTTTCCAACCACCTTTTTCTTCCATGTTAAACCTTCTGGTGCACAGAGCTGTAGATTTAATTTTGTTTTATCCTTTTTCATGCCCCTCAACTCAATTAAGGCAAACCCAATTAGATGTAATTTCCCAGGCAGTGGTATGGATTTTGGTCTGTAGGAGAGAATAGGACACTGTGAGCCAGGCAACGTGGATCTTCATCTCAGCTTTGCCATTAATTCTGCAATGCAAAGAAAATTACATGCAAGACCTGTTTAATTTAAAATAAGATAAACTAAGAAAAATTCATATGTCATCTTCTAAAATGTAAAATGAGTATGGTGATATTCTAGTCCGTCCCACCATGTAGACTGGTTTAATTAATAATTTTTATCTTTAACAGAATTGTGGTCTTTTCATAAAGAAATGGAGGGGTAAAAGAGTAATGTGATATTTTAATGAGTCTTGAGATGTTAATGTTTTAAGTGCAACTTTAAGGGTCTGATAGCAGCTATCTCTTTCCTTCACAGAAAATGGAAGCTACCTATTATGACAATATAATGGAACAGCAGCGCTTAGAACCAGAGTTTTTCAGAGTTGGTTTTTATGGTCGAAAATTCCCATTTTTCCTGCGGGTAAGCCAAACTTATACAGGATGTGACAAAGTGACCAGGCTCAGAGTGGCCGTTAAGGATTTGTATTTTTGTTTTGGATATATGATGTCTACTATTCAGCATATTTTTTTATGCCTGCACAAATAAAAACATTTTTCTAGCTGAACTGAAGGACACAGTCCACTGGGAATATTCTTGGGAACAGAGATCAGAAATTTGACTCACACCATTGGGAATTTTTGATGATCTGCATATGCAGCACAAATTGTCTCTATATTAAGCAAAATGCTGTATTGCAGCAATGTTGGGTCATTACAACTAATTTTCATCATCTCAAATTATCACACTTTAAAAAAAGTCTCACTTGACAGAATTCTAATCCCAGTCTGATGACTCTTATGTGCAAGTGAAAATTTCCTCTGTTTGACAGAAGCCAAACAGCTTCTTTGGACACATCCTCAATTGGAACTCATTGTCTGCTGGTGTACCAATCCATTTTAAAAGTGAAATTTTCTTCTTGTCCTAATGAGGAATCAAACTTTAAATGGGTATTTGTTTATACAGCATCTTGTTGCTAGTTTAGAGCAAGGAAGGAATATAATCTAACAAGTGTTCCAAGAGCTGCCTGCAAATTGATGGCAGATGCCATTGAATGTGACAGGACAAGGTAACTAGAAACTTTCAAGGACTGGAGGTGCATGGTTTTTGTTCTCTTTGAAGGAATGGTTTGACAAGAGATGGCACCAATCAAGGTACATGGGATGAAGCCATACAAAGCCATACAAAGAGGGCAGCATTTTGAGACCTGCCCTCTTATACTCCCCTCTGATTATGAAGTTGTTTTTTTGTTTTTTAAACAAGGATTTGGGGTTTAGTTACAGTCTTTTAATGGAAACACAGGCAGGGGTAATAAAGGCAAGTTGAAATTAGTCAAGGAGAAGAAATACCAGTGCATAAAGGGTGGTGGTTTCATGTTATTTGAAGGAGAACAGTGCCAGAATCAGAGAATCATGGAATCATTTAGGTTGGAAAAGACATCCAAGATCATCAATCCAACCTTTGACCAATCACCACCTTGTCAACCAGACCATGGCACCAAGTGCCCTATCCAGTTGTTTCTTAACATGTCCAGGGATGGTGACTTCATCACCCCCCTGGGCAGCCCCTTCTAATGCCTGACAACACTTTCCACAAAGAAATTCTTCCTGATGTCCAGCCTGAATGTCCCCTGGTGCACCTTGAGGCAGTTTCTTCTCCTCCTGTCCCTTGTTCCCTGGAAGCAGAGCCCGATCCCCACCTGGCTGCCACTTGCTGTCAGGAATTGTAGAGGGTGAGAAGGTCCCCCTGAGCCTCCTTTTCTCCAGTCTGATCCCCTCCTCCCTCAGCTGCTCCTCACAGAATTTAGAATGTAGCACCCTGAAGCAGTGTGTAGAAGACCCTGCAGAGGAATCCAAAGAAAGGATGGGTGCTGCAGTATGAACCTAGAGCTGCCCCATGAAGATCTCCAGAGAAGACTGACAATTCCTGGTTTTTATATCTAACAACAAATATTTCAGCGAGTAACAACACAGTCATCATGGCACACAAGCCTTCCTAACATCTGAAGTACTGTCAGTGACTGGAGCTTATCTTTTTATCTTGTGGATCCTCACTTTTACCTGGGATCCTGCATGGCCAAGGTGTTTGATACTGCTTGAGCTTCCTGTGCTCAGCCCTGACTCTTTGCAAAGTGCTGTAACAACGTGGATCCTTGGTTGGAGAAATTACCAGCGAACACAAGCGTACATAATTATAATCCTTGTTAATTCTGCAATTATATTTGGTAGCAGTACTTCTGATAGCAGATTACTAATGTAGCAATCTCATTAAAAGTCATCCTCCTCCTTTCTTTCCCTAATGATCCATACAGCACACACATTATGGAGCACAGACTAAGCCCATTAGCAGTCACATCAGCATGGATCACACTGTAAAGAGATTGGAAGCAGCTATTCTAGAGAAGAAAAAGATTTACATGGATTTAAAATCTTCAAATGGATACAGGAGTGATTTTAAGTGATCAAATAACTCCAAGCCCTTTTCTCATGTATTTTTCTATTGCTGTACAGCTTAAGACAGAAGATAACCACTTCTTTCTATATCTTTGATTTTTGAAGACCCTTTGTCTAGAAAAGTAATTGTTCATGTTTCTATGAATTCTGCATCTATTTCTAGCCTTTCTACACAAGTAAATTTAAATTAAAACTGTCCATATCTTCTGTCTACCAGAAGTTCAAGTAAAGCCTGACAAGCCATGTTTTGAGATCAGTGCTGGCATCTGTCTGAAGTCTTATTAAATTTAGCTTTGAGGTGTTTTCAGGGCATTATTTTTAGAATCACAATAACTTTTTTTATAGGCTTACAGTTTTCTAGATTGCTTCAATCAAAAGCTAAAACAGAGAAAGCAGTGTCATGAAGAGATTCACCTTCAAACATGGGCTCACTCCAAATTTAATAATAACTGCAAAGTGAGAGCATTACAGACCGAACTGTCAAGACTCATCATGTGATTCTTCTCTCAGTCCATTGGTTGCTGTGACTGATGCATACAAAGTGACACATGTCAAAGCCAGAACAAGAGATCCTTTCCATAAAGCTGAAATGGAAAGCCAAGGATAACTGAACTCCTTGGTTGTGTTTTATGTTCTGGTTTTGCTACTTTCCCTTCAGTTTTGCTACCAAGATCAAGAACTGCTTGGCCACATCCCCTTTTCAGAGCAATTAAAAACACATTCTTGCATATATTGCAGCCTCCAAAATAATCTTTTAAATCACCTTATGAAGGTGAAAACCCTCCCTGTTATTCTAGTTATTATATGTGTGAGAGTTTAAACTACCAAAATTAGGTAATTTGCCTGCTTTGCTTGGTCTTGCACTAGGAGATAATAATCATATTGATGAAAATTGTGGTTTGTGTGAGAGGGTTAAGACACTGGAATACAATCTTCCTGACACTAAGGAATTTAGAAACACTGTATCGTGCTGTTTGAAGTTAAGACATGGCTCAAAAAGCATCCAAGAACTCTGCACTAGTGGTTTAATGCCTCAAGATTCATCTAAATGCAGCTTTCCATTATTAGCAGAAATGAAATTTTGTTCATCAAGAGGAAATGCTTTTAGGTCTGAAGGGGAGTTTGTTAAGTGGCCACTGAGAATTCTTGGTAAAGCTTTTCTGTATTACTGTACTATTGACAGGGGAGTTCCTGAGCACATATTGTTCAACACCATCAGGTCTGGGTTGTATGGCTGTGATAATACAGCAATGATTAAACAGTGATTTTTGTGAATAGTTTGTTGCAACTTCTAAGGAGAACTTATAAAATGATAAACATATATCTCCCTCTGTTCTGTCAGAACCTCAGGACTTTCATCCATCTGGTATAAATAGTATTTGACAGCAGCTTTCCTAGCGTAGAACAGCCAAGCTGGTGACTTAAGTTTTAGTTCATACATTTCAGTATAGTCCAATTAAAAATAGTGCCTTTTCTGAAAAGCAGGTAAGAAGGGACCACAGGACTGAATGCTGGGTGTGCCTGAATCAGAGGCATTGTGCTGTTCAGAGACCAGTGGAATAGTCTCCTCATTCATCAGTTCTTCATAAAATACATTGTAAAGAAAAAGGAAGGGATGAAATACATCGACTCTCACATTAGCAGATTGCCACTGTCATTTATCTTTGGTTTTGAAGAAACATTTGAAGTGAGATAGAAGTCAGTAAAATTTAACTTACTTTTAAGGACACTAATTTATGCTTGTCCTCCTTGCAGAACAAAGAATACGTGTGTCGAGGCCATGACTATGAGAGGCTGGAAGCCTTCCAGCAGAGGATGCTGAGCGAGTTCCCCCAAGCCATTGCAATGCAGCACCCAAACCACCCCGATGACTCCATATTGCAGTGTGATGCCCAGTGTATCCTTCTGTGAAAGGGCAGACTCTCCCTGGAGCTGGGGCAGAGCTGGATATGGACAAAACCATACCTGTCTGCAGCAGACAGTAACTGGTTTGTTGTGGGACATGGTGTTGGAGAGAGTGGTGAATTTTTATTTAGCAAGTAATGCAGGTCATGTTCCATGTAGAAGGGAAAGGGCTGTGCTTGGTCATATCCATGTTTTAATGCTTTACCAACAGCACTGGCATCACACACAGTGTGTGTCCTTAGGAGTATTCCTGGTATCTTCTCTTGGTCAATATTTTGTTGGGAACAGATACTAGCTCCAAAGCACTATTTTACATTCTGCTTATTTTTCTTCCATCAGGATTTTACTTTTTTGCAATTTCCCTTTCTTTAAAACTGTTGAACCTTTTTATACCTGAGGCTTTGAATTTCATTCTTCTCACTGGTCACCTGTACTGGGATTTGGCACAACCAGTACAATGCTCAGCGCATTTAAGGACTGAACCACATCACATTTAAGGGAACTGCAGGGACTTTGGAGAGCTTAGTCATGGAACCTGCACTATTTGGCTTCTGAGAGGACAGCATGGATTCTGTGCAGGATTTGAACCATAAAGTCACTGTCAGCAAATGAAGCCTCCTGTGTGGTTGCTGTTTCCTATTTGTCTTTCCTAATACATGGATAAAGCTTTCTTTGACTGCACAATTACCAGATTTACAGATCTATGCAGTGACTCCCATCCCAGACAATATAGACGTGCTGCAAATGGACCGTGTCCCTGATCGCATCAAGAGCTTTTACCGTGTCAACAACATCCGCAAGTTCCGCTACGACAGACCCTTCCACAAGGGCCCCAAGGACAAGGAGAACGAATTTAAGGTAGAAGTAGCAAATAAGCTGTGTTTAAGTGTTCATCTCTTCAAAGTGAATACTGTCTTGTTATTTTATGCTGATGGAGCCCTTTAGGCAATTCTGATTTGATAGCCAAAGATACTACAGTAACTCAAGCAACAGGTTAAGTCCATGGTCTGATTGAATATTGTTGAGTTCTGACCTGCTTAAAGCATTGTCCAGTTTAAAGGTGTGTTATTTTAGTGCCTGGAGACACTGTTTCTTTGGCTGGACTTTTTTTTTTTAATTACTTACACACAGGTCTGCAATGTCTTTTTGGGTCCCATGACACAACTGGTGATTGGACAAGTTTTAAAAATTAATAGAAATGTTGAATGTGTTATTTCAAGCATATTGAATTCCTGTTTTGTTGTTTAAGTGACTTTCAGGAAGACCTTCTACAGAATTAATGCTCAGGAGGTTAATGCATTCTTTTCTGAGCCTTGCCCCCTCTGCACTTGTAGTAAGAGTGCAGAGGATGTGGTTGTGATTCATTGTGCCTCACAGCCTCAATTACTCCTTGCAGAGCTTGTGGATTGAACGCACCACTCTGACCCTGACTCACAGTTTGCCTGGGATCTCTCGTTGGTTTGAAGTGGAGAGAAGAGAACTGGTAACATTCATAATTCCTATAACTGGGAGTTGAAATGATGAGTTACTGAGGACATGAGATAGGCAGCTTAAAACTTGTTGGGCTGAAATCTTGCAGTTTAAAATGGTGTTTACCAGGGGTTAAATGCATCCTTTTTCTACCACTTCATCTAAACAATGGCTGAATGTAACCAGGGGAATTGTATTAGCTAACAGTATAATGGAGACAGTGCCAAAAGGATGGAATAATTGCATTGCTGCCATGTCTTCGGTGTATAGAAAGACATCTATTATTGCAGCTGAGTGACCTGAAATCCAGCACTGCCAACAGTGGAGTTTGTTAATGTAGCTAATTTTCTACAAAGCAGTAAAAGTGAAGGGAGCTCACTGAACAATCCTGGAGTACCATTTTATTACAAGGAAGATAATAAATCTCAGTGAAGTGTCCATGGAATTAAAGTATATTTTATTGCCTTTGAGGTTGAAGTAAGTCCTTTGGAAAATGCTATTCAAGTGGTTGAGAACAAAAACCAGGAGCTGAGGACACTGATAAGCCAGTACCAGCACAAACAAATGCATGGCAACATTAATCTTCTCAGCATGTGTCTGAATGGAGTGATTGATGCCGCCGTTAATGGGGGAATTGCGCGGTACCAGGAGGTGAGCCAGGCTCTGCTTCTCACTGAGTATCACCCTTTGCCAGTTTTATTTGCATTTCTGTTTCAATTACAGTATGGCTTAATAAGATAAGGAATTCTCATGTGCATTATCTAAAGATGGGGTTACACCCCCTGCTTGGTTATTCTGCATCAGTGCTTGCACAGCAACATGAAGGAGGCTCCAGGGGTGGAGCTGGGATCTCACATGGAAATAGGTACAGGTAACAGTGGGGTTTCTCAAAGATGACACTTGGCTTACCTGGAAGTCCTCACTTGGCAGGTAAAACAATGAAGTAGATTTTTTAATACTGCTTACATTATGATTCATTTTGCAATAGAGGCTGTGGGACTGGTGGTAACTGATTAGGTCTGGAATCAGGAAAAACCACTAATTCATGCTACTGAACCATTATCTTTGCTGATGGGCTAATTTCAGACTCACTGTAGAAGTAAAATGATGTTAAATACAATATGTTATCCAGCATAATCTCTGGCACGCTGTTACTTAAACTGAGCATTGCAAAAGGTAGGTTTAGGGTAAAATACTGAAAAATTGCAGCAATGGTTCAGGGGTTTGGAATGTGTCTTCACAACAAAGCCAGGGAGAGAATGCTCTTCAGGCTTTACATTAGTTGCCAATTTACTCACTAAATTCCTTTAGCTTTAGGCAGTTATGTGAAGGAAACTATAAAATTCAAATAACTGGAAGATAAAAGGCTTAGTTGTATTGCTCATCACTGTCACAGAGGGAAACTTGGTCAGAGTCATGATTCAACAGAATCGTTTCAGCTGCCAAGCCCATTTTCTCTGCATCCCAGAGTGCTAAAAACCAATAAAATTAAGCTCTGCTGTTACCTTAATATATTTTTTGTTTTCCTATGATTTTTGGACCTTTTCCTTTCATCCTTTGACTCCAAGTTATAATGAAACACCTTCCCATAAGCAAAAGGCACTTTATTTTTTCTTCTTCCTGCAGGCCTTTTTTGATAAGGATTATATCACAAAGCACCCCGGAGACGCAGAGAAGATCACCCAGCTCAAGGAACTCATGCAGGAACAGGTACTATTTTTCAGGTGCAGAAGAACATTGCTACATTGTTTGGATTCATCAGCAGTCAGTCTAAACGTCAGATCCAACTGATTCATTCAGAAGCAAAGACTTTTGGTACAGGAGAGCTAAATACATTCAAACAAAAAACAAGGGAAGTGGGCAAGGCAATTAGGACAAGTCACTCACCTTATGGGATGTGAGGTGAAGCTCAGCTGAAAGTACATTGATTTTGTTTTCTCCAACAGACATCTTGCTGCTTTCAAGCCTGCCATTCATTTGTGGCACTTTTAACTATGTCTTCCTAGCAAATTTCAAAGATAATCGGAGGCAGGACAGGTCAGGCTTGAGATTAAAGTGGCAGAGACACATATGAAAACTTAATGCCTATTTATATTATCTGCAGTTTTATTTTTCCATAGTGTCTCCTTGAAACAGCTTGGGAGATAAAGCTGCGGGATGCTTTGGTGGGAATGAAATCAGATAATCACATCCCTCTTAACTGAAAGTTTGGAAAGATATACCCCATTAAACAATGTGCCCAAATCTGAATAAAGCTACTAGGCTTGCTCTTCAACAAACCACTGAATTGCATTTCAGATTCCCCATCTGTAAAATAATGCTTATCTCTCCTGAATCCTCAGGAGATGTTTGAAGATTAATTAGTTATTGTTTGTACAGACTTTGGATCATGTAGGGAATTACATACATCTTAAGCCTCCTATCATTGCTATTTTCTTTCATCTGAGACCTTATATAATCTCATTCAATCATTAAAATTATATGTTTGACCTTTGAAAAAGTGACCTTTAGAAGTAACTAATGAGGAACAGGAGGAGTGACTGCTGCTGTTCGTCTCAATTATCAGAAACTCCTTTTAGAAGTCTCTGCTGGCAGCTCAGACCCCGTCCCTGGCACTGGCAGGAGATTTTGTCGCAGGGCATTATCTGTGTTAGGGCATAATGCTGTTCACTCTGCAGAGAGAATCTGGTTTTTTTGGGTTTTTTTTGCAGTTATCTCCTAAGAAAAGCAATGAAACATGACACAAATGTACTTGTCTCACACTTAAATACTTGCTGGAGTAGTACAAACTTGCCAGGACTCCAAGCCTTGCTTAATTACCAGCAGTCTTGTAATGGACAGTGTCATATTCCTTGCACATTGCCAGAATTGCAGGACAGACTTCTGTTCTCTCTCTTAGACACAATTTATTTGGGTTTCTAACGTTGGATTTTCTTTTGCACAGGTACATGTCCTAGGAGTGGGTCTGGCAGTCCATGAGAAATTTGTACACCCCGAAATGCGTCCCCTGCATAAGAAACTGATAGATCAGTTCCAGATGATGCGATCCAGTCTGTACCACGTAAGCCAACAGTCACTTTCCCATCACTTTCCCATTTTTGAATTATATGATTAAACATATGTCAGTTGCAGTAAGGTTCACGAAAGAACTGGGCAGATACAGCATTGATTGAACCTACTGGACTGCCAAATCACCAAAGGAATTCTTTATTTTTGTGCAAGAAGGCAGTTGTAGAAAATATGTTACATTGGCCTTTCAGCAAGAATTGTTAATATTTGTATGTTCTTTGTCATATCACAGAACAATTGTAAAGCTCAATTTTCAGTTGCTATTTCATATAGCAGAAAATTATGTCAGATAGAGGAAGATTACCAGGAGGTGTTGGATTTTCTCTTCAAAAGAAGTGCTATAACTGGAAGTAGCATGAATGAAGGAAACTTGCAGTTGTCCACGACTGCCTGCTGAAGTGTGTTTGTTCTGCAGGAGTTGCCTGGTTTGGATAAGCTGAGCCCGGCCTGTTCTGGCTCCAGCACCCCCCGCAGCAACGTGCTGGTGTCCCATGGCCCCATGAGCCCAGAGAGCATCAAGATGGTGCATCGACACAGGTAACCCCCTCCTCTTCCCAAACATCCAGGGGCTCTGCACACTGCTCCACCAAGGTTCCAGGATCTCAGGAGTGCTTAGCACTACTGCAGGAGAGGCAGCATGAATTAAGCAGAAGTGCCTTTTGTCCTCATTCAGTGCTAATTATTGAAGTTGGAGAATTGGAATAATAAAGTTGAGAAATCCAACTTGCAGCAAATGCTGAACACCTCCAGGTGTGACTCCATCACTTTTCTTAGAGTAGAGGCAGAAACAGAAATCTGCCACTCAGTCCTCCCGACACAATCTGACTTCAGAGGTCCCAAACTCTCCTACTTCTGTTGCACCAACCGCAAATAACTGGGTCCTTATCTACCATAAAAGGAAAATTGTATGGCTTGTTTTAGAACCCAACTCAATATGTACCCATTTTGAAGGATCAAAATTGTTAACATCATTATTTTTATAATTCTGACAAAATCAGAAGCCAAATACAAGAAAGGCTGCCATGGTGTTTTGATCAGTACATCAAAAAATGACCCTGTGGTGCTTTTTCAAAGTGAATGCCCATATATTAAATCTGAGATAATGACAGAGGATAAAAATTGGCATTACAAGGACAAAATAGTGTTTTTTATATCCAGCCAACATTGCTTATTTGAAAATGCTAATTGCTCTTCTGTGTTTATTTTTCTTATTGGGTCACTATATTTTAGCTGGTTTTAAAGGCCGGCATAAAAAGCTGTGGAAAGTTGGTCCATAAATTCAGGATGGTGACATTCTTTATGCTAGTAAAACTGAGTAGCTTATAATGCTCCTATGGCTTAGCAGTTGACAAACAGTGTCTGGGGATAACATTTTTTTCCTCAAAATTCCTCTCTTTGTAAATGCTTTTTTAGTTTTTAGGACAAACTAGGGAAATGCTGTAGTGTACAATGTATTTGTGTGTGTGGTTCAGAGCGAGAAAGAAAAGTTCATTCTCTGAGGGAGATCAGGGTACAGCCTGCACACCAGCTGGGCTGTATTAATTTACTGTCAGCTGCAAAATTGCCTTCAACTGTAATGCTGAGGGCCAATGCATGCAATAAGGGAAACTGGATTTTAACCTGTGTGTCTTGTGCTTGGATTCCTTTGGAATGTTTTTTTTTTTTTTTAAGCTGCTCCCACTTATCTTAGTGTTTAAAATGAGAGTGGTTTCAGTGTGTTCTGTTATAAACAAAACAAATGTGCACTCAAGGTCATGATGTGACATTATCCTGAGCTGGGTTTCTGAAATTCAACATCCTATGTACTATTCTGTTTTACCTGTAATCTTCTTGTCACCTCTTTCATATTTACCCACATTTATGGATTTGTTTGAGCTTATTTGGCCTTTTCAAAAGTGCTTGACATCTAGAGGTGACCTAAAGCAACAGGTACTTACTAGTTTGGAAAAAAATCAGAATTCACAAACACGTTTAAAAAACAATATGCCCGTGCTCTGTCCGTTTCTTTTCCAGCCCACTGAACATGCTTGGTTCAGTCCGACACTCCTCATCCTCTCTGTCGTCACACACCTCCAGTGAAACAGGAAACCTGGTTATCCTGACAGACAGCTCTGTGGGGGAGACTACTGAGGATATGTACCACATGCAGGTACAGCTCCAGCACAGCCAGGAGTGGTGGCTGGGAACAGCACAGAGCATGTTCCAGAGGGTTTTGCCTAGAAGCAGTTCACTTAACCTCTACATATGCTTGGATCAGTCTGTGATATTTTTTTCAAATAACTAAATAGGTAGAATCTTAACACTATTCAAGAAATATGATAGTAGCTCACTAGGTTAACTTTGGGAAGAAATCTCCTGTGTTTGTACAGTAACTGTGGTACCCCATTTTGTTTACCTGCCCCATTGAACATGTGCAGTTAAGTGTTGCTCTTGGTTTGGGGAGGTGGAACAAGTCCCACAGTCCTGAGTGCAGGTTAACAGTGCCTGCACTGAAGCTGGGCAGAGGCTGCCCTGGCTCATCCAAGACAGGTAAATCCCTAAGGCACTGATGTGCTCCGGTCTCTCTCAATGGTTTCTTTGCTTCCTGCAGCTTGTTTATCCTAAGCCCAGCTGCCAAAGCTCAGTCACCAATGTCTCTGTTTTATCTTCATCCCAGGCTAGTCCTTCCACCTCCAGCCTGAGCTCCACTCACTCGGCACCATCCCAGATGATTAACTCTGCCCCTTCCAGCACTCGAGGTAAGCACGGACAGGCCCTGACTGGAGAGCACCTGCAGGTGTTCCCTAAACCTGGCAACCTTGCTGACTTACAGGTGAAACACCAGCTACATTGACATGTAACACTGTTTCTCTTTTGGACATGTAAATACCTCTTCAGTGCTTTTTCTTTACAATGGTTTCATTCCCTATTTAAGCTTTTTTTCATCCATATTTCAAATGTATCTCTAACACATGCTGGTTTCAGGCGGTTGAATTTCATAATGATTTCCATTGTTCCACCACAAAATTGTGGCAGGCAGTCTAGAGGAAAACAAGTCCTTGGTATAGTACTTAAAAGAGAGATCATGAAGACAAAGGCAAAGAAATAATTTTACAAGCTTAAAGAAATTATGACAAAAAAGGACTTGAGGCAGTTTAGCAGAAACATATGTACACAAAAGTAGCTGTATAGGATGAATGTTGAAAGATTTGAATTTTAAATAATGGAGATAAAGAAGGGCTTCCCTGCTGGGAAATTCTGGAAGAAAGGAAAAATATAAAAGCAGGCTCTGGGGGTACTCATATTGCCTTTGTGTTACAGTAGCTGGTATTGATACTGATAATTATTTTCTTCCTCAGCTGAAGCAAAACCACTCCATGTGATCTCCTGACTTTCATAACTTCTCTTCAAGGTTTTCAGTTTTTTCCTCTCATTTTGTATTCTCAGTTGCAGGTTCTACACCTCTTTTCACAGGCATCTGAGGTGTCCTGTATATAGTCAGAGATAAAGGCTGATATTTAAATCTTACCCCTTTTTCCATACAGGGGAATTCTGTGTCTCCTGATGGAGAGGGAATACAGAGAAGAGCCCTTTCTCTCAAGCAGTCTTGGGGCTTTTTTGCTCCATCTGCCAGTAAAATCCTAATTGACTGGCTGTTGTTATGACACAGATGCAGCAAGGTGATTTAATTGAGGGATCAGATGGAGTAGAAAGGTGAGAAGTGAACATCTTCAAATAAAGACAAATAGCTGCACTAATTACCAAAGGCTGGAAGGAAAATCATGACAAACAGTAACCAGGTAAAACTGGAATAACAGGAGAGGGAAGATGGAACTGAGGAGAAGGCTATCAAGTTAGGAAGACATCCTTAGGTGGATGTGCCTCAGCTGGCACGTGAATCTTTGGGGGGATCTGAAGGCTTTGGTGCTGTACTGTTTCACGCTGTTTTCCACTTTAGAAGTCCAGTGACAGGCTGTGACAGGCTGTGACAGTCTTTCTGAGCCTGATGACTGTAAAGCATCACCAGCTTCCCTCTTTACGGTATTATTCACTGTTGCTTAGAAACCAACGTGATGAATGCTCCAAAGGGTCTGGGCTGCTGGGTGAGCCAACAGCACCTCCCAGGGATGGGATCCAGACACATTTCAAATGGGAAACATTAAGAGAAGTAATGAGTTTGAAAAATATTTATATAGCCTGTGATACAACATTCCTTCTCTGCTGTTCTGTTCACTTTTAAATTAGGTGAGCAGAGCATTCAGACATTACCCACTCACGGGATTTCACTTCTAGTAAGGTCCCAGATGCAATCTGTGTTTCCCAGTGTGCCAGTCACTGTCCTGGTTATTACAAAACTGATGTTGGAAATGGAGCTGTTCCTAATGAGAAAAAACCCTTACACTTAAATTCCACTGTGGTAATGTAGCCGTGTTCTTCTCCTTGGTGATTCTTCCTTTTGTTTTTTAACTGGGTGAATATGATGCCTGTGAAAATGAAACCAGTGTCTGGCTGGAGCAAGGTACTTCACAGACATGACATTTTTTTTTTTTTTTTTTTTTTTTTTTTTTTTTTTTTTTTTTTTTTTTTTTTTTTTTTTTTTTTTTTTTTTTTTTTTTTTTTTTTTTTTTTTTTTTTTTTTTTTTTTTTTTTTTTTTTTTTTTTTNTTTTTTTTTTTTTTTTTTTTTTTTTTTTTTTTTGGTATTTATTTATATTCTTTTTAATTTAGCGCTGGTGAAAGGTGCTGGATTGACACCACTGGAGGCTGAAGCCCTCTATTTACCCACAGAGCAGATACAGCATGGGCGGCAGCTGTGCAAGTTCCCCCACGCTGCCCCCACCCATGTGCCTCATCTCTGTCCTGGAGGGACCACCTCTAGAGGTGAGAGGATAGTTCAGTCTCCATGACCCATCCAACCCTTGGCCTTTCTGCTGAGACTGCCAACAAAGCTACAAGAGTCACGATGCTGCAGCTGAACACTTGTCAGATGGGAAGTGGACAAAGGCCAACAATTTGTTTCATAAAGGCCATCTAAATTTATCAACTTAACATCTTTGCCACCTGTGGCTTTAACCTGAGCATGGTTGGGTAGGATTTCTAGGGTTTAGCCTGATTTTTAAATGCTTCTCTCATTGATTCAAATGATAATGCAGGTACTTAGACCACCTTCTCTGTTTTACTGCAGAGTCCTTTCCTGAGAAGATGGGTATCTTTATAATAAATTATTCCATCAGTGACCAAAGGAAGCCATGGCCTTTTGTATTAAGAATCAAACAGGAATTTAAATTGTTCTCCACTTGCAAAAAATTACCCTTTTATGGATCTTTAAAATAGCAACACAGGTGATTCTTTGGCTTGTCCAAAGAAAAATAACTAAGCTATTAATATAGAAAGAATTTTTAAAATATAGTCATAAGGAAAGTTGATAAATTATAAATTATTTTATCACTGAACTGCAGATTAAGGCATCAAAATTTACACTAGTTATAATATACACAATTTACAACAGAAGTCTGATAGAACTGAACTCAGAATACTGCAAGAATTTGCTAATTCTGTGCTAACAATAGACATTAGTAGTTACTCATTATTACAAGTATGTATCTCTCAGTTTTCATCTGACTTGACCCTTGAGTAGTTTCTTCCCTGTCAGGGAACTGTTGTTGTGTAGAAGGTCAGTAGGAAATACAGTTGGTTTGGCTTCATTTAGGTGGCTCATGAGGCACTGCTGAACTTTACTGAAGTTACAAGATTACTCAATCCGGGGTTCAGAAAGCAAGAAACTAACTCAAAAAGGCTTGGAAAGAGCTAGGAGTGAGTTAGGGTTTATCAGTAATTTAATTTAAAATACAATTAGGACTCCTCCAATGCACTCAAATGCAATTCCCACACGACACTTGACTGGCCTCTAAAGGTATCCCTACTACTTCCTCAACACTGCCCCTTGTTAATGTGTAGAAAATGAATCCTGGTGTCTTACTCAGTGCTTAGCAAGAATACATGTACTTACATTAAAATTTCCTTTTCAAATAAAAAAAATTAGGATTTGGTGCAGGAGCAAACTTTTCATAACCATAATAAAAATTATGAAACAGGAGAAGAGATTCAATGAGTTTGGAGTTTACATTAATGTTCAGTCTATTTCTTAAAATTAATACTTGTTACAAGTGGATTAACATATTTATAACTTCAAAAGTAAAACTATCTCTGGCTTTAGCACAGGTCTTCCTTTCTCATTAGAAAGCACATATCAAGTGCACCAAAGGAGTAAACCCTGGCACTTTGCTGCAGTATTTTATTATGGCCACTGTCTGCTCTGGAAGCTTTAGAAGCTTCTTTGACTTTGCTGTTTAAGTTTTGCCAGTCCCTGACAGAAGCTGCAGTTATTGTGCTCTCTATCTGTCCAAAGCAGCAATACTTAAATTTTGCTTGCAGACTGGACACTTGGCATAATCTATTACCATTTTTATAGCTATAGTTAATGACAAATTTAGGGTACCAGTTTTTTAAAGTACACTCTGCCAGCACATGTGGGATTTTTGAGATCCTGCAGTCCAAGGTCTTTTGACGCTGTAATCCCATATAAACTGACAGCAAGTAGAGGTGGTTTGGTCTTTGATATAAAAGAGCAAGGATGACAAGATAAATAAAATGAGGAAGGTTTGCATTGTAGGTTGTGCTGTGGTGTAGTTTTGGGCACACCTAAAAGTTCAGCATCTTAACATTTGTCCTGCAGATCAGGACTATCTGTGACCTGTGAGGAAAAGACTCAGCACAAAGCGTTAACACTGTGTTCTCCAAGCTAACGTTGTACATAAAAGCAAAGAATGTTGTCTAATTATGTTTTTGTTCTATGTCTGGGGAGAAAATGAGTTCGGGACTAGAATGCAGATACTCTGCCACTGTTCATGTCAGAGTGGGGGTGTAGATCAATCTGGCATCTGGCCCCTCCCCCCCTTCCCCCATGGAAATGTTGCAATTGTAGGACTTTATCCTGCATTCTGCTGGACACATTATTCCTTCCACTGTGTGCTGAATATTAGACCCCAAAACTGCATGTTTGCTTTTGCTGGGGTAAAAGCTGCATCAACCAGCACCAATGCCTTTGCTCATATGTTGGAGTGCTGTCTAGGTAATGTGTGTGGTTGTGGAAGTTTGCCAGAGGGGGCATGTATTCCCCAAAAGCCGGCATGGCTCTGTAATGCGCTGTGTGCTGCCATCTGTTCAGTGCGTGTTTGTGACGCAGTCAAACAATCAGTGCAAATTACAGCTCACTTCAGCAGCTTCACAACATCAATCCTGCCCAATATTGTGCATCCCAAGGGTTGTGCGTATCAGTGGTGTCAGGCTTTCAGAAGTCACTAATGAGAATCATTATTTTGGCAAATACACTGTCAGCTGTTGCACATCAGAAGGTGCATTGTTATGTGGCACTCATCTTGAAGGACATGAGTCCCAGGTAATTCCACCTGCCAGGAAGCTGTCACATTAAATACCCCAATATCTTAAATAACAACTATACAGATAACTAATAGAAAAATCAAACTTATTATTCGTATTATAAAACTCTAAGCACTGGTAAATGTCTGGTGTCATCAAAGGGCTCAGTACAGCGACACAATAGTAACCATCATTACAGCAGCCTTGTAAGCAAAGTGGGCTCAGTACAGCGACACAATAGTAACCATCATTACAGCAGCCTTGTAAGCAAAGTGCCTCTCACATTTACAGAATATCCTATTTATTATTGGAGTTGGTTTGCTTTAACAAAAGGAAACTGACCAAGATAGCACCAATTAAATGGCAACACTTACTTCTATGTAGAACCAAGGAATAAAGTATTTTCCCACAGATTTCTGCTTTAACTGAATGGTGTATCTCAAGCTTTTATACCTTTCTTCCACATTCAGTCCTAAAATGAACAATTTTATGGTATTTCTGTAACTCTACAATACTTTATGGGGCTAGTGAGCATTAGGCATAGCCACAACTGATTCCACACAGATGCCACTTTTTTTATGTTTGAAAGGAAGCACTTTGCAACATACAACTAGGGACACACACATCTTACACACCCTATACGTGGTATGTCCTTAATTGTATACAACAAGCCAGTTCTTACTCCATCCTCGTGCTATGCACCCACCAACAGGCAGCTGCTTAGTGGGCTCGGCACCATGTTTCCTTGAGTCCTGTGAGCTCGTGTGTCCGAGCCAAGTACACAGGAGGACTGAGATCCCTGGGCATGCAGAGACATGGCTGTTGTGTGTCCCGTGTACGTGATTTTTCTCACTTGTTTACAGGCTCTCCCTCTCTACCAGATAAGTACCGCCACTCTCGGGAGATGATGATGCTGCTGCCAGCCCACCGGGACCGACCGAGCAGCGCCATGTATCCCACAGCTATCATGGAAAACGGACAGGTAGCAGCTCTGATTTTTTCTGTGTCAGTTCAGCCACCTGAAACTGTGGCTGTATTTTTGCTGGCTTTGAACACCTTTAAGTTTTCTTTTTTATTTTTTGAAAGCACAGCAATTTAGGATCATTTTCAGAGATGAAGCAGAACTTTCCCTATTAGTCCACCCCTGGAGGCACTCACTGTGGCAGTTGAGTGATACAAACTGTAGTGACTATTAAAAGAGGATATACATCCTGTGAAAATGGACTCACTTCCCAACTTCGTCCTGTGAGCCCTGGTCCAATTCAAGTAGTCACACCATTTTCTTTATTTGTTTAGAACCATGGCTATCCATCCTGCAGTCTAGCCTCCAAGTTTATTCTAAATAACTATAATTTCCAGAGGTATCAAAAACCATGAAAGGCTGAAATAATATACTGATACATGGTTTAAAAAAAAAATCTGTGCCCTAATTTCCCTGGACAAATTGAAAAGTGTGCCTACATGTAAGCATTTCAATCTCACCCTGGCCTGCGCTTTTGAAAGAAATCTCCTGATCCTGCCCACTTATCGCACTTGCATTGGAGAGCTGTCTCAAAGCATGCAAAGTCAATGTTCAAACAAAACCAAAGATAAACTTCAGAGGGAAAACAATGTATTCCAGCTGCTAATGGGCACAATGCCAGGCTAGAGCTAGTCTGAAATAACTCCTCCAGAGTGCAGGAATTGAGGGCCCTCAGAACTGTAACACCCTAGAGATCTACTCACCTTGCACTGCCAATGTAGGCACAGCTTAAAGTTCCCAGGGAATCTTTAGTTTAAAACCTTCTTTGCTTAAAAAAAAAATAACAGAAAGTCCCCATGTTGCTCCAGCTGGTCTGTAACTTTTTTTTTTTTTTAACTCTTTGCTAACTTTTTGCTCTCTTAGCCTCCAAATTTCCAGCGCGCCTTCATCCAGCAAATGATTGGACCATGCAAACCTTGCAGTGATCCCAACCTGTCTGTGGCTGAGAAAGGTACTCCTTTTCCTCTTCAGCATGCCTGCTAGCTAGCTAAAATATTATTCCTCTGGTCATGCTACAGCAAGTAACAAATGGGCTTCTACATTTCCTGGTGGAGTGCATTTCTCTCACACTTCCCTAATTAACAGTTTAATTAACTGGGCCTTCTGCCAATCTACCATCATTTCAGAGCCTTCACAGTAGGGTGGAGTGGCACAGACCTCCCTGTTTCAGAAAGCTTTCTGAGTTTAGCATTTTGTTATTGAAACAATTCCTGCAGCCTTTGTCAAGCAAACTTGCAAAGCAGCAAATGAGAAGTTATCCAAGAACAGTCCAAGACTGGAACTGTATTTTTTACGCATGAGTTATACTGGTTTTAATACACATGTATTGCTCAAAATACAAACATTCCTTCTAATCTCTGAGGTAGTTTTGTATTTATTTATCATTAGCAATATATGCTTTTTAAACTCATTCTTTTGAAAAAAAAACCAAAAAAAAACAGGCAGAGTCCCTGCAAGGGAAAAACAACCGAAAGAGGAAAAAGAATTTGTTTGGTGTATGAGAAAAGGAGCAGCTAGTGAAGGAGGTGCCACAGACAAAATTATGGGCAGAAAAATTATCTGAAAGGCAGCATTCTGAAAAAGCAGAAGAGGGAAAAATTCCTCAATCAAAATCTGAGAAGAGGAGGCTGCCTAAGCAAGCAGCAATCATGTATGGCTGGGAAAAATGGTATCTTAAAAGATTTTTAAGGCCAGGAAAGACCACTGCAACTCTCTAGTCTGACCTACATCGTGCACTCAGATTTTTATCTGTCTTTTTATTTCAGTAACTGTGCCAGAACTAAACTGTGCCTTAAAAAAAAAAAAAATCCAAATTGTATTTTATAATTTCTTAAATCAGTATCCCCTACTTCAGTGTGAATGGTCCAGATTGAAACCAAGCGCCAGTTCTGAATAAATGGCCGAATGATGACTTGATGACAATGAGTGAGGACTAGAGAGTTCAGATGGGGAGTGAGGGATTAAGAGCTCTATCTTAGCCATGTTAGCTTGAACCAAACATATGACAGAGATGGTGAGATCTTTGTACTCGACAGGAGAAAAATCTGAAAAAGGAAGGTAGATAAATATTGTCTGTCTAGGAAAAAATACTTGAATTTGTATCTGTGGGTGATGACATGCAGGACTCTGGTATTCAGTGCCAGGAGACCAAAGACACAATCCTTAAGAAGCTACAAAATACACAGGTGATGTTCAGTAGGGATGGTGAGTCAGGAATCCCAGCTCTTGTGCCTGGCTGGCAAAATGCAGTTACGGGTGCTCCTGGCAGGCCTGAACCCTCAGCATTCCATGTAGCTGGGATGCCATCTGCCCTGGATTTTGTGAGCAGTCAGAGCCTTGACTCCCCCCACCCCCTCCTGGCCACGTCAGAAGTTCTGTTCGGTAATTCCCGGTGACAGTGGTGACATCAGTTGCCCGGGGCAGAATGGTTCAAATGTAGCCTCCCCACTAATTAAACTTGGCCACTGAACAGTCACAGAGAGAGACTTGGGCTAAGTCACAGCACTGGGAGCCCCTTGCTTTGGTTCTTCCCTGAAGCATTTTGGCTAAAACACTGGGCAGCAGCCACTCTTCAAAATCATTTCACCTTCTTCCAGCACTCCTAAATACTCAGAAGGCTGTGAATGAGGGAACACTGAGAAAGCATAAATGGATTTTTCATTGGGATACCATGTCTTCTTCTTCACATTCTCATTCTGCATCTCAGGGTTTAAAAAAGCCCCAAAACAACAAGCACGGCAATAGTTTCACAGGCCAAGAAAATCAGGTTTTTTCTCCTTTTCATTTAATGATAGGATATGGCAGGAGAGATGAGCAAGGCTGGCACTGCTGTTGTATCTTGTCCCTCTGTTTTAGCCCATTGACACCAATTACAGTAGTGCAAATTAGAACACTCTGGCATGCATACAGGGAAAATCCATCTGGAGCCATATGACTTATATAGAGAGGTAGGCCCTGGTTTGAACCTGTTCTCTGTCAAGATTCTTCTTCATATGCCTTTCTTAGGTTTTCAGGCTGAGTCTCTCTAAAAAAACCAAACATTTACTTTTATATTTTATGGGGTTTCTTCTGTCTTATGAAGTTGTCACTTTGTGATCTTTTTTACTTTAGGGAATTTTAAGCCTTGGGGAGCCCATGCTCATGCTAACACATGAACTAGGGAAACAAGAAAAAAAAAAAGAGAAACCTTTCAAAGTCATTTTAGAAAGAAATGCATCAAAAATGGCTGCAGGCATTTTAATTAAGGAGAAATCCTCTTCAGAAGTCAAACTCCATGTTTATTTCTCCAGGCTTCCATTTTGCAAACTGAAGATGGAAAAAGCTATTTTTATCTCAGTTTTCTTTGACAGGCTCAATTAATTACTTTTTTTCTTTCTTTGCTAATCTGAAGAAAATGCAATTCCTTATTTATTTTTAAATAAACATACAACTATTGCATGTCTCTTCTCAGAATAAATCAAATCTTGTTTGGAAGGAAGGTGCATTTTAATAAATGTTCAAGGTCGACAGAATTGAAAAAGGTTCATTTTCATGTCAAGAAGCAGCTTTTATTTCTATGAAAAACCAAATCCATGAAGTTAATATTCATTCTCTGTTAAATGCAGCAAGCATTGCTCTCTCTACACTTCCTGATTCACAAAGACTTGATCTCCTCAGGAGACTGTAATATAAGGAGGCCAAACTGTTGTCTTTAAATATTTTGTCATCAAAGCTCTTAATCAATTCCGTAGCTTAGTAAATTGGAGCACTCAAGTAATTTCTTTTGCAACATATTTAAACAGATTGAGGTATAATTTCCTTCATGTCCTTTATTCAGTCCTCACCGAGCCTGCAGTGCAGCCACAGGCCTGTGTTTCCAGAGGGTGTGGCCATGCTCCCTTGTCACCACTCCCCCCAAAGCAGAACTGCTTATACCTGAGATCCAGCCACCGTTCCTTTGGTGGGATTTCATTTTTACCTCCAAACTGATTTGCAAAAATCCTGCCAGAGTCCTACTGCTCTTCAGATATGTTAGAAATGAGCCCAGGGATGGAGGGGAGCTGGGTAGACTAACCCTGCAAACACCTAACTCTCACTTCCTTAACAAAGTATCTCTAAACTTAACACTCTGTAGCCTTTCCGTGCTTTCAATCCTGCCATTCACTGAGTCCCTGGCATCTGTCTCTCTGCTACTGAAGAGCACACTGGAAAGCCAGTGCTGGCCCCACAAACTCCATGTCCTGTTACCCGAGTTCCATCTGTTTCAATCCTTCAGCTGTGCCAGCAGCACCCAGTAGCTGGAGCCTGGACAGCGGAAGCCGAGAGGCGCTGCCATTCCTGTCTGCCCACGCTGGGAGCATCCTGGCCCCACCAGTGCCTCCCCGAAGCCTGCCCCATGGTAAGGATGTGCCCAGCAGGCCTGCTGCAAATGCCTGCAGGTCACACACACAAATCCAGACCACCTAAAAGCTGACTATAGACTTTTCCTGTAAAAACAACCAGAAACAAAAACCCTGTAGTCTTTCCTGGTCTGCTAGGTTTTTGATTTTTTTGTTTTCCAAATCTTCAAATTCTTGCAGTCCTTAAGCAATGTGGACTTGTGTGTACTTTGGGACTAGAATTAAGTGTGAGAGTGCTGAAGCTTGGTGTGGCTTCTTACCAATGACCAACTTTAGCAGTAATTTAAGCTTACAGAATGAAACCTCAAATGTTCATTGTTCAAGATCCTGTTTCCTTGCCATGAGATTCTTGATAATGGAGCAGTGAAACATCTCTCTCTGCACTTAATTTCTCTTTAGCAGCCTGTGTGTGACAGATGCACTCCGCAGTATCCATCAGACAGGCAGCCCTAGGCTGGTGTTAGCAGCATTTGGAGCTGTTACCTGGCATTACAGAACTAAACCCAGCTCTGTGGCTGCAATGAAACAGCACAAGTTTGCATTTCTGACCCTTGTCTCATTCCAGGACACTACTCACTGCACTTCGATGCCTTCCACCACCAGCTCAGTGATGCTCCTCCGGCACTGCCCGCACGAACGTTGCGCAAGGTAATGGCAGGAGAGCAGAGATGGATCTAGGAGCACAGTGGGCTCCTGAAAGGGATCCCCCTTCTCTGCTCCCACCAAACAGCTTATGAACACAGAAACTCTATTTATAACATACTAATAACTTGTACATGAGAAAACCCACTGAAAGCTCTTAAGCTATACCACAGCTGAATGCTATAGAAATAACTCAGGAGTTGTAGTCCTTCCCTTTTCCTTTTTTGCACCATATGCTGTGATTTCTGCACCCTGATCATCACCTCAGCTGCTGTTTCTAACAGCTCTGGTGTTGTTGAATGCACTTGTCTGCACACAAGTGGCACTTCCATACATGTAAACCAATAATCCTTGACATTCTGAACATAAATGGAACTGTGCCGTTGTTAACCACACTGTCAAAAGCTGAAATGGGGATCAACACACAAGATGCAGCATTGCCTCTTTTGTCAATTTTAACCTGGTTTTGTTTCTCTCCAAACAGTCCCCTCTTCATCCTATCCCTGCATCGCCCACCAGTCCGCAGTCTGGTCTAGATGGCAGTAACTCCACTTTGTCCGGCAGTGCCAGCAGCGGTGTCTCTTCCTTGAGCGAGAGCAATTTTGGACATTCTTCTGAACCACCTCCTCGCACAGACACCATGGATTCTGTGCCCAGCCAGGCCTGGAACACTGACGAAGATCTAGAGACACCCTACCTCCCTGTCAGGTACAGTCTCTCTGAGCCTGATGTCCTGGAGTCGCTCAAATCCCAGCCATGTCGAAGCCACTCTGCTCCATCTGGAGTCATTCCTCAGGACACCATGGACCCTCCTGCTTTACCCCCCAAACCTTACCACTCCCGGCTGCCAAACATGGAGAACGAGGAGGGGATGATAATTGAAGATGATGACAAACACCGCCCGTTGCATCGTAAAGTGTCCCAACCAGTGAGTGGTGGAAAGGAAGAGCAGGCCAGGGTGGCATGGGAGCACGGCATCAGCGAGCAGTAGGACAGCTCCTGGTATGCAGCTGGCGTTGGCATTCCAGGTCTGGATATGACAGAGAGAGAGCAGGACTCTGGAACAGCAAACCGATTTTCTACTGCCGCAAGGTTATGTCTGAAGCCCACAAAAGCAATGGGGCCAGCATGGCAGGTTGCTGCTTTCCTTTTTAATTTCTTTTTACACCTTTCCGTTATGTTTTTTAACGTTCTGTGCAGTGGACAGTTTATTCCTTCTGCAGTTTCTTAACCACATCACACGGCATATGAGCCATAGAGACTTGCAGAAGCTGAAAAATACAATTTTAAGTGGAGGGGAAAATGGGGGGAATGTGGCAAGTTGATTTTGAACCTGCTTTCCTCCTAGTTCTGAGACGCACATGAGTAGAAGCAGTTGCACTAGGGACATATTTCTTTGCTGTACAGAATTGAAAGCTCATTGCTGAAATCAGGGATTCTATGAACTGTCAGGCTGGAAGGTGCATGAGCTGCAGGCAGTGGAAAGATGACAATTCTAAGAAGAAATTGGCTCTTTTGAGAGCAAGATTGTACATATCTGTGCAGTGATCTCCCTGCATTGGTTCATAGGTGCTGAGGCAATCTAAAGCAGTGCTGATGCACTGATCTCCAAGATATCATTTCCAACAAACTCTGCCTCCTTTGTTTTTTATGTACTGTTTCATTTCTTAAATTTTGCTTTCACTGGCTAAGCCAACCTGCTTTCTCATGGGAATCGTGTTATTCATCTGTGCTACAGAATGAGAGGAGGTTGGTGGCTACTGGAGCTACAACCTCATTGTAGGCCTTTCCCATGCCCAGCTTTGGGCAGGCTGTTGACACCAGCATTTCTATTCCAGATTAAAACAAAACCAACCAAATTGAGTTTCTCATGCCACAAGCTGGTTGTTGACCCAGCCAGTAAAGGTGGCTTAAATGCATCATATCCAACAATCCTTGCCTCAGGGCTGAACATCATGATTCTCACCAACTTCCATCACCCAGGAGCTGAGATTCATTCCTTTTAACTCAATATCCTCAGTCCCTCCCAACAACTCACTGCAGCTGGTGTCAGAAAGAATCTCCAATCTCTCAGAGCAGACAGAAAACACCAAGACTTGAGCAATGCCTGGTATCAAGTGTACACCCCAGAGTCAGGGACCTTAAAGGCAACCTGTAAAGAATAAGTGTTTGTTTCCTCTTTTGCTTCTTTAGAATGTGTAGTAAGAGCTGCTGATCCTCCCTTCTGGAAGTCTAATTTCTTTCGCCTTTTCTCCTCAGGCAGCAATACACCCTTTCCCCAATCTCCTATTTTTTATTAATAAGCTCTAAAAAGGGCTGAAGAATACTGTGGGGGACGCCAAGCCACACCACACAAACCAGAACTGTGCAGAGCTGAAGACAGTTCAGGTCTACGAACCCAAAACATGCCTTTTTGTCAGTAGTTGCACAGTTCAGGAAAAAAAAATATGTAGGTAATATTCTTCTTTACAAAGAAAAGATCTTGGTTCTAAGAAACCTTTTATTCCTGTTTTCATACTTACCAAGAAATTTTCAATCAGAATAGTATCAAATATTTAATGTTTTTAGATGAACAAGCCACCTTCCTTTCCCTTGCCATACCCACACACGTTTTAGCCTTCCTTATAACCCTTTCACCTGCAGACTGCAAAGCACACTCCTATAGGATGGAAACAGCCCTCCCTCTTTCACACCACTCAAAAATCTGAAGCACATTCAAATAAAACCTCCACGATAAAAATTAGTGCCAGAAGCAGGAACAGCACCCAACTTCTGTGTTGAATTCTTGCCTAACTGCTCAGTTTCTCCTGCTAAAAACAGCATAAAGAAGCAAAAAAGGATTATTATAAATCTTTTACAGGTCACCTTTAGCACTACCTCTAAATACAGTGACTGGGCAGAGTACATAGTTTCTGAACTGGCTAAAGATGGTCTGGCTGTATAAAGTCTGGACTCAGCAGTTGTATGAAGGGGACTTTAAGAGGATTTGTTTGTTTTCTTTCTCAAGCTCTAGCCCATGCAAAACTACTAATTATGGATTTGTTTCTTAAATGGCCTATTTGGCTGGAACAAAGTCTCTCTTGCTTCCTCTATTTTGTTACTAACACAGGCTGCTTGTAATCATTATATCCTTCACAATTTAAACAATGATAATAAAATCTGGCCTATAGTGGATGTTTCATCTTTAGCAGGAAGGAGAGTTTTCCAATGCTAAGACAGTATTCAATGTTAACAAACCAAGCTGGAGCTCTGGTATAGAACAAATGCAGGAAAACAACTGATGTTTTCAGTAAACGTAAGTCAAGGTAATTCCTTAGAAAAGGTGAAATGTTTTCACGTATGCTATCCTCCAATCCCACTGAGACTCTTCCAGTGAAATTCTTCAAATAATTAAGTTTTAATTCCATCTCCCTTGCCCAAGTTTCTTTCTTTTCCTGGCAGCAAGACTAAAAGTAGTAAATGTAGTGACTTACCGAGCTTCCTTAATGTGAAAAACCAGCAGGTCTTGCAAATAATGAAGAACCAAGAATGCAATTACCATGGGACTGAGTCCCAAGCAGCTGGAAAACCTGCCCACCAGATCTCTAATCAGTCTCTGAAAATGCATCATCCTGCTCTGATTAGAGACCTGGTACAACAGCAGTGAGTTCATTTGTGGAGTCTGGCTTTCCTATGTATTTGCAAGAGTTTGAAGATCAATCAGGTGATGTGTACAAATACTTACTTTATGGCAGGTCCACATAAAGAAAGGTGGAATAAATTGCTGAATTTACCAAATTTAAGCCTCTCTGGAGTTAAATTTCTGTTATTGTTCTGATATATACCAAGTATTCTGTCTCCCTTTTCAGTGTTTGCCTTAAAGGGAGCAGAAGATAGAAAGACTATTATTAAGATTTTGTGAATCTTGGAACTAATATTGCCTGGAACTACTATTTCTCTGTAGGGTGAGGTGTCTTTTAGCATAGTACAACTCCAACGTCAAGCTCAGTCCTGGAGTAGGTGGAAGCAACAGCAGTTGCACTTGCCCAACAGGATTTGAAGATTCCTTGTATAAACCACAGCAACAGGATGTTTTGAATGGGACCTTGACATTCTATACCTAACTCTAATTCAAACCTCAGTGTACTTGCCTTCATTGGGTTTCTTTGCATAAGAAAATAGCATGTGCATTCCTGAGAAAATTGGTGGAATTCTGCTATAAATCTCTCCATCGTCAGTACCTGCTGGCCCCATCTGAAACAAAATTGAGAAGAAGCTACAGTGGTAGAAGAAAAACAATTAAAGCAATTTCTCTAAATCCTACTTTTCTTTCCCAATAGTTGGGTTGGTTTTATTGCTGTATGCAAGGCTTAGATCCTTTTTCGTATTTTCCTCTGTTTGGTTTTTAGCTTAATTACCCTTTTTTAGGTAAGGGATATTGCATATCCCTTCTATGGAGTATCAGCCAACACTGGGGAGGCTGGAGAGAGCAAGAGCCTTTGGGAAACAAATTATGTGGTATTTAAAATTTCCTCTGGTCATGCTTCTTTGTAAATACCCCCATTTGAATGCTGTGTATTTGTACAGGAAATTGAGCAAAAAATGTATAGATTGTGATGTCTGACTGGTATTCTGCCCTGTAAATGTGTTTTTAACCTCTGGCATTCTGTGCTTATTTAAAAAAAAAAAAAAAGCGAAAACCTCTAACCACTTCTCTTTTGTGTATTCATGTTTAAAATAAAATGAAAACAGCTATCTTATCTATAATGGAAATCAAATTCAAAAGGAAAAAAATAATTTGTACAAGTGTCCTAAAGGTACTTCATTGTATATATTGTGATAGCATGTTTCCAGAACCAACAAATAAGTGGTGTGAATTTTAGATGTAAATATCTGCCGTTTGTTTTGGGTTCCTTTCCCTTACCCATTCACTCGACTGCTGTGATGTGGAATTAAAGATTAATACCTGATATTAAAACAGTACAGCTGTATGGTCGTTGCTGTCCTTGAGGCAGGGCTATCCTCAGGCTGCTCCAAGAAAAGCCCTCACTTCCCACCTTTGTGTGAATGAGAAAAACAGGAGGCAACCTAAAGGCCTTTGTGTGTGGTGAGGGAACAGCTTCCTTGTTTAAGTGTTATTTAGTATCAATTTCTTGAAGCAAGCAGCAGGTACAGCCCCCGCCTGGTCCAGTCAGGTAGATGGACATGGCACTTGCAGCAGCCCAAGGCCAGTTTTGGGGCAAGACTTTCAGAGACAAAGCTCTCCCTCAGGACAGCTGTGGAGTGGCTGGGTGCCACTTCCTTATCACCTGGGGTTAAACCACCACTGTCTCACTGCCTAAAACACTGCTACTCTTATTGCAATAGTACTTAAATATTGATAATTTTAACAGAATAGGTGTGAAAGAATAGTAGTTAAGACATGTAGGAACACAGGATTTGGGAACTGAGAGCTATGGTGACTTCTACAGGCTCCTAATCTCAAATTTTCTTCTATTACTACTAATACACCAAGTCATTGTACAGGAGACAAAATAACTCAATGTCTCGACAAACCAACAAAAAAACTTCTGATACCTGTCTCAAAAGACATTTAGCAGCAAGTCTGACACTTCAGGTGGCCCCAGGATGTACATAGACTGCCAAGGCACCCTTTGCACATACCACATTACAAATACTGAGAAGAGAAACTGTAACAGGGTACTGAAATCTGTATCAGTCATGGAATAGAATCATTCAGGTGGAAAAGACTTCCAAGATCACCAGGTCCAACCTTAAACCATATTGTGAAGTGCCACGTCCACTTGGTTTTTGAACACTTCCGGGGATGGTGACTCCACCATTTCCCCAGGCAACACATTCCAGGGCTTAACCATCCTGTCAGTGAAGAAAATTTTCCTAATATCCAACCTGAACCTTCCCTGACACAACTTGAGGCCATTTCCTCTTCTCTTGTCACTTGCTCCCTGGGAGAAAAGACTGACCCACATCTGGCTAGAACCTTTCAAGCAGCTGTAGAGTGGTAAGACCAGACCTCCACAGCCTGAACACCCTCAGCCACTCCTCCTAGGACTTAAGTTCCTGACCCTTCTTTAATCAGATTCCTTGAGACTGTTTCTAAGCCAGCCTATTAATCTTAGTTAATAGGCTGTATTTTTTATTCTGACAAAAATGATTAACCAAGCACAAGTAATAAAAACTGTGTTTTGGCACAACAAAAGATATGTGAAGCCCTCAGCTGTAAACAAGAGTTTAAAAAATACTCTAGTTTCTGTTCAAACTGACAGAACAATTTTTTTTCAGTGCAAGTCCAATACTTTATTTAAGCTGCCACTAGTCAGATTGAAATCTAAATCCCATGTCCAAATACCTCTCTTATCTAAATAAGAAAACTTCAGCAGTTTCAAAATTTGACTTGTCTGAGTCAGTATGAATTTCATTACAAAGCTGATAAGAGGAGAAATTAAACCTCTAGAAATTAACCTGCCAGATGAAAGATTCAGCCTTCCACACCCTATGCATAAATGTGCCCCCATTTCTGGATGATTCTTAACAAGCCATCGACACAAACACAGTTCACAAGGCAGAGCTCTGAGCTCAGGTGTCTTAAGAGAAGGTTCACACACCACTTCTCTCTTTTGATGGCCTTTACTGTCAATCCCACATGAATTAACCTCAAATTTGGAAGAGCAGATCTATTGCACTTCATCTTCTATTCAGCATTCATTCACAGCAGTACTGCATGACCTTTTCCCAAGCTGTTCCCTGTCCCCCCGACAGAACTCACTTCTGTGTCCTCACAGCCCAACACCTGAGGCTGAGCCCCTTCATCTCTCCCCGTGGCTGTAAGAGATTTGTGGGCAGAGCCATCGCAGCCCCAGCCCCCGCAGCTGCCAGGAACAGCCTCTTCTTACCTGCACTTCCCAACGACTCCAATCCCCACAGATCCAGAGCCAAATCAACTCTCCTGCCCACTCAATTGGCTGACTAGCCCAGGCAGACATTAGAGCACCTTCCAGTGCCTAAAGGGGTTCCAAGAGAGCGGGAGAGGGACTTTGGACAAGGCCCTAGAGTGATAAGGGCACAAGGGAATGGTTTCACTCTGACAAAGACCAGAGTTAAATCGGATACCAGGAAGAAACAGCAGTGAGGACCAGCACAAGCTCTCCATCACCCAGGTCTCAGCCAGGACAAATCCCTAATGCTTCAGACAGACAGGGCGTGGAGGGTGGTGAACAAACACAGAGCCCCAAAAACCTCACCATGGATCAAGAAGCAGCACAAGGTAAAATGGAAGGAATCCATTCAAGCTACTGAAACAAATTATAAACAAAAAGAAGGGAAAATACCAAAATACAAAAGGAGTCCTTGTTCTTCCTCAGACCCATTTGAGGATCCCATATTGAAATACAGAGGCTCATTTCCCAACCCAAAACCAAATAAAACCACTTGTCTCCTATTCTACAAAAATGTATAAAGTTTCTAGTTTGAAGATGTTTCGTAACTGCACTGTTTTGGTAGGTAAACTCTATCCTTATTATGACCTTCCTAAAGTCTCCTAATTCCAAATTTATACCCTATTCCCACCTAATTACTTCATCTCACAGTTCTTTTGGCCACTAACCTGATAAGAAACAAAGGCACTTCAAGACACCACTTCTCTGCACACCTAAGTGACTTTAGTGGGCAATGAGCATAATTTTTAAAAAGCCAATAACCTTCCTAAAGTATACTTGATATTGATCAATTCTAGAAATCATTAGGGACTGACTTAATATTTATACTGATCTTAATAACCACATTTGGAGAGATAAAAATACCTAGAAATGTGCAAAACCACATCTCCTAATAAACACATGACGTACTCTCACTGGTAAATAGTGTCCTAATTACTGCTCACCTGCTGTGACCTTTCCTGAATCAGGTGCTCCTCCTCCCCACACTGCCTGTCTCACCTCATCAAGCTTATCACTTGCACCTGACGACATGTAAGAACATTCTGATGAGGCACTGCCTCGAGAGCCTGCCTGTGCAAGAGAGCCCGCGGAGCTACATGGCAGCTCCCTTGTCGTAGTACAGGGCTGTGTGACTCTGCCTCTCCCTTCTTTCACTGGATGCACAGTTACTCGTAAAGCCGCACAAGGAGCTATCAGCAGGCGTGTGCTCCTCTCCCATCTCCAACAGAATTTCAGTTATAAACTCACAGTGTAGGGGACTGTTGAAGGTAGTTAAAGGCAGAAACTGTGAGGACTGTTGGAACAGAATAAAAATATTCTGAGTTGGAAACGACCCACAAGGATCACCAAAGTCCAACTCCTAACCCTGGACAACCCCAAGAATCCCGCTATGTGCTGAACAAAAGGTGAAAGCCCCAATGACTAGGATATTAAGTGGGAATTAAACAAGAAAATTTCTTTATGGAAAACGACCCACCCAAGAAGCCAGAAACAAGTGCACATTTTGACCTCTCAGCTGTCCCTCCTCAAAGCACCCAGTCCTTGCACCTCACAGGGTGTACCCAGAGCACCCGTGACGGGCTGTGCCCGTGCCGGCACCGAGCCCGAACCTACCGCTCCCAGCCCTCACGGGACACCCATCTCGCGAGCCCCTGCCCACGCGGCTCCTCTGCCCCGCCGGCTCCACGCTACTCGGGAGCCTCGAGCGACCCCTCAGCCTCACCTTGCGCTGCCCCACGCCGCCCCAGGCCGCCGGGGAGGGGTGGAGGGCGGAACACGGGCGCGGGCCGGCCCCGCCCGCCCTCAGGTGTGAGGATCTGCCCCTTTACAAGATGGCGCCCGAAGCCGCCGTCAGGGAGCGCTCGCGAGCGCCCTTCCCTTAACAAAGATGGCCGAGAAGGGGGGCGGGGGCCCGCTCCGCGCGCCGCCGCTCCGCCGCCTCTCCCCAATCAGCGGCCGCCAACTCTCCCGTGGAGGCGACGGCGCGGCCAATGGGAGCGGAGAGCGTGGCGGCCGGGCGGGGAGTGGGCCAATGGGGCGGCGGCGGGGGCAGCCGGTGTGGGGTGGCGGTGCCGGTGGTGCCGGTGCGGCGGGCGCTACCGGGCGAGGCGGGATGCGGGCGGCCCACGGGCTTTGCGCGGCGCTGGCCCTGCTCCTGCTGCCGGCCGGCGGCCGAGCGCTGCGCGACGGGGACTGCGAGGGTGAGTGCGGCCGGGCCCGGCCCGCGGGCACGGCGGGGGGAGGCCGTTCCTCGCCGCCGTCTCCCGCAGTCTGGCCCGTCCGCGAGGTTGTGGGGCCGGGACGCGGAGCAGCCTTGGGGCTGTGGCAGCCCCGAGTGACAGCTCGGCCGCCGGGGCTGGGCCGGGCCGGGCCGGCGGGAGCGCTGCCTCCAGCGGCAGGAAAAGTCTCTCAAGTCTGGCTAAGTGCGGACGGGCCTGGCCGAGCGCCGCTCGGAGGCGACCGCTGCCGGGGCGGTGCTCGGGGGTGTCCGGTGCCGGGGCGATGCGCCGGGATGCCCGCGGGGACGGCGGGGCGGGGCTTCCAGCCGTGCCCCGCGCCAGGGACGGGATCTCCCTTCCGAGGGTACTGCACTCTGTCGGGAAGTTGCCGGTCCCTCTCCACGGGCCAGCGGTAGTGTAGAGTCCCCACGGGAAAGAGGAGCGACGACTCCGGGAGACCGGACCGTCTCCAGCGACCAGCACTGTCGCGGCTCGGCACTGGCGGGGCAGCGCTCCCGCCGGCTGTCCCTGCCTGGTGACGGTGACCGGGCAGGGAGCAGGAGAACGCCAGTGAGGTTACTCACCCGGGACTCCCCCTTAGTCATCACAGTACTGCGGAGTGCTCGGAGTCCTCTCGGTGTGCACAGCCAGAAGCCGTGAGCAGCTGATCCGAATCAAGTCGGGCCCTTTGTGTACCATGGAAATACAAACGCCTCGGGGGTGGAACCTGTTGAGCTGCACAGCAAATTAAGCTGCTCCTGTGCAGTGAACTGAACAGATTCCCCAAGTGAAGCAAGAAGAACTTGAGGTGGGGCTCTAGTAGCTGGTTGGGAGTTTGGGACACTAATATCCCTCCTCTACAGTAAGAGAGAAAGAGGGATGGGAACCCTATAAATCAAAACATGCAGCTGCTGTCGCAGCACTAGACTGGAAACGTTTCTGTCCTACAGTGGCCATCAGTGTCACTGCCTGCAGCAAGTTTTTTCTTCCCAAGGTTTTCACTTCCTTGGGAAGTGCTTACAGTGAACATCAATGTGTCTGTGACTGGGGATAGACTGGTGGGAGGTAAAAAAGGGTGCTGCATGCATACAAAAAATGTTTTCCAAGGTGGCCCATCTTATAATTAGTTCTAGTTTTAATATGAGAGTACATTTCTGTTCAGTTCTGTGATGGCCATACTCCGTTTCCTGTCATACCCAATTACTGTGCCATGCATTGTGTTCTGAGTTGAACACAAGTTGCTAATGACAATAATATTTGCCAGTCCCTTCCTGCTGGAGTAAACAAATTCCATAAAAGCCATAACTCATACCTGCTCCTTAGAGGCAGAATGGTTCCTGGCACTCATCTTGCATGGGAAGGCGTGAGAATCCACAGGTCCTGAGCAGGAATTAGGGGGAGTAGAGTGCTCTGTCCAGGTGATGCTGATATCCACGGATGAATTGTGAGCAGCAGAATGACCAAAATCTGACACTTGGGGTGTCCCTCAGTCATCCCACAGGCTGTCTGCCCTCCTTCCCAGCCACACACGGTGCTGCTGCACTTTGGAGCACGTATGGAGCGACTGCTGCCAAGGGAAGGAGCAATGACCGATTTGTGCAGCCCTTCCCACAGGCATGAACTTGGATCTGTCCTCTCAGCTGCAGCTGCACTTGTGGGAGTTGTGTTATATCTAAGAGTCTTCCATCTTTCCATCTGAAACTGCATCAGAAGCTTGTGGAAATGAAAGGAGAAAGGTGCCATGGGGACATAGCATGGGATCACATTTCTTTTTCTCTTGGAAGTAATTTCAACTGAAGCAGCCTGGTAATGAGTGATACCCTGTTACTGAAGTCAGCACACGGGGAGTCTCAGAGGATTATGTACAGAGTTGGTTTTCTGTCAGCACTGGGTTTGACACCCATGTTCTTACAAGTTGCTTCCCAAAGCAGCAAGACAATTTAAATGTACATTTTTGGATGGGCATGGTTTTGTGTCCATATGACCCAGTGCTCACTCAGGACAATGTACAAAGGCCCCTAGACACTTCCATGGATCTCATTTCTCAGATTGTCACAAACCCACCAAAAGTACCAGGGCATGTTGTTGATTCACATGTGCTCTGAATGACGTTTTGAACCATGGGTGAAGTTCAGAAAAGTTCTGTTATCCAAACCCCCGATTCCATTTCCTTATAAATGTCCTCTAAGAGGTGCCATGAGATTACTGCTCTGGCTGATAACTCCATCCATCTTCCCTTCCAGTGTGTGTCACATTCCTGGGAAGGTTTTACCAGAGTCTAAAGGACAATGACGTTGAATTCACACCTTCCAGTATTGAAAAGGAGCTCTTGAAATCCTGCAAAGAAGCAAAGGGCAAAGAGAATCGCCTGGTAAGTAGGGGGAAGTCAGTAATATTTCCCTCCTGCAAGTGAGGGAAAACTGAGTTTGTATCATGTGGCTTCCCAGGGGCTGTTTTTGCTGGCTCTGTGGCCACCGTAGGTCCTGTATTTTTTATGAAAGGACTTGAGGAGTTCAATCTCTATCTTAAAAAAAAGGGAAAAAAACACCCCGTCAACAGTGGTTGGACTGGCTGGCATCTCATTGTTGCTGAAGCACTGGATATTACAAAGCTTTTGTTTGCTGTAGGGTTTCTGTGTCCCTTAAATGGTATTTGGGGTGCTATGTAATGTGTTAAAATATTTATATTCTTTGGCTGCTTAGCTGAAAACTAAATAAAGGAAAACCAAATTGCCCTAACTAAAACCAGAGGCAATTTGTGAATGAAGAGGCCCAAGGAAAAGGCCTGCACTCTCCTCAGAGATCTACAAGAGATACCATCTGACATGCAGAGGGGGAATGCTTCAGAGAGGCTCTTTAAATAAAGACTTTTATCCTAATCCTGTTCAATTTTTATAAAGTTAAGAAACAAGATCAGCCTCAGCAGCTGTAATATCATTGCAATGGAAAACACCTGCTCAGTATTCTGGGCTCAGGCTCCTTTTGCCCAGCTCTAGCAGTCCCCTGGGGAGGTTCTCTAACAGCAAACATCGAGCTACAAAAACCAGATGAGGACAGGAACAGAAGACTGCTTTTAGAAGCCTTTTTTCCATACATCCCCACTTCACTCTTTTCTTTCCTCTAGTGCTATTACATTGGCGCCACAAGTGATGCAGCCACCAAAATCATTAACGAGGTATCAAAGCCCATGAGTCACCACATCCCTGTGGAAAAGATCTGTGAGAAGCTAAAGAAGAAAGACAGTCAGATCTGTGAACTAAAATACGGTGAGTTGCCTGCACTCATGATGCCTGCCCATGATTTGCTGGGGTGTGGATGACTGGGGGTGAAGCAACATCCTAAAACATACTCAGTCCTGAGTTCTGTAGCCTAGTTAGGTTGCACAACCTGTGTTGCTCTCCATGAACATCCTAGAGAGTTCTATGGAGATGCTTAGGTAAGACTGTTGACTGCTAACCCTTCTTGGCTTCTGCAGGGACTCTGATCAGCCCTGGAATAACTAACTCCCAGGTGGAACAGCACTAAACACTGCTCACACTGCTGTTTGGGAGGGTGTGTGGTACAGCCTGTGCTGGCAGCAGGCAGGGGTGTCACTGTGGCAGGGCTCAGGCCCTTGCCTGAGCTCTGCAGTCCCAGCTGCTCTCCTGTTCCCATCAGCAGGGTGATAAATAATGCTTTCTCACCTCCTCTGGTGTCTCCTCAGAGCATTCCACTCTCTGTTTCTCATCACCTTCCCTGAACTCTCATGTTCGTAGATGACTCCTCTTCCTGAAAAGACTAATACAAAAAACAGGCATAGAAATGCCTCGTTCTGCTTTCCCTTATAGCTGCCCTTACACCCCCTGGAGACGCCCCTTAGATTGTGGGTCTTTGTACTTTTCATTTCTCCTACTAAGGTCGTGTTGCTTCCTAAAAAGCTTTTTGTTGTTGTCACTTTCTTACCTTTCCCTTGAAATCACTCTGCTACATTTCTTTTATCCAGTGGTAAAGAAGTGTTGCTGCTCGTGTAATAAAGGGGCTTTCCGGGCTATTCTGGAACTCCTGCATCTAAACTGCAACTGAGCTTTCTGTCTTCTAATAATTTTTAGCATTACGAGCCATATCTGCTGCCCAAACCTTAGACGTTCCTTCCACCCCTGGCACCTCTCTCCCGGTTGGGTTTTGGCTTCCTCGCCCAGCTGGCATGTCTGAGTGCCACTCTGCTCTCCCCGCAGACAAGCAGATCGACCTGAGCACCGCCGACCTGCGCAAGCTGCGCGTCAAGGAGCTGCGGCGGATCCTGGATGACTGGGGCGAGGTGTGCAAGGGCTGTGTCGAGAAGTACGACTTCATCCGCAGGATCCACGAACTGATGCCCAAGTACGCGCCGAGGGCGGCCGGCGCCCGGACAGACCTCTGAGGGCCGAGACCGGGCCGATCCTGGGGCTCTGCGGGGTGACACCGGGCCTGTGAGGGGACTCTGAGGGGCGACCTTGAGGCTCTGAGGGGCGACGCCGGCCCCGCGCTTTGTACGGGACTTGCATTAAAGTTGGCCGGAGTGTACCGGGCGGAGCCGTGCCTGTGCCGTGATTGCGGACGCCCCTCCCCGCACCCCGCACCCCGCACCCGCCGGGCCCCGGCGCTCCCGCCCCCTCCTCGCTTTATCCGCGGGCCGGCCCCGCGCGCCCCCTCAGCCCGCCGGGGGGCGGGGCTTCGCCGCCCGCCCTGATTGGCCGCCCGGCCGTCGCGCGCGGGCGGCGGGAAGCGCCGCGTGACGTCAGGGCCCCGTGACGCCGGCTTGTGGCGCGGCGCGCGCGGAGCGATGACGTAGGGCCCGCGCGGCGCGGCGGCCGGAGCCGCCTTCGTTCCCTTTTGTCCAAGATGGCGGCGGCCGCCGGAGGCGCCTCCTGAGCCGCGGGCCCGGCGCGATGAAGCGCGGCAGCGACCGCGACTCGAGCCCGCCGGGGGCCGCGGGCGGACGCGCGGCCGCCGCCGCCAAGCGGCCCCGCGATCGCGACCGCGAGAGCAGCAGCCGGCGCGGCCCGCACCGCAGCTCGGGCGCCTCCCGCAGCAGCCGGGACAAGTCCACGCCCGGCGGCGGCGGCGGAGGCGGCGGCGGCACCACCACCGGCAGCGGCGGCGGCAGCGGAGGCGGCTCCAGCTCCCGCAGCCACCGCGGCGATGAGCGCGCCGGCGGCGGCGGCGACTCGAACCACCGCCCGGCGGGGAGCGGCTCGGCCTCGGGCGCCCGCGGCGGCAGCCAGGCCGCCCCCTCGTCCTCCTCCTCCTCCTCCTCCCGGGCGCTCGGCGTGCCCAAGGCCAAGGCGCTGCCGGGCGCCGTGGTAGCCCCGTCGCTGCTGCTGGCCGGGCCGCCGCCGGGCGCCGCGCCCTCGCTGCTGCTGGCGCCGCTCGGGGGCTCGGCCGGGCTGGCCGGGGAGCCGCCCGGCTCCTGCGAGTACAAGACGCTGCTGGTGAGCGGGCTGAGCGCGGCCTTGCCCGACCAGCTGCTGGAGGACGGGCTGTTCCGCCTCTTCCAGCGCTTCGCGGGCGGGGGCGCCGGGGACATCAGTGTCAAGCTCTCCCACACGCCCGAGCTCGGCCGCGTCGCCTACGTGAACTTCCGACACCCCGGGGACGCCCGCGACGCCCGCCGGCATGCCCGGGCCCGGCAGCTGCTCCTCTACGACCGGCCGCTCAAGGTGGAGCCCGTGTACCTGCGCGGGGGCCGGCGCAGCCGCACGCCGCCCCCCGCGCCCTCCCCGGAGCCGCTGGGGTATCTGCCGCCGCTGCACAGCGCCTACCAATACAAGCAGCGCTCGCTGTCGCCGGTCACCAGCCCCTTGCTGCGGGAGCCGCGGCCCCGCCACGCCGCCGCTGCCGCCTTCGCGCTGGAAGCAGCCGCCATCGGGCTCTCCCGGGAGCGGGAGCGGGCCCTGGATTACTACGGGCTGTACGACGAGCGCGGCCGCCCGTACAGTTACCCCATCGTGGCCGAGGAAGACCTGATGCCAGAGGATGACCAGAGAGCCACTCGCAACCTCTTCATCGGCAACCTGGACCACAACGTGTCGGAGGTGGAGCTGAGGCGCGCTTTCGAGAAGTATGGCATCATCGAGGAGGTGGTGATCAAGCGCCCCGCACGTGGCCAGGGCGGTGCCTACGCCTTCCTCAAGTTCCAGAACTTAGACATGGCTCACCGGGCCAAGGTGGCTATGTCGGGCCGCGTTGTGGGCAGGAACCCCATCAAAATTGGCTACGGAAAAGCCAACCCCACCACCCGGCTGTGGGTGGGGGGCCTCGGCCCTAGCACTTCCCTGGCCGCCCTGGCCAGGGAGTTCGACCGCTTTGGCAGCATCAGGACTATTGACTACGTGAAGGGCGACAGCTTCGCTTACATCCAGTACGAGAGCCTGGACGCTGCCCAGGCCGCCTGCGCGCAGATGAGGGGCTTTCCCTTGGGCGGACCGGAGAGGAGGCTCCGAGTGGATTTTGCCAAAGCAGAAGAGACGAGATACCCACAGCAGTACCAGCCCGCGCCGCTCCCCGTGCACTACGAGCTGCTGGCTGACGGCTACAGCCGGCACCGGAGCCTGGAGCAAGACTTGAGGGTGCGGGATAGGACTCCTCCGCACCTCCTGTACTCAGACAGAGACAGGAGCTTTGTGGAGGCAGACTGGGCCAGCCCTGCCAAAAACGCCGAACGCAGGAACAACCTGGAGAGCTACAGCCGCTCCGTGCGCAGCCGGAGCGGGGAGCGCTGGGGCAGCGACGGCGACCGCAGCGTGCCCAAACCGTGGGAAGAGAGGCGGAGACGCCGGAGTCTTTCCAGTGACCGCGGGAGGACTACTCACTCGCCTTACGAGGACAGAAGCAGGACAAAGGCCAGTGGGCCAGCTCTAGACCGCAGCCCTGACAGGGCTCGCAAGGAGAATCACACTACAGAACCCGGAGCCGAGAAAGAGCAGAGCAACTCCCTCCAGAACAATCGTCACGCGGCCGAGGAGAAACCCCATCGCGAGCCAGCCGATGCTCCCCAGCCCAAAAAAAGGGACAGCGAACGCAATCATCGAACTGGTGAATCGGAATCAAAAACTCACGAGGAGCCAAAATCTGAGACCAAAAAGCTAAAGAATTTATCAGAATACGCTCAGACACTGCAACTTGCTTGGAATGGGCTTCTTGTGCTAAAAAACAGCTGCTTCCCCACCTCTATGCACATCCTGGAGGGAGACGTGGGTGTCATCAACGGACTCCTCAAAGACCATTCGTCCGGCGGGAAGTTGACGCAGCTCAAAATCGCTCAGAGGCTTCGGCTGGACCAGCCCAAGCTGGATGAAGTCACCCGGCGCATCAAACAAGGCAGCCCCAACGGCTACGCCGTGCTCCTGGCCACCCAGTCCGCCCCGGCAGGGGCCGAGGGGACCTTCCCTGTGGTAGAGCCTGGCTTGCAGCGACGGCTTCTCAGGAATCTGGTCTCCTACTTGAAACAGAAGCAGGCTGCTGGGGTTATCAGTCTGCCCGTGGGAGGGGCAAAGGGCAGGGACAGCACAGGCATGCTTTACGCGTTCCCTCCTTGCGAGTTCTCTCAGCAGTACCTCCAGTCAGCACTAAGGACATTGGGGAAGTTAGAAGAAGAACATATGGTGATAGTTATAGTCAAAGACACTGCCTAGCCCACACTGTCTTTTCAAATTCCATGTTTTCTTTGTGTGTCACACAGCCCAGTTGTTTTTAAGGCTGATCATTTTGGTTGAGGCTCAAAATACCTTCACCAAAGTGGTAAGATTTTTAGTTTCTAATTAATTTTAATACCTATAATATCTATTAAAATTTTAAATAGAGCCCATTTTATTCGTTTTTAATATGTGACACTGTCCGCTGTTGTTCTGTATTTTTATTTTTTAACTGTATGAAAAGTTGTCAGTAAAGCCTTGTTCACTGATGGATTTCTAAACTTGTGCGGTATCCGAGTTCTTCTGGCCCAGGAAGGAAGGGTGAGTTCCCTGTGCTGCAGGAGCAGCCAGGCCAGATGAGGCCCCAGTTCAGTTCTCAGATCCCAACCTTGAGAACCTCCTTCATCTTGATACGTGTCCTTCAGGGTGGGAGGGGAAGGGGGGGTTCTTAGTGCTGTATCAGAGACTTAAAGGTCGGTTCTTTTTTTTTTTTTTTTTTTGTCCTGTTTGCTTTTTATTTCGTAAATTTGAGTCTGGATGCTTTGCTGTTGAGTCTCTGTTTGAGAATAGAAGCTTCCCAGGAAGCCAGCAACCAAGGAAGCAAATCCTGATCAAGAATAAAAGTGTTTTTCATACACACCAAAAAATTAGTTGATACTTGGCAAGATATTAGCTGCTGAGAAGTAGATGCTGTATTCAAGTTGGTGAGGTTTGAGACCACCTGGCACATGTCACAGTCATAGAAGTTCTTGGATAAAACAAAAAGGTTTGACATTACCAATTTTTATAAAAGGCAAAACAAGCAGAAGAAAAAAATAAAGCGGTTTAAGGGGGAACCCCCTTGGGCTCATATAAGATGTGGACAAGCTGGGGGCATGAAGGTGGTTGGTGAGCTGGAGGTGCTCATTTGCAATCAATCATGTTGTACTACCTGGAATATTTTATTGAAATATAAATGGCTATTTTTTCCCCCTAAAATTTAAGTTTGTTCTCAGACTTACAAAAACAGGCAGAAACATGTCTGTCTGAGAATGTTCTGTTACCACAGATGACCTGTAACAGAGGAGCCACTGAGATCAAAATCTGAGCTCTAAAATGGGATGGATCCATCACCTTTGCTGTCTGTGCTATGAGTTGGTTGGTTGGGAGGCCAGAGCCTTTGAGTGCTCAGCAACATAAGGATGTGGTAATGAGTCCAAGCTCGAGTTAAAATCCACACTGTTCTGTTTGGGGATATTTTTATTTTTTAAAATGATGCCTGTAGATTTTAGGAGACTTACAGAAAATCGTGTGGGATTAAAAATGCTACGTTTTAAAGTTTCTTTAGATTTGCAGGTGGTTTTTTATTGTTGTTCTCATAGCAAGCAAGTGAACAAATTCGTGGGAGAACCAGATTTGTCTCGCACCAATTTGTGTGACCCAGCAACTCACTTGCTGAGGGTTGCCAAAAGCCCTTCTAAAACTCCTCTCAGGTATGATTGGTGTCACGACCTATTTAGCAGGGAGCATAAGTCAGCCTAATGATGCTTCCATTTTTCACTTTTTAACCCTGCAGGGACATCATCAGCTGATGATGGGTTATTAATATCAAAAAGTGTGGGTTGGTTTGTTGGAATGGGGGATAACGCATCTTCTCTGAAGGCACAGATCAGAGGGGAACTGAATGCTCCACTGGGAAGAGGAGGGATTTGGGAATGTGCTGTGGGAGCAGAGGAGCAGCTCCACTGCCTGAGCAGCCAGGCTGCCCCGGTGGCACTGGACTGCCCCGGTTTCACACGGTTATAGGGACACCGACTCCGCCCTCCTGACCGAGTGCTGCCCTAACGCAGACGGTGCCAAATGTCAACAATTGTAATGGTTAGGTGTTATCTGAAACCAAGTGCCACTAAATACCCCCGGCGGCCGGTCCTAGAGCGATTAGAGCCTTTTATGGGAGTATCCTGCCTTGGAGGTCTTGAGGCAGGACAAGTGAAATGCCCACCTGGCTGATGGTGGCAGGGAGGTGCAGCTCCTGGTGCTGTGCCGTGGCCTGTGTGTGTTACGGTGTGTGAATGTTAGGAAGGGGAAGAAAAAAAAAATATATATATATAAAAGATGCAACTGTTTGCTGGCAAAGCCAAGGAACAGCCCCAAATCCCCCATCTCCCATTTTCCTTGTGAAACAAGTAAATGGTAATGTAAGGTTGTTTAGAAGACAAAGGTTAGGTGAGAATTTGAATTATGGGATTTCTCTTCCCAGAGAGGTGGCTGATGGTTTTAAGCATGTGAGACCAACAATCTCCCTCCTACTAAAATCAGTTGTAAAGGAGAAGTTGGAGGGTTATAGAAAAAACACCAGGGAGAGAAGCAGCAGAATCCATCTATTTGACACGACAACCTGAGCCTTCCCTGCTCCCCAGCAGGCAAGGGAGCCACACCATGGCTTTAACACACTGTGCCAAGGACAAAGCCCCCATCCCCTCCCTTCACAGATGCATCCAGGCTGATTCCAAGAGAAACAGGCCTGAGAAAGGGCTGGCAGTTACAGCAAAATTACTCAGCATCTGGATCTTACAGCATCAAAGGCTTGGGCCGTACACTGGTTTGGGCAGCAGTTCTGGGGAGAAGATATAGGGGTGGGAGGCCTGAGCCCCTCGGTGATGCTGAAAGGTGCTGGGTAAGGCAGTGCTGGGGATTATTTTTGGGAGGATGGTGCCTTTCAGCCCAGTATAGTGGGGCAGTAGGGTGATCATGGCAGGGTAATGGTGTCTGGCTCCTCAAAGGGGGAACAGGCTGTGAGACGGTGGATGGGTTGGTCTGAGAGTGTTCGTGCTTAGCCTGAGGTACCCCATCTTTTATTCTAAGCACCTGTTCAGCAAACATTCTGTCTTACAAGGCCTTTTTAACAGCAGTTGCTGGCTGTCCTTTCTACTGAAACAGGGATGAGATGTGCTCTGAGCAGTGCTGAGGAGCCTCATTCATAACCCTCAGAGACACTGGGTGAGGTTTGTACCCTGCTCTCCCAGCCATGGCCTGTGGGAGGTTTTTAACCCCAGCCCTGCAGGGATGTGCTGCTCCCTCCCACCGTGCTGGCAGGGCATTGCCCAGGCTGTGCTCCATGGATGGGTGCTGCAGTGCACCAAGAGGGCCAAGCAGGTCCCAGTGCAATGAGGACCACGCTGACAGGAGGGCACAGGCTGTGCTGGGTTCATCTACTCACAGCATGGCAGGAAACAGCATCGTCCCTGCTCCCCTCTGGTGCAGAGGTAGGAGTATGTCTTAGACAGCTGGCAGGACATTTAAATCTCCTTCCACCCCCTAAGCCAGGGTCTGTAAGTGCTGCATAGAAGAAATACTGTATGGCTCCACATCAGCCACATGCTGTGAGTATGCCAGAAGATTATAGCTTTCCAAGCAACATGCTTTTAGATAAATTAAATCATGGTGCCAGGGTGGCAGGTGATTTTCCAAATGCTGAGAATTCTCCCCATCCCAAGTAGCTGCAGAATTATGGCCCGACAAAAACAAAATAATCCCTTCTAGTCACCAGTTCTGAACTCCACTTTGCACCCACGCTGGTGCAGTCACCTGTTCCCCAGAACAAAGGCAGTAGCATGGGGTAGAGGCAAGCTTCTCCAGGTGTGTATTTAACTTCAGGGAGGCCAGGTCTGCCCAGGACAAGGGCTGAGGGAGCTGCTTCTGCAATTATGGGGGGTGACCTGCAGGTCCACAGGGTAAGGCCCAAACCCACTCCCTTTGGTTCAGTGCAGTCAGGGCAGGTGTGGGAGGGGAGGAAGGCTCATATACTTACAGCATCTCAGGTTCAAGTCAAATGCACACACAGGAGCTCCATCCCAGGTGTTTTGGCTGTCTCACAAAACTAACTGGCAAATTCCTCTGTAACAGCCAGGCCCAAACCAGCAGCAGATGCAGCCAATTACAGTTGGGGTTTAATGCCAGAACAAGATATGGACATCTGGAACTGCATCTCCCTGGGAGAAGTAGCTGAGTACATGCTTTATTTTGTTTTCTCCTCCTGAGCTGCACATTTGCTATGGTGAAGTTGGGTGGGATAGTTTCTGATAAGGCAGAGGCTACTTCCACAGCTGTTGGGTGGCAGATTCTGTTTTCAATCCTTTCATTTAATCAGCTGCTCCAATTGCTGATCTTAAAATGCTGTAGAAGTCACTTGTTCATCTTTATCAACTGTGTAGGGTACAATTATCCATTACAAGTTGCAGCAGAACATTTCTTTTTAATTATTAACAAGCAGCCCTGGGTAAGTGCATTAAGTAGATGCAATGCTGGAGGGAAAAAACACTATCCCTTCTTTCAGTTAAAAAGGAAATCCTTCTCTTCAAGCAGTAAGACTTTGAGCCTTAGTTGAAATGACCAGTTCTTGGTAGAAAAGTGGTTGTAGTGTCAAGGAGTGAGAAGTCTCCAGTTCCCTGTTCTGCCTCAAACCCTATGCTGAAAGTGGCCAAAACAGAGAGAGGGTTACAAGGTGAGTGGATATTATCTGAGCACCTGGGAATGAACAGTCCAGCCCTGGCCTGGGCCAGGCAAGCAGTGAGCACATTCACCTGCCAGCTCTGAGCACATGCCCAGGCTGTGCAGTTGGGTGCTGCACTGGAAGTCAAACACTCCAGTGCCATTTCTTCCTCCTGTTCTGAGGGCAGGGCCTCTTGTCATGCCCCAACAGGAGCACCTGATTTGCCCTGTGCCTTGACAGCCACAGGGCAGCCTGGGCAACGCCAAACCACAGGAGCAAGCAGGTGCTGCTCCCAGCTCCTGGCATCATCCAGCTCCCACTCAGTGTGGTGAGCATGCCACTGAGATTTCCAGGCTATAAGGAAATCCAAGGGATCAGACAGGAACACACGGCTGCTGTGCCATGGCCATGCTGCACTCCCAAATCCCTTTTTTGTTTCCTTTGCCCTTCCTTACTGCAGACAGGTTACAGCTACACCTGGCTGCTCTCAGCCAAGCCCTGCAGGCACATGGAGCACTGCTTTTGCATGGCTACAATTCACAGCCATACACACAGACAGGATTTGCATTTAATTTTTTAATAAATACACTTTACATTAAAGAAAAAGGCCTTCAATTTGCAGTTTCCACACAGAGGGCAAGAGGGAAGAAAAAAAAAAAAAAAAAAAGAAAGAAAGATAAATTTAAAAATCTTGAACCACAAAGGGCAGAGGGGAGAAAAAGGGCTCAAACTTCAATCCCAGATTCCCATGTCTTCAGGAATACCAGGCTCTGACTAGGCCCAGCCAGGATTTCAGCCTTCCACTATAGC